TTAATTTGCGATTTTAAATTTCATGAATTTTGAGAAATACCAATTTTGCGGCCATTAAATTTTGCGGATATCAAAGGTTTAACTTCCATTATTCTCTGAATCCTCAAAATTAATTTATCTTATCTACAGTAATTACACCTACCCAATATCATATACTTTGGATAAGATTTACAATCTCTAGATCTTAGTCAATGGCATGTTGCACCTCAGCCTTTAATTGGCGATCTTCGCGACTATTAATTTTCGTGATTTTTACACAATCGCGAAAAGCACGAAACTAAATTGCACGCGAAAAATATCGGGAGTACAGTACATTGAAACCATACACTCTTATATTTCATAAGAATTTGCAATCAAGCCTAACAAATCTATTGGCAAAATATTAGAAGGCCAGCAAATGTACACATGCTAAAGTGATGAAACTTTAATGAGTTTTAATTTTGCCTATACTGAGATGTGTTAAACTCTATTTGGGTTAGATTTATTCGGCTACACCCTCTACTTACAGCATTAACATGCCCCCTATCGGCTATCACCCGCTTCAAAATCATAACAGGTTCCTTTATATCTTCCTTTATCTTCTGTTTAAGAAAAGCTGTTAGCTATCAGCTGTATTTTTGTCAATCAAGATTTCTCTTCATCTGTGAATTACCCAGCGAGAAACCAAAATGGCAATTTTGATGGAAAGACACAAAGTACCAGTCAAAATCTCTGAAGATTTCCGGGCAAACAATGGCAGCTCTCCCAGTTAGGTTTTAGACTGTCTTCTCATATTTTGTCAATTTTATTCAATTTCAAGTATTGTTTAGAGTTGTGCGTTCAACATATTCCAGAAGTCAATAGCTATAATAAATCTGCAGACTTTGCTCGCATTTATGTAAGCTTTTCTCTTTTGACGGATACTTTGTGTCTTTCCTTGAAATCATGACAGGTGTAACTGATCTACTGAAATCAACTTCAAGTGCTTACTACTATCTCCCAATGTGAGCTACATCAGTGCTTTTTGTTGAGAAAATATGTAAGTTATTAGCCGCTTTTTTGCCAATCAGGATTTAAATTCTCTTTATCTGTCATGTACCTAGCAAGATTCAGAGATTTTGACTTGTACGTCATGTCTTTCCGTCAAAACTTCCATTTTTGGTTTCTTGGTAAAGAGTAGCTTCTCAATGTATAATGAGAATTTGCTGTTCGGCACAGAAGCACCTTTTAATTTTTTTCGCTTTTCGCAAGGAGGACACTAACACAATTTTGAAGCGGTTGATAGGGGGCTCTAAAGGCTGTTCTAACATATCAGTCACAGCCTCTGAAAGAGCTAGATCTAAGGCTCTAGCTTTAGGCTAGTCTAAGTCCTATAGATCTAGTAGTCTAGGCCTAGAGTCATAGTCCAGGCATAGGCCCGTAAAAATGTAAAGAAATAAAGCTTATAAAGCTGTAATGGGAGTCCATTCTGAAATTATGGGCGAGAATGGGTAAAAGACTGGCGAGATAACTTGACTTACAGTTGAAAGTTATGAAAATTTGCTTTATCTCACAGCTGGGGACCAAAACGCCGCTAAAACGGAGTACTTTGTACACGAAAACAATGTATCGACTGAAAGGTATTTCTGTGAAGCTTTGTACGGAACAAGTTTGAAGAAAAACGGTGAAGTGTGAGACTCACAATCCTTGATTTTCAAACACTGGGGTAGGTTTTAAATTCAAATTAACGGTTTTTCGGGACGAAGTGGTTTCGATACGTCCCGAAGAGATACTACCGCGTGAGTATCAATGAATAAATCTATTGACCAACAGATTGGAAATATGTATTCCAGCGATACCCTCATTTTGACGAAAGAATGGTACAAATATGTCCACTATTTATCGAGATATCGTGTAGAAAAATTGAAGAAAGACATCGCTTAAGAAATTTCTATTTCTAGACTGAACTGTTCACGCTCGCAAGTGGCATCTCCAACTCCATATATGGGCAAAAAGGTGGAGTTAACAATAAGCAATGAAGGGATTGACACGATTGACACGAAGAAGTCTCGATGAATCTCGCTTAAACCCCGCCCCTTCTTCGTGAAAAATCACGTGAATTCCGGCTTTTGCTGGGACATATCCGGGCATCTCGGCTTCGAACCCAATCAGAAGTTTCAATTTTGACTGGCGCCGCATACATTATCTCAAGTCTCACCCAATATTTTTATGTATACGTTAATCAAAAAGCACGACATGAAAAAATATAATTAAACGTAAAATGGTTGTCCAGAAAGATATTAATTGAACCTTACAAAATAACTCTGCTAAAGAGATATTTAATTCGTTATGGCCTGAATAATGAATGTAAGCCCGAGAACGGCGATGCTATAAATCTAACCGATACACAAGAATCGGGATCTTCAGCTTGAGCTTGAAGCGTAGCTGTTTCATTAGTTACGGTACTCTTGTTGTGTTTTCAAAAAGTGAAAATTGGGTAAATTTATGAGAACTATATGTTGGACGGTCTTGTTTACATTGTTGGCGAGTGAGCATAATGTTAATAGCGTATTTTAGAGAGAAATAATTGAAAAAAGCGTGGTTTGAATTACATTGGAATATCAATAGGAATTATTGTTGAATATATCGGAGGTAAATGAAGAATTATTCTCAGCAACTATGAATAAATTGATAATTTGATATGTAGACAGCTTGAAAATGAATAACAACACATATACTGGAAAATGAGATGGGAAAACTGCGAAAATAACAAGCATATAATGTGTAAAATAATATCTTATATCAGATTAGGATGTCATACTAAATTTGTAAGGTAGTAGTCAGAACAGGTAGGTGGTTACCTTGCACTCAGCAGACCTTTATGAAAGGCACTATTTGATATTAGATTTGGATGGCATATAAAATTTGCAAGGTATTAGCCCGGACTGGTAGGTGGTTATTTTGGGAAATGTTTGAATTATCATATTTGACGTTGTCAGTAAGGACCAAAATATCAGACCAAAATATCCTGAGCTATGGTACCAAATCTATCCAGATTACTTCAATCAGACTTCCTAATACTCGACACACATCGCATCAGTAGCGTAGCTGGGATGAAAAATCAAGGCAAAATCGAGGCTAAATGAAGTACATTAATACCTTTCTGAATCACTTTCTAAAATTTATTGTTGCAGAAACGTCTGAATAAATATATTTTTGAAAAATTCTGGTGAGGCAGATACCCCAAACATGACATAGTCGATGGAACTTATTACGAATTGATTTCAAAACGGATATACAAATACAACATGTACGATTTAATAAACGATAGCGATATACATTAAACACCGACAGGATGGGAAAACAGACGCCAAGAAAATACCAGTCAAATATTATAAAGCAAACATATTGAGGTAACATTGAAACATATGGCGTATATTTCACACAATATAACAGCCGTGATCTCCACAAATATCACGATGATCTTATTTCAAAACATGGAATCCTGGGGAAAAGGGAGGAATCAGTACGAAATGAAATCAATGGGCTTGTAGGGAGTATTATAAATGATACGGTAATGCTTGAAAATTAAGCAGTTTTTCGTATTTAAAGGAGAAAATACAAGACAAGAGTTTGACGATATGAAAATATATTGATGGGAAGTGATGAAATTGCTGATCTTTACTTACCAGCTGACTACAGCAAACAACTTGCATACTGAAAGATAACACCAAAGAAAGATTTGTTTACAAATATTACGTCATTTTCAAAAAGGAAAGGAGGAATTGTTCACAGAGATTGTGTCATTTTCCAAAAGGAAAGGACAAACTAAAGAAAGAAAGATTTGTTTACAAATATTGTGTCATTTTCGAAAAAGGAAAGGACAAACTAAAGAAAGAAAGATTTGTATACAAAGATTCTAACAAATCGCAGCATCTCATCTAGTTCGAAAATGTGTACAGCGCACGAATCTTACCAGATGGTTTTTAAGATGTTGTTATTCGTAATTTTTTCAAAATGTCAATATTGATTGCGAATCGGAAAAATTCTGAATCAACATTTACAGATTCAGCACATTTATTGTGAATGGTAATTTTAGGGTGTTGTATATCCAGCTCATATTTTCTACTGCACATGTTTGTGTGTTACTGAATGTCTTCAATAAAACGCTTTCCGTTTTTTCGCAATTACCTTTTACGAGGCCTTTAAGCAAACCACTTGAGTTGAAAAAACCACAGATGCCGCGTTTCTGTTTCTAAGTGGTTTCTGTACGTAAAATTATTTAAGTTCTGTTTCCTTGTGGTTGTTTTTCGCTGAAACATCACAATTTGCAGCGCTGGAACGAAACAGAAAACCTTAATCGGGTCGAGGTGACTGAAATGAACAAATATTAGATGATTATTATGTCTATAAAGAGTTATGAGATGCGATGTTATCTGCCAATGAATTCCGCACTCGTACACACCGCAGAACCTCGCCACAGGTGGGGCTCTGAAACTGAATTAATATCGATGGAACGGATCGGAGTATTAATATCAACCTTTAACGATGAGAAAACTAATATGATGCGTTGATTAATACTTGAATATAAGATATTTCTTTCATGGTATGAGTGCAAGGTAATATATCTCAAGCATTCTCACAATATTTTCGAATATTTCAGCAAAGGCTCAGTAACATTTGCTCTACGGCGGCCGTAGCTTCACAAGATCGATCTAGAAAAATCTACACCGGATGGCTTATCCCTCTGTTTTATGCTGCGTAATTCTCTCGATTTTGAGAAGCTACGGTCGCAGTGTGGTTGCTGTAGATCATATTAATGCATAACGGTCAAACGGTTTAGTTATGCAAATGTCACACTTCTAGTTTTACAACGGAGGGGTGGTAGGGTCCTGATACAAAACAAAGATTGTCAATCAAATGTATAAAACTGTTAAAAACTATTTAAATCATAATATAAAGAGCACTATTGAAACATGCAATTCAATTTAACGTTACAAGAAACAAGACTATGATGCCCTTGTTTATAACATCTTGTATATTTCCAGAATGTTTTAAATGAACCGTTGAGTTGTTAAAACGCCAGATCTACACCAACAATGGAACTTCCTACAACCCAGGCAAAGGGAGTCCCCGTCCATAAAAAGCAGAACGTCAAGCAACAGGTCAAGGTTGTGATGGGCGGCTTAGAAAACGTTCTGGGGGATTTAAAGACCGTAGTTGGTGACATCGGAGACCTTGTACACCAGATTGACTCAGTTACGGAACGGATCAATGAGCAATACGGGATTGATATCACGAAACAGGGGACAATTGACACAAATGCCAAAAGGACACGACTCCAGATATCCCCAAGTCGACATGAGATGAAAAAGAAGGGAAAAATGAAGCAAATTGCATTCGCCGAACCGACTTACTATCAGGATTTTATTGAAGAACAACAACGTAAAAAATCGCCATCTATCGGTGGCTCCCAGGAGTTTGATTTTGGGAACCAAACTTGGGATAACGAAGATTACGAGTGGAACTTTCTATCAGCCGATGAGATGAAAATAGCGAGTGGGTCGAGCCCGGGGTTATCAATGGAATTGGAGATTATGCAGCAACAGAGCTTTATCAACAAACTCCGTGAACGACTCTCGGATGACGAGGAAGGACACGTGGTACACTCAAATAAGGACCAACCAGGGATATCTAGTCATATAAACAGCATTGATAGCTCAATGGAATATATCTTCAGCGATTCCAGTTTAGCAACTCAACCGAATAATTCACTCAATAAAATCGATCCTCAATATCATAAGGAATCCAATCCAAAGAAACCCGTTACACTTTCCCCGCAAACTAAAAGTTATCCACGTGCAATGACGCCAAAATCAACTCTATCATCAACAAGTTCAGGCGTGTCTGAAAAAAACTCGGAATATTCAGGAGTCTATGAGAAGGATCTGGAATCTAAACTCGAGGGTTACGACACGATTGATACCTGGGACAGCGCAGACAGCGTTGATAAAGCCGGAATCAGTGACGTAGAGTCTGACGTCATATCAATCAGCAAGGATTACGAATTAGATTATGATACGGATATATGTCCCTGGAAAAGTTATAGTATCACTTTTGTTGAAGCAAACTCTCCTTCTGAACATAAAAACGTATTGGATACCCGCTCTCTGGATAATAATCTCAACGACATTACAAAACACCCGTGCCTTAAGAACATTTTAGAATACACTACAAATGGGAAAGCTTTTGGTGATATTGGTAATGATATCGAGGAGGATATGGATATAAGCGGAGAGACTTCCCCTGTCAAGGATGTTAAAACACTAACTGAGAGTTCTTCGAGTAAAGAAACCACAAGTGCTAGCATTGAATCTTGCATCCTTACCGACCCAAATTTAAATACAACTCATCCCAAAAGTCCAGAAAAGGTTACGAATGTATCAAGTACAGACTTCTCGGGGGATCCCCCTACGGATATAAATGTTAATTATCCGACGTTAGCGAGCAATGAACAATCGTTTGATATAGTGGCAGATTCTACGGGCTCAGATGTTCAACTTTCTCCTAATGGCAACACATTAGAGAGAAAGCGACGTAACCATAGCAACCAGGGATCTTGTAAAGATGAACTGGATAATCACCTTGGCAACATACCCGTAAACATACAGTCGAATATCGTAGATTAAATAACCTTGAAGTACAAGGCGAGATTAAAAAGTTATATTCATTATATTTAGAATGGTGCGTGGATTTATCACGAGCCCTCATGCATTTCAACGTTTTATGTTACGCCCTCGTGGCTAAAGAGTTTAACTAATAATATTCAGTAATCTATCATACTCTGTCTTCATAGTTCGTTGCCTTCAATAACTAGGAGAGATTCAAAATATATTTCGGATACATCAGCTGCAGCTTTGATTACTATCTGATTGAATTTCAACGTTTTAGTGCAAAACCCCCAAGCTGTTGGAGTTTCATTTGCTGTTATTTAGATTATCGTACGTCTGGCTTCTAGATGTGAAAGTACGGGGGAAGATCCTAAACTAACAAACAAACGCTTTATGCAGTTTGGTTAAAATACATTTCATGACCTGTAATTTGGAAACATTGTTACTCTGATGAAACTTGTTCCGGTTTCAAAAATTTCCATGCGAACGCTACTCCAAAATGGAAAAGATTAATGTAATAAAATGTGCATTTGTGTTGAATAAGAAATTGTACCAACTAAAATGATTTGCTTTGATTTGTTTCAATGCTAGAAATATAAGATTCAATTATTTCCTACTAAAAATGTATATCCCCATCATTGTATACTTCAATCTATCAATACTAGTATACTTATTGGATGTTCACTATAACTCAATTATCAAAAGTTATTGAACGATCTTGAGTTTGTATGATATGTTACAGTAGTGAGCTACATGTATATTATATTCTACTATATTCACCTATTGTTTAATTTGTAATCTATGCTTGCTGTATATGTTGAGCTATTCTTCATTAGAGATCTTAGGTCAAGGTCACAATGACATTATACACTGTATCTTGTAAACAAAACTGAACTGAATGACTCATTAACTCTTGACCTTCTAGAATATTCGGAAACTAGTAAACATTTAATCAGATTTAATCATGTCACTAAAGATGTCCAATCAAGATGTAGTTCCAGAAGATTCGTTTCTGGATCATTCTTTCACATTATAAAAAGAACAGCACAGTGACTCTCATGAGCAGATAAATTAAGTCATCATAACTGGACATCTACTCTGTAGCAGATAATTATAAGTCATCAACTGGACATCTCAAAGGAACTAAATAAAGCAGAATTTCAAAGTTGATCAAAGGACATCTTCTTAGCAGAAAATTACAGACACCTACTTTGGGAACATTTATAACACTACAAACATACAACCTGAGGACTTTATATGGACATATATTACAACAAACATTATATACGGATTATCATATATATTCGTGGATTATCATAAACATTTGTGGATTATCATCAAACATTTGTGGATTATCATCAAACATTATTGGATACGAACATTATAGGATTACAACAAACATTATTGGATTATTACAAACATTGGAGAACTATTAACGATTATTGAAACTTTTCGTGATCTGGAACATTCTCAAGTATCGTCAACGACATTTATCGACATCAAGAATAAGCCGTATCATTGATTGGACATCACATAAGTATTAAACCTCCTTTATATTATTGTTATATTATTTAGTTTTCAAAATATAAATATATTGTTATCGTATTTTAATTGCTGTTTTTACTTTCTGTTATTTTCGAACGTAACAGAAATTGGGGGCTCGTCCGGGATACAACTACAACAAGCTAAAATTCATAAATCTTAAAATTCCAAATTCCAAATTTATATATTTAAATTGTGAAGACAGCAATTAATCGAAAATGAGTTTTGAGGTTGAGACATTTTTAGAAGCGCCCTCTTTGGAGGAATTTGATGATTTAAAGAAAACTGAACTTCTGGCAATTGGAAAACATGTTGGCCTGTCAGTCAAAAGCTCATACAAAAAGGATACAATTAAAAATTTTGTTCTTCAATATTTGGTAGCAGAATCACTTCTGCCTGAGCAGCCAGCCCAGCATGTTGATCCAATTCAACTTAAAGAGCTTGAATTCCAACAACAATTACGATTGAGAGAGCTTGAATTTAAATTGAAAAATGAAAAAGAATTAAGAGAACGAGAATTGCAAAATGAAATCAGAGAGAAAGAAATGCAACAAGAATTTGAATTAAAACAACTTGAATTAGAAGCTAAATACAAATATGAAGAACATGCTCTCGAGCATCAATGTTTTAAAAATAGGTTCGATGCAGCAGAAAACATTGAACTTGTACCAAAGTTTGAAGAGAATAATGTTGATAAATATTTTCCACATTTTGAAAAAGTCGCCTTGTGCCTAGATTGGCCAAAATCAGCATGGCCTGTGATGCTTCAAAGCAAGCTTACTGGTAAAGCTAGCGAAGTGTATTCAGCTCTCTCGATTGAAGCAAGCTCTGATTATGATCAAGTTAAAAAGGCTGTTCTTAAAGCCTATGAACTAGTGCCAGAAGCATATAGGCAAAAATTTAGGTATACCTATAAACAGGATGATCAAACCTATGTAGAGTTTGCTAGGGAGCAAGAGCAATTTTTTGACAGGTGGCTTGTTTCTAAAGATGCATCAGAAGACTTTAAGAAGCTCAGAGAGCTTATGCTTATAGAACAATTTAAAAATTGTGTTCAGCGCCGTATTAGAACTTACTTAGATGAACACAAGGTAGAAACTTTAAGTCAAGCTGCCACCCTGTCTGATGATTATGCTCTTACTCATAAGGGTAGTTTTATCAAGGGCAATCCTAACTATAGAGGTTATCAGGGTAACAAACCTCCATATGATTCAAAATCAAATCAGTCCTCATCATCAAATACATCAAACAAAGCAAAAGACCAGTCTAATTCATCACAGAATTCTAGCTCAAAATCAAATCAATCAAATTCTTCAGGTCCAAAATCAAATGTCACCTGTAACTATTGTAAAAAGCCTGGTCATCTTATTTCTGAATGCTATAGGATTAAGAATAGAAGAGAGATGTCTGGTTCTGCTCATTCAAATGGTTGTGCTACTGTTCCCATTTCAAGAAAGCCCATTGTTTGGGATTCATATACTCATACTGAGAAATCTACTCATAGTGATATTATGGAGGAATATAAGCCTTTCATGTCGGAAGGATCTGTGTCACTGTCAAGTGATGGTACCAATTCAAAGCCAATTAAGATTCTTAGAGACACGGGTGCATCTCAGACTTTGTTGTTAGAAGGTGTCCTTCCTTTATCTGAGGAGTCATTCACAGGTACCCATATTTTGATGCAAGGCATTGAATTAGGTTTTACTAAAGTTCCCCTCCATCGTATTCATATCACATCGGAGTTAGTCAAAGGGCCAGTTATTGTTGGTGTTAGGCCACAACTTCCTGTTGAAGGAGTCGCATTGCTTTTAGGCAATGATTTAGCTGGGGGTAAGGTATCATTAGACCCCATTGTTTCTGATCAGCCTTGTTCTATTGAGGATTCTGTCCAAGAGGACTCTGATATATATCCTGCTTGTGCTGTTACTAGGGCTATGGCTAAAAAGTTAGCTAATAGCGGGGATTCATCTGTGGGAGATGACTTTGATAGTGGGTTTTTAAGCTCCTTGTTTGATGATGAATGTCACTCACCACTTGTTAAAGATGGTCCTTATCCTATTTTAAAGGCAAATTCTTCATTGAAACAGTCTATTGTTCAAGCCAAGCAGCGATCTAATGAGGCATATTCTTCATTGAAAAAGCCTATTGCCAGGGGTGATTCACCTTCTGAGCAGGATCACTATTTTAATGCGGTTTCGCCCGCTCTTGCTAGTCCTGATGAAGTTTCATCTTCTTCTTCTAGTTCTGAGGTTTCATCCTCTATTTCTGATAGTGATTCTTTGAAAAATGATCCTCATTCTAAACACATGTTAATTTATGAACAAGAGCATGATCCATCACTCATTGATCTTCATAAAAGATGTCTTACTATTGATGAAGCTGTCAAGGTCCCTGTTTGTTTCTACAAAAAGGATGGCATATTAATGCGAAAGTGGAGACCTCCTGAAGCTTCCCCTGAAGACGATTGGGCAATTGTACATCAAATTGTTGTCCCCAAATCATACCATAAGGAAATATTGAGTCCAGCTCATGATTCTCCCATGGCAGGTCATTTAGGAGTAACTAAAACATACCATAAAATACTCAATCATTTCTATTGGCCCAAATTAAAACAAGATGTCCAAGAGTATTGTAGGTCTTGCTACACATGTCAAATGGTAGGGAAACCTAACCAGAAAATCTCAATTGCTCCTTTACAACTTATACCTGCATTTGATGAACCATTCAGTAAGGTTCTTATTGACTGTGTTGGTCCATTACCAAAAACAAAATCTGATAGTCAATATCTGCTCACTATTCTATCTATGACCACACAGTTTCCAACAATAAAATCACTCCCCAAGTATATTGTGAAATCACAAATCAACAATTTCACATTAGTTGGGCTACCAAAGGAGCTTATATCTGACTTACAATCTGACTCAGTGCTGAATGATTTCATTGGCATTGATAAAACTACCCCTGTGAGGTGTAGAGAGCTACACATGATGAAAAGGTATGTTGAGCGTGATAAATTTCTTACTCAGCATGACCTTGTGCTAAGCTCTCAGGCCAAACTTGTATGTAAATGACAACTATATGTTATTCAAGATTTAGATATTGAAAATTATCACGATTAACTCATGAAGATTATATTGTATGATAGGCAAATTAGAGATTTGTGATAACTGTCACTTTATTTTAACAATATATAAAAACATTTGCCTAAATAGTGAAATTGATGTTATATGAACTATAAGATTGTATCTAAATTATGTGAGCATTATAGGTGATCGTTAAATAGTGTCACAAGATTACTTGATAATATGAGATTGTACTAGTAGAAATACTTACATAAGATCATGTGATAATTTAAAACATTGTACTAGTTTAGTGTTTGTCAGACTCAAAAATGTATGCTATTGTATATGTTATATGATCTATTGCATGTATTGTATTTATGACTTGATGCATAACTTAGCTTGATACCATTGTAGTATGATACTATTGTAATACATTATTACAAAACATTATATGTTATTAGATTATACTCACACTGTAACGATAGAAAGTATTATATACTTGTAAACATACTGCATATAAAAAGACTATTGTAAACAAATATTATAAAAGTCTTAACCTCACTTTTAGAAATTGTAATGCTCGCTACTCAAGATATTATTGTAAAAGTTTTTCATTGCATTCAAAACTTTTCTTTTAAGGAGGGAGGTGTTACAGTAGTGAGCTACATGTATATTATATTCTACTATATTCACCTATTGTTTAATTTGTAATCTATGCTTGCTGTATATGTTGAGCTATTCTTCATTAGAGATCTTAGGTCAAGGTCACAATGACATTATACACTGTATCTTGTAAACAAAACTGAACTGAATGACTCATTAACTCTTGACCTTCTAGAATATTCGGAAACTAGTAAACATTTAATCAGATTTAATCATGTCACTAAAGATGTCCAATCAAGATGTAGTTCCAGAAGATTCGTTTCTGGATCATTCTTTCACATTATAAAAAGAACAGCACAGTGACTCTCATGAGCAGATAAATTAAGTCATCATAACTGGACATCTACTCTGTAGCAGATAATTATAAGTCATCAACTGGACATCTCAAAGGAACTAAATAAAGCAGAATTTCAAAGTTGATCAAAGGACATCTTCTTAGCAGAAAATTACAGACACCTACTTTGGGAACATTTATAACACTACAAACATACAACCTGAGGACTTTATATGGACATATATTACAACAAACATTATATACGGATTATCATATATATTCGTGGATTATCATAAACATTTGTGGATTATCATCAAACATTTGTGGATTATCATCAAACATTATTGGATACGAACATTATAGGATTACAACAAACATTATTGGATTATTACAAACATTGGAGAACTATTAACGATTATTGAAACTTTTCGTGATCTGGAACATTCTCAAGTATCGTCAACGACATTTATCGACATCAAGAATAAGCCGTATCATTGATTGGACATCACATAAGTATTAAACCTCCTTTATATTATTGTTATATTATTTAGTTTTCAAAATATAAATATATTGTTATCGTATTTTAATTGCTGTTTTTACTTTCTGTTATTTTCGAACGTAACAGATAACAACCTGGAAGAAACGTATAAGCGATGATTGAAATCGATCTCAGAACATAAATATTTGCAAAAAGTTATTAAAGAAATAAAGTTACATTTGAATGATTCATTTCACTTAATGGCGAATTGGTTTCTTTGATTGAGGAAATTGGGCACTTTGATAATTGATTTTCGATTAGCTAAGCTTTTATCTTTAACAGTGTGTCCTATATCAAGTTATCTTTGTGTTAAAATACTAACATACAAGTATCTTAAAAACAAACTTTTTCACTTGAGACTTATCCCAATGTCAATGCACCAGTATTTTTATGTTTTTTTATATTTAGATGGCGCTGCGTTCTATGATATAGCCTAGACTCAGTTTAAGGATAAATGTCACCCTTAACACACCATCATTTCCCATTGTTTTTATCACTATTTCGTTTACATAGTACCCCACACACTAATTAGTCACAAACTTTAAAACTTGTTTTGAACACTTTCCCCTTATTGAATCATGATGAAATTTCACATGGACAAACTAAAAAGACTTTCCAACACTCAGATTTTTTTGATTTGCTTGAATTTTAATTTTCAAATTTTTACAGTCATTTAAGATGAAGCACCAATTTCGCATTTTTTCACATTTTATGCTATATTTATGTATATTTGGCTTAATTCTTTGAGATGTACAAATTGAAACACTTGGATAAACTTTAACATCAACAACTTTTTTCAGTAGTTTTCTACTTACTGTCATACATTACATTACTGTCATATGTATTTCAAATTTTTAATAACTGGTGGACAGCATTATGAAGACAGTGGTTACCGAATAGACATTTTAATTTAACATTTCAGCGCAAATGATAACCTTTACATCTTTACACCAGTGTATCCTAAGTAAATTGTGAAACGTTTCAAAATTGGAGGGCGGTACTATACATATTACATACTCAAAGTGAGTCATTTGTGCTTACCATAGACACTAATATTCTACTCGAATTAAAAGAAGCAAAACCCTACCTCTTTGTCTCCATTCGATGAAACGAAAAAATGGTGGGAAAATACTGAGTGTAAAAACCGTCCATTTCCAAAGGAAAAACATGCAATGACTTTTACTTAAATTTTCTCTTGTATTTCATATCTATGTGAACAAATAACAAGGTATCGAATTGTGTTTTATCCATGAACATATTTTGTCATATTATGCCAAAGCAATTTAAATGTACGTTAAACCGTTGACGTATGAATCCATAAAGATGATAATCATCTGTCAACAATTCTTTCATCACAGCGATACTTTCATTGCAAGGTCTTACTTTGTTACGCCCAATATTTGCGCGTTTTCGCTTAAGAGACGCATATGCCTTTGAGAGTTCATTAGTAAAACTTGGCAGAATTGTTTCCATCGCTTTTACGGTTTCATCAAAGCGTTCAGTTATACCTATAAAAGTATAATATTTTTCAATGTTGGTTTTAGCTCTTTGCACTGACACTAATGAGGAATTGATGTACTGGCCAGAAAACCACAAAGGGTAAGTTGAAACAATCTGTTCATCTCGACAGCCCTTGTATGGCTGTGTCTTTAAACACTCCGCCGTGGCTCTTAAACTCATGCCCGAACACCCTGTCTGATTTATCCATATTTTAAGGCACTCTTCGAGGGGTTGCTTAATCTCATTGGGGGTCAATTTCAATCTCCACGATGACTCCCGTTTGTAATGATACAGTGAGAGCCATCTATCGATTGGATCGCGTACTACATCAATGTACAACGGCTGCTTATATCCGAGTTCAATAAAGTCCAGAAAAGATAAGTGCCCAATGAAAATATATGGCCTTCGAGGTAATATTTTAGTCGATATATATTTCCTTTTACTTTCAATGGTTTGTAGCGCTTCTGGTTTGGGAGTGACCACCTTCTTTGTAATGAAATGTTTTGATGAATGACGCATATTTTTGAAGATGGTGTAGAGAGTAGTGCTTCCACATTTAGGCATTTTACTATAAATTATAAGATTTTCATCCCGATCATCTTGTTGATAACCAATCAGATTCTTGGACGATTTTTTGCATTGAGGAACTGCCAATCCATACGCCACTTCAGGCCTTCGTCCGTAGTTTTGTAGAGGCTCTACTATTTTCATGAATTCTCCATCCAACAAATTCAATGTGTGTGTACAAAGCAGTACAATACTCGTTATGACTAAGGTAATTACTGTGAAGATAAATATTTTATTACAATGAGACATATTTAAATGATGTAACGCTTTAACTGCTACATATTCTATTGGTGTAGTAAGGCCTGAGCCATGCGTGGCAACCGAGTTACCAAAATTTTGAAGACAAATATTGATACTACTTATTGAAACTGTAGAAGTGAAGTCTAAATAAATAACTTGTGACCTCGACTTTTTAAATCTGCCTCTTAATTTTAGGTCACGGTTACGCTCGAATAAATGAATCACGTGATTCACATATGTTAAACTGGTAATTTAAAACACACATGCTTGCATGTTTACAAGACGAGATGATTAATCTAAAAACTATTGTTAATTAAATTTGAACGAAATGAACAGTGTCAGTCACAGCTGATGGCAAATGTATTACTAAGATAGTATTCGCGAATTCAACTGCCGGCTAACGGTTTAATCTACTTTTTGATGGCCAATCATCTACATTTAAATGAAATTGTGGCAGGTGCTATTCATATTAAAATGAGTTTGCCATAAAAAATAGGTTAATCCGTCAGCCCAAAGTTGAATTCGGGAATGCTACCTTATTGGTATTAAATTTTGATTTTTCCATAACATGTCCAGCAGAAATTACAACTTTTCAAAACTGATAAAAAAGTGATCTTGTTTTCTCTACATGAAATTACAGAATCTTTATGAAGAAGTTTTTCTATAACAGCATGAAGAAATATCACAACTTTTTAAATTAATTAATTCATCAATTGTTAGGAAACCAGGCAGATTTCATGCAGATTTGGCCTTTTCTTTAATAGAATTCTATCATTTCATTTGCAAATATCATTTGAACTAGCAGAAAACTTGGGAATGAAAAACATGCTCATTACATAATTTCCTTTTATAAATTGGACTGAATTCATTGCCATGATATTTTTAGAACTTTATTCCATGCAAATTCCACTCTTTTTCTTTTTTTCTCTTGTATTTTATTCTCCATAAAATTGCAATTATTGCAGTTTTCTCTATGATTATGAACAATGTTATACATGATACTGACACATTGCTTATCTTTCATCCACAAATTTCTCCTCTATGATTATTTCTTCTTTGTGGACCTTATCATTTATGAATGTTTTATTTTCTACTGGTAGGGGGCCCTCTGGTCCATCTAAAGGATGATACAATGGGAAGTCTCCGAGCTTAGGTTGAATCTTTGGCAGATATGGCCGCATCTCAACGCCCCTATCAACAGTCTTTAGCGATAAAAATTTCACCAATTGACGTAAAGTATCCATATTGAATCCTCTCACTTCATCATTTTCGACAGTCTCATACAAATTCTCAAAATTTTTCACCCAGCAGATATTTGTTACATCATTTCCTTCCCCGGGTCCTTTAAACAGTTGAATTGTATTGAGCTGGTATGATCCAAATGCAAATTTTTGTCCGTCTGCTGCTACCATTTGGGAGGTGAATGGATACGTGACATCTGATAGGTGCGTAAAACCTGAAAAACAAAACATCAAGGATTGTTTGAATGGCAAAAGATATTTTCCATCAAAACAAGTATTTTTCATAAGTTTTTAAAAATATTTGCAAATAAATGGCTGTGAATTCTTCAATAATACTCCAATCAGTGTTGATTGTTGAAATCTATTACCAGTCAGACTAACAGCTCAGTATAATAAATGCAAGTAAAAAAAATCTTGATTTACATTCATACAAAACTTAGTCAAAATGATATCAAATTTGAAATTGTATATAAAATTACATCTAGAAATGTAGTATCAAAAATTGTTCATCAACTTTAAAAATCTAATATTCTTTGAAAATGTGACTTCTACGAGGGGTGATCCAAAAGTCTTGGACGCCCCGCTCTAACTTTGCTATTTTTTAATATAATTACATGAAACTTTCAGATAATAAAGATCAACATCTTAACAACTTTGTGTATAAGTTTCAACAGAAAATAATATATTTTAGCTACTTTTCTAATCATTTTTTGATACCGGGTCCATGCCACCCGGAACGGTATTTAAATATAGCAAATCACGTCACAACTGTTATAATATGGCAAATTCTTAAGGTGCAGGTGCACAACCTAACATCAGTCATGATATAAGAGAATTTCTGATTTTCGGTCTGAGTGTCATCTGCCATCATCATCTTCACATATTAAGACCTTCTTTTCAACACATTGTCCACGAATTTTGGCATATTTTTCATACTGCTTTACCAATGAATGAAAGACATTTATGAAACTGCCATTGCTTATGCGATACAAATGCTGCTGGAGTGCCACTCTAAACCTCATCCAATAAGTAAAAACATTTCTTTCAACCCTCCTTTCAACTTGGAGACAAGAACACAAATGTGTACAAAATGTCCCCACCAATGGGTGATCCCATGAAATGGTTATCCTGAAAATGAGTAGACAAGACTTTACCAACACAATTTTGATTGATCCGTCACACAGTTAACTAGAAAACATGTAAACAAGACTTTACAGACAAGATTTTAGGACAGAAAATCCAAAATGGCTGCCTTGACATTTACCCAGAATGTCAAAAAACTAATCTGTTCCTAGATTTTCATACTAAGAATCATCCCTGAAAATATGACATTGATCTACCAAATGGTTCACCTGAAAACGCGTAGACAAGACTTTACAGATAAGATTTTAGGACAGAAAATCCAAAATGGCTGCCATGACATTTACACAGAATGCCAAAAAACTAATCAGATGTAGGTTTTCACACTAAGAATCATCCCTGAAAATTTGAAATTGATCTACCAAACGGTTCACCTAAAAACGCGTAGACAAGACTTTACAGGCAAGATTTTAAGACGGAAAATCCAAAATGGCTGCCTTGACATTTATCCAGAATGCCAAAAAACTAATCAGATCTAGATTTTCATACTAAGAATCATCCCTAAAAATTTGAAATTGATCTACAGAACAGTTCACCTGGAAATGCATAGACAAGACTTTACAGACAAGATTTTAGGACAGAAAATCCAAAATGGCTGCCTTGACATTTGCCCAGAATGCCAAAAAACTAATCAGTTCTACATTTTCATACTAAGAATCATCTCTGAAAATTTGAAATTGATCTACCAAACGGTTCACCTGAAAACGCGTAGACAAGACTTTACAGACAAGATTTTAGGACGGAAAATCCAAAATGGCTGCCTTGACATTTACCCAGAATGCCAAAAAACAAATCAGATCTAGATTTTTATACTAAGAATCATCCCTGAAAATTTGAAATTGATCCACCAAACGGTTCACCTGAAAACACGTAGAGAAGACTTCACAGACAAGATTTTAGGACGGAAAGATCCAAAATGGCCGACAATAAAAAAGTGATTATGTGTTTTTGCTGATTTCTTCTTACAAAATTATCACATATTACTACTGTTAACAATAACATAGGCTTTTACAACAAAGTAGATCTGAAATTATTTATAAAGCTACTAAATAGTTAAAGTATGAAAACTCAAAAACACCATTCAATATGATACAAAGTATTATCGTGCGCTAACTTTTCTTAAGACATTCAAAATGGCTGACATGACTGAGCTAACAGGTCCAAAACCTAATCAGATCTAGAATGAAGTGAGCTGAACAAGATGTTAAAGTTTTAAAAGCAACTGTGAAGCCGTTTTTCTTAAAGTTTGCAGACAAGGATTTTAGCATTTGACTTCAAAATGGCCGACAGGAAGTAGGTATCGAGTTAAAATTTTTTCATCCACATCTGTATGCACTCATAAGTTATCCCTGAAAATTTGAAGGTGATATCTGTAGCGGTTTTGGAGAAAACTCCCGGACGTACGGACAGACGGACGGACAGACGGACGGACGGACGGACGTACGGACGGACAGACGGACGCGCCTAGGCCGACAATATGGCCCCACACTATGTGGTGGGGACATAAAAAGGAAGAAAATCACACTGAGCCATATCCAGACTGTACCGTGCATGTGGTAGCTGCTCAAAGTCAATAATAGTGAAAAAATATTGTTCCGCTTTGATTTCTTTCATGTTCTACATTTCATGCAGCCATCTTGGAGCACAAATGATACCAGAATGATGATTGATTGTCTGATGTCATTTTCTTAGAACTTGGCATACATACGGCCATTGTCAAATTGGACATAATGATTAAAACACAATTAATTGGTTGCCTAGTAACGAAGGAAGTAAACTAACATGGTTTAACACACAGAAGGGGTACTGTATATGAAAATTTGAACTGTATCTGCCATGTGATCTGAACCAAATGAACCACCCGGTGGTGAAACTGTTAACTATCTTTGAGCATGTGAGTTACTGAAAACTGTCATGTATTGAGAAAACTGAACATTTAATAATTGTAAATATTTTTGGCTCTTAAAAGTACAATGTTAGGAATATACATGTCTAAATTTCTATAAAACAAAGTAAAAATGCATTGGTTAAAAAAATAATGAATTTTCCTGGGATTACTTGACAAAATGCATATGCACATATACTAACTAATAATTCTAAATGAGTTCTATAATTGAAGTCGTCTCACCTTGGTTAAAGGATTGTGCCAGGCACCAGTTAAACAAGCCAGTGACCATCATCTTCTTCAGAAATTCAGTCTCAAATCCAGGAAAAGCAACAGCCATTTTGTCCAGCTTTGTGGTCGTGAGGAATCCAGTATGACCAAACTCACATGGTGCTCCAGTGTAATAAGGATCTATGGTCTTATATCCTAAAATGATTTGGGAGAGATAAATCACAAAATATGTATTGATCAAACTCACAAGGATCTATGATCGATTAAGAATTGGTGGAATCGACGGACGAATAAAACAGAATTCTCAACGAACTGCATTGAAATGGTGTAATAAACAATTTCTGATCACAAAAGCTCAATTCCTTGCAAAGTCCTAAGTATTCACTTATTTCTAACAGTTTCTCCGAATTATTTTATAATATTCGTTTGAATGAATTTTTATAACATTAGAAATAAACATTTTTTAAGTTTGGTGAATTTAATCAGTAGGAAACACGATTAAATTAATTTTAAAAGTATGTCAACTTTTTTACAAGAGCAAACTTCCAGGAATTTTAAGATTGTATGGAATGGGAAGCCCCTCCCCCTCGATCATCTGGATTGGCACAGATAATCAGAGAAACTAAACACAGTCAGGTTTTTAGATGGGATGTGTATCAGAATGGAATACTTTGGGATAAAGGTAAATCATGAAAATATTTACCAGGAGTGCACAAAAACTAATCAGTTCTTAACTTCCATACCAAGAAACACTCTTAATAACCCAGATGCGAGTAGAAATAATCCTGATTTACGTTATTAAAAATTCAAAATTCAGTCACATGTAAAATTATATCTAGAAATGTAGTTTTAAAAAGTGTTTATTAACTTTGAAAAATTAATTTTCTTTGAAAATGTGACTTCTAGCTCGGGGAGATTCCCCATAGACCCCATGCTATAAAATCACAAAAAATGAAATATCTTTTCTTTTAGTGGACAGATAATATTTTGCTTTACTGGATATATTTTCATTAGTATAAGTATCAGACACATAAGGGTTATATGAAAATTGAGCCACTTAAATTGATAATATTCAAGTTTAAGGGAACTTTCTTATATACCTGCCATGTTAATTGACCCGAATCAGCCACCTGGTGGTGAAACTGGTAACTACCTACTCGCATTTGGGTAATTAACAATGTGTAAAACTAAAAGATGTAGAGCATGTATGGAATGAGTTATGTGCATCTGGAATTAAAACAGGACTGGTTAGAAGCTATCTAAATACCCCAAATATGCTCAAACATATGAATAATTTTAATGACACTTTATAAAAACAAAAGTTATGAGCACCTGCAGTGCTCTCCACAGGATTTTTTTTCAAGTGGGTGCATAATTCTCATTTTCACAATTCAGACCAAAATTGGTCAAAATGTGCCAATTTTTCATGATTCTTCTCATTTTCAAGTGGGTGCAAATGGATTTTCAGGAGGATGCAAGCCTATTTTTAAAATCTCAGGTGGGTGCCACGCCCACTTGCTTTAATGCTTGGGAGATCACTGACCTGCTAGATATCTGATCCTGTTCTTCTTGACTTGAATCCCAGCTGGTCTTGGGCCACATGGCCATTCAGGTAATTCTGCTTCACAAAGCGGGTCATCTTTATTTACAAACTGTAACATACAGTAAAATTAGATTAATTAATTTACAGTACCAGTAAAGATCTGGGCAGACTCTTTACTGTATTTCACAGAACAAACATCTTTGCATTTGTCACACTAAAGATTAATGCATACAATGTGAATATTCACAACTGGACAGGTAATTCTTATTTTGATGATCTTTTTCATGATGAATTAATATATAAAGATATTGTTTTGTACATTGAAGATTCTTCTCATTTATCGACTTTGACAAAGAAATACATAAAATAGTTAAAAACTATATAGTACTATGTGTCAGACACTTACCAGGGGCAATGGATTTTCTGTTCTCAACAACACATTTAAGACAGATTTTGAATAGCAGCGTAGAACATCTTTTTTATATCCAGTCTGGCCCATTGAGTGATCTGCCCTTGATGGTGGAAACCCCCCACGTTCCCAGTAGGACTGAACTTTCGCACCCTCACTAATTTGGCTCTTGAGGAGATGTTCTGCACTTAGCGATAGCACGGGTAATATGCGATTCAGAATATTTATTAGCCTTTGTTGTTGATAGGTGTTTTGGAAATCTGAGTTTTTCGGAAAATTCTGACTTCTTGCTAAATCCCGAGACTCATTTTCATGTGAAGTGAGGATAGCATCGATAACTAAGGGTGCTAGTTTTTCACACTGCTCATCAAACTGAATTTCTTGATAAACCTCAGGCAGCCCATCAACTACAACAGTCTTTGTAACATCTTGGAAAAATGGCAATGTCCTAGGAGTGTGATCAGGTATGTTAATTTTACAATGGTACTTCAATTCATCACTAAGCACTAGTAACCTTCGCCATATAGTGTTATATTTCATGAGTTCTTCTTTTTTCTCGTGCCATTTCCAACATTCCTTGGGATCCATAGTTCCCCAGCTTCCAGGGGGATACCTCGGCTTTATGGGAGGATATTCAACATCTTCCTGGTTTTCCTGAGCCAAAGCCGTAGATGTTGATCTCGATCTACACACATTTAATCGGCTTTTGTTGAGATATTTCTGAAAAACTCTAAAGATGTGTGAATTTTTCATTTTGATGGAGGCCGCCATTTTGAATATCTTTCGGAGTGAATAATTTAATACTATCAGTTATCTTGTTTTAGGGTTGTTGCCAGAAGTATTTTAGAAAACTGTTTAGACAATATGATTTATCTTAATTTTCCTTAATGAAAATGCAGCAAACACATCTCCTAATTCTTCTAAAATATTAATAAATAACATCACGTGATGCGAGCATACGTGGTATCACGTGACGTTCAAAATGGCAGACGAAACAACAGGAACCTCGAAAACTCCCCTCCATAAAAAGGACAGGTATGTACATATATAGTGCATAAAAATACAAAAGCACATGAACCAATTTACAAGCTATACATTTTGCAGCATTCCAGTATACTTTTAAAAAAGCTAGACGCTGTTCTGGTAATGAATTTGATCTCTTCAAAATTTGAAATTTTTTCTAAAACAAGGATTTCCAGTTTGGATTTTGGAACATAAATAAATGACAAGTGGATTTTCTATCACTATTTCCTAACCATGGTCGTCTGAAAGGCCATAGTTTCCAATATTGTATTGATCCCCTAAAATTTGTATATATCACATTTTGTATAATCTCATCCACTAAAAATTATATACAATCATGGGCGTAGCGCTATTTTTCTAAGAAGTACGCCACCACCACGGGAACAAGAGTTGAGTGAATCAAGGACTTCTATAGAGATATAGAGATAGACGTCCTTGAGTAAATCAAAAATCGAACATTCAGGGGGGTCTGGCTTACTTGAGTCTCTAGCCAATACTTGGCTAGAGGGGATTTCATCTTGAATACTGTGAACTCTATTTGAAAAAAGCTGGCCAGGGTGTCATAAATTTATTGAATATTTTAAAAATCGCCAGATAAATAAATCATTAATCAAACCGGACCCAGCTAGGCTCCTTCATGAGATATGACATGATTTCAACAGGATTTCGTCTAAAATTAAAACAAAATGGCTCCAAGAAATATGGCGATGTTCGAAAACTGGACAAAATGTCGTTAACGTCTGACATTAGTAACTGGCTGTAAATTCTAAGTTAGCGATCCAGAAGATGTGAATTAATACACTGATCCTTTTATGTGTGTTTTGGAATTTTTGGTGAGGTAATAATACCAAAACTCCCAATTCAAATTGTGATGTGGAAAAATGGCAGACATATGATTTCAAATTTTATGATTACGACATGACCATTTGTTCATGCAGAAATATATCTGTACTGGAAGGCCACGATACAGTGGCCTTAGAAGAAGGTAAGGTCTGGCAGTTCTCCCCCAGGAAAATTTTGAAATTTGGTTGTATTTGGAGCGAATTTGCAACCATCTGGTACGCCTGTGCGTACCCAGCGTACCGGGCGCTACGCCCATGACAATGTATCTGCTTCATATGGGCTTATTAGCCTTTTGCAGATTATAGACATAGACTGATCACATCAGTGATGTATGGCCTCTTGAAAATTCTCTTATTTTAACATGGGAAAATCTCACTTCAGCAAATCTACCAGTCATTTATTTATGTTCCTAACTGTAGGATATTTACTCTAGAGCCCTCTAGTGTCAACAACAGAGACATGTAAGCAGTGATATGATCAGGGTCATGGCTTCACACAGTACATGTACTTCAGATGTATTTATCTGCATGTAATTATTGGATTTTCAAAATTTGGTATACGCCTGTATGTTATAACTGTACCTCATGTGTCTCTCTGTTTGAACTAAGATGGTAGCTAAAATTGAGATGAGTCTGGATATGAAGAATAATAAGGTATATGAGTTATCTAAGCCACCTACTGAGATAGTGGATGGCCTTGAGATGACAATAATACATTGAGATGGTCTATCCATAAAAGAGGAAGATGTTGACTATTGCACGCATGCCCCTTCTTCATTTCCACCAACATCATGTATCTTTTTTATAAACAAAATTTGTTTTTCCCTTTTACTTTCCCTAGTATATATAATCATTACGACTGTACTTTGCATCAACTTCTTTTAGATTTTCCTCTTTGACGGACAAGTTTAGATCAAAGTTCAATGAAGAACCTGAATTCTATGCCAGGGCACCAGGAAGGGTCAACTTAATAGGTGCAGTATGTTTCTAAAATCCATGGAATTTTAATTCACTATTTTAGTAAATTCATGGAACAGACCATAGATTATTTAGAACTAATGTACATGCAATAATTTAGGTGTTTTACAGTCATACTGTACATACATGTAATATTTTTATGTTTGTGATCAAACTGAGAAAATATCTGGAACCATCCATATCCATATACAGCCTTGCATTTATCTTTGTCATCTAACTTTCTATACAGTATTATGCTATCCTTATTTTGGCACCTGTATTTTGACAGATTTGAAGTATTCACCAAATAAGATTTTCCATCAAAATTCCTGAAAATAAATGTTCTTTAGGTTAGGTGTTGTCTCTCAGTCTGATATGGTGCTGATTGTCTGAAACTTAATATTTAATTGTTTGTTATTTTTAGTAATACTTTGAAAACCATCAACTTAGATAAAGTTGAATATTTGAAAAGGCTCAAAAAACATAATCTAAGAATGAAAATTAATTTAAAAGTTGAGGTAAAAAGCTTAAGCTTAAGGATAAGCTTTTATTTTATTTTAGAAAGTGATCAATCATACAATCATAAAAATGTTATTTTTGTTTTATTAAAATAAGATTAATATTGAGACATTTTTGGCTAACCCTGTAATTTGTTCTCTTTTCAGGTGAACACATTGATTATTGTGGTTACTCAGTACTTCCTATGGCCATAGAACAAGACATTCTTATTGCCGCAGTACCAAATGATTCTGCCAAACTAGATCTTGTCAACACAAGCCCCGAATATGTGTAAGTAAGCATATCATGAAACTAGACACTGAACCTAGATCGTCAAGTTTTTGATAATGTCAATAATCAATAATGTCAATTATTGTCAATAATGCTATTTAATCCATTTGAATAAATTTAAGTTACTTTTTCAGTTGTATGATTACACTCTGTATATCAGTTATGAATACCAAATTTTCATTCTGATTTTATTAATTATTAAAGTACTGTTCATGTAAAAAGGTACTTTTAGGGTTAGGGGTCTTTTATTAAATATATTTGATTGACAATTTATGAGAATATGCTTCTGCCAAATGAATTTTGATGAATAATTAACTTTGCTCTGTTAAGATAATGTTCTGCATAAAAGTATAATATGATTCAAAATAATGTTTCAAATAATGGTCTGACTTTGATTTTTGATTAAGTAACAATATGACTCTGACTGAACATTGTTTTCTGTCGGAGCTGTCACATTAAGCCGTGTCGGGTTACTGTTCGCCACCGTGTGAACCCTTTTGGGCAGATTGCAGGGTAGGGCATGGATACACGGTGGCCAAAACACATAGTTTTACAGCAAGATATCCCCAATCACACCAAATACAAAAATTATTTAAATAAAAAATGAATACTCAAAATTAGCCCCACGGTGGCGAACAGTGAGCCCAATGGCAAATGTGGCAGCTACTTTAAGTCTGAATGTAATTTAAGATTGTGTTCTAGACATAGTCAAACTTACTTGTACATTTAAGATTGTGTTGTAAATAATGCCCTGGGCCTGACTTGAATTTAAGCCTATGCTCTGAATAACAGTCTTTATATATTTCAGAGAATACAACTGTACTACAACTAATGTAGAAATTGACAAAAGTAAACCATTATGGTACCATTACTTTCTCTGTGGATACAAAGGTATCATTGAACACTTCAATATCAAATCTCCAAAAGGTAAGCCACACCCCTTTAATGCTGTTCTAATAAATGGCTTGAATCTATTGTATTGTATTGTATTGTATTGTATTGTATTGTATTGTATTGTATTGTATTGTATTGCATTGCATTGCATTGTATTTGTATTGTATTGCAATCGATTGTATTGCATTGTATTGCATTGCATTGTATTTGTATTGTATTGTATTGTATTGTATTGCCCATAATGAAATGGAGATACAATTTATATGTACAGTGATGTAAAATAAAAGTACAAAATTATGAAAAAATTATATCCATGTTAGACGTATAAAAACTATTCAATGAGCAAAATGCTCGTACGGTTGAGTCAGTCACTGTAAGTGTCTCAAATATTAGAATCAAAAGTTTAAATCCCAACTTTACTCATCCTAAAGATCTCATTCTTTCCCATTTTATCTTATGTATGTTTCGTATCTTTGTGGCTTGACAATTATAATCATACAGTAGACCCTGCTACGTGGAACGCCTCTGTAAGTGGAACACCTTACAAGTGGAACGGTGTTTTTAAAGTCCCAGGGCCTATTTATTCCATGTTAATGAACCTCTGTAAGTGGAACACCTTCCAAGTGGAACCCTGTTTTTTTAAAGTCCCATGTCCCATTTACTCCATGTCAATGAACCTTTGTAAGTGAAACAACTTGCAAGTGGAACAGGTTTTTAAAGTCCCATAGCCCATTTACTCCATGTTAATGAACCTCTGTAAGTGGAACAACTTGCAAGTGGAACAGGTTTCTAAAGTCCCATGGCCCATTTACTCCATGTTAATGAACCTCTGTAAGTGGAACACCTTGCAAGTGGAACATTGCTTTTAGAGTCCAATGTCCCATTTACTCCATGTTAATGAACCTCTGTAAGTGGTACAGCTTGCAAGTGGAACAGTGCTTTAAGAGTCCCATGGCCCATTTACTTCATGTTAATGAACCTCTGTAAGTGGAACACCTTGCAAGTGGAACAGTGCTTTTAGAGTCCCATGTCCAATTTACTCCATGTTAATGAACCTCTGTAAGTGAAACAACTTGCAAGTGGAACAGTGCTTTTAAAGCCCCATGGCCCATTTACTCCATGTTAATGAACCTCTGTAAGTGGAACACCTTGCAAGTGGAACAGTGCTTTAGAGTCCCATGTCCCATTTACTCCATGTTAATGAAGCTCTGCAAGTGGAACACCTTGCAAGTGGAACAGTGCGTTTAAAGTCCCATGTCCCATTTACTCCATGTTAATGAAGCTCTGCAAGTGGAACACCTTGCAAGTGGAACAGTGCTTTTAAAGTCCCATGTCCCATTTACTCCATGTTAATGAACCTCTGTAAGTGGAACAACTTGCAAGTGGAACAGTGCTTTTAAAGTCCCATGTCCAATTTACTCCATGTTAATGAACCTCTGTAAGTGGAACACCTAACAAGTGGAACACAGTTCTGACAAGGGTGTTACACTTAGACAGGTTGTACTGCTATTACATGTCTGTTAGTGTACAGGAACTAATAATACAGTAAAATCTTTGTAACGAGAAAACTGGTAAAAATAGTGTTCCACGTAGGAAGTGTTCCACTTAGAGGTTTCGAGGTTAATTTGCATAATGGTAACAGGACTGTAATTCCAATTTTCACTTTCTGAATTAACAATTTTTCAACATTATTTGCTGCCGTCTTTCCTTATATTAGGTATTATTTAGTAAAAAAAACTAATTTAACCTGTTTCACTTTAAATATTTCAGTATTTCATCTTTTAGTAAGATGTTAACAGATTTGTTTTAAACATGACCTTATTGTGGCCTATTTAAGGTATGAATGTCGCTGTTGATGGAATAATACCAAGGAGTGCAGGTCTTTCAAGCTCTAGTGCATTGGTGTGTTGTGCTGCATTGGTGACTCTGCGCTGTAATAAACTAACCATGTCAAAGGTAACTAGGAACAAGGCTCCATCTTCAGGCCCTTAGCCAGCTTTTGCCAAGGGGCATCCAGTTTTAAAAAATTCCAGGGGGATTCACATTTGACGACTTTGGCCCAAAACCTCAGGTGTTAAGAATAGTGAAAACTGCATGATTTTGAAAGAATTTATGGCCAGGTCGGGTGTGTGTGGGGGGGGGAGGTGTTTGCTCAAACTTCCCAACCCCTGGTGGCTACAGACCTTAGCCTTATCTTACAGGAGAACCAACATATATGTGTACAGGCCCATAGCCAGGATTTCCCAAGGGGGGGTTCAGTTTTCAAAAATTTCCAGGGGGGGTTCACATTTGACAATTTTGGCCCAAATATGACTAAAATCACTTGAGAAGGGCTCAAAATGGTGAAAAACTGCATGATTTTGAAAGAATTTTTTGGCGGGGGGGGGGGGGGCGGCGGCCTGAACCCTGCGAACCCCCCCTGGCTACGGGCCTGGTGTACCATTTCTTATTAAAATCGCAGTAAATACTGAACTTTATTGCATTTGTGTGCTTTGCTGCAGCAATGATGCTGCATTTCAATTTTAAATTCAACAATGTGATGGGTCCTGTCCTGCACTTTGTCAATTTACAAATACAGAAAGTGCAACTAGTATATTCAGTTTTCACTATTTCCAATACACATGTAAATTATTGTTAACAATTGTGAAAATCTTTGATTTTCATTCAATATGAACTACTGTAACTGTACTGTAACTACTGACTATATACCTGCTTACTACACGTACTAACCTCATTCCTTCCTTATTCCTACCTTATTCCAATATTTTCTTATATTTTATATTATACAATTATTTTTTCAATCCTGAAAATGTGATTATTTACTCAAAAGAAAATTTATTATATTTTTTGTTCTAGGTAGAACTAGCAGATATGTGCGCTAAATGTGAGCATTATATTGGAACTATAGGTGGCGGTATGGATCAAGCAATTTCATTCCTAGCTCAACCTGGAACAGTACGTACAGTTTGCATCCTTCTACAGGGTGTCCATGAACCAAAAAATAAAAATGGTCTAAATTTGAAAGAATGTATAGTATGACAATGAAATTATGTAATTATAATTTTTATAGAAAATTTCTAGATTCAACCCAAACTATATCTAATTTTTTAATTGATTGTGTAATACACATATATGGTAAAGACAAAGTTGAGTAGAATATTTGAAAAAGTAATTATACAGCATTCATTTCATTTTAAGGCCCTGTGTAACGTTTCAAACCACTTTACATGCAGCTTATATTGTAGTCTTACCCATTGTTATCAAAATGTGATATGTGAAACTTTTTTTTTGTTTTAAAAAGTTGTTTAATACTTAATTTTTAGATGTCACACAAGTTTTAAAATTCTCTAAAATAACTTTTTGATTTTTTCTTCTAGTTTTTTATTTCTTTGAAATATCTAGATTTCCCTCATCAATAAACTTATTCAAGTTTAACCTTCAGGAACCACAGATTTCATTTACTGTATAAGCTGTTGAATATAATCATATCATTTTTCTTCAAGGCTAAATTCATTGAGTTTAATCCTCTCAAAGTAACAGACGTATCTTTACCAGAAGGAGCTACATTTGTGATCAGCAATAGTTGTGTTGAGCTCAACAAGGCAGCAACCTCTGACTTTAACATCAGAGTAGTGGAGTGTAGACTGGCAGCTCAGGTTGGTAAAATGATTGCTTTATTGCCAATGTATTTTTAACCATCTTATTGCTGAAATCTCTGTATTCTGATTGGTTGAGCTCAACAAGGAAGCAACCTCTGACTTCAACATCAGAGTAGTGGAGTGTAGACTGGCAGCTCAGGTCGGTAAAAGGATTGCTTCATTGCCAATGTATTTTTTTAACCATTTTAATCAATGACATCTGGAATATCTGTATTCTGATTGGTTAATGGATATTAGCATAGTCAGGCATAAGGCAAGTGATGCAACTGCCTAATAACATATAACATTTGATCTTAATACATAAACAATATTTTAAGTACAGTATATTCGCACATACAATGTACATGTACACTATATAGCTAGGCATGATATGTAAAATCTCAGCCGATTAGAAAAACAGTTCAAATAATTCATATTCTTAGAATTAAAAAAAAATTGGATTCAGTGAAACAATATCATAATTTCAAGATTAGCAAAGATGAATTTTCAGTTATTATTCAAAAATAGGTGGCAGTACCCTAATCAATTAGATCGAAGTATTTCCATTAATGTATGATAATTTGCAATATCATTACATGTAGGTTATATGCAAGAGGAAGGAGCTGAACTGGAGAGAGTATAGGAAACTCGGAGATGTACATAAAGCATTGGGTGTGAAACTAGAAGATATGAATAATATTGTAAAAGAGGTAAGTTTTTAATTATTTATTTAACAGCTTTTGCAAAGGGGTTCACTTTTTAAAAAATTCCAAGGGGTTCAAATTTTACCACTTTGGCCCAAAATTATTTTACCTACAGAATGGTGAAATGCTGCATTATTTTGAAATAATTTTTGGCTGTGGAGGGGGGAGGGGCATTTCCAGGTTTCCTTACCTACTGTTTTCTTCTAAAATTAAATCGTTTGCAGGTTTCAGTAAAGCAATTAGCTACTCTTTTCCTCTAAAATCAAATAGAAGATCGCCTTATAATCATTAATTTTATTCTCTGAAAAAATTGAAATATCTGATTCTGTTCTCTCACCTTTTTTTATGGATTTCTTTAGATTCCACTTGTTTCCTCATTATTTCTCATTTTATATTATGAAATCACTTCATTTCAGGTTCTCCATAAGGAACCATATTCTAAGCAAGAAATTTGTGATATTCTCAATGTAACAGCTGAAGAACTTAATGAGGTCACGCTCAGCTCAAACACAACACATGGTAAGAAATAAATGATAAAAATGCGAATAAATTGTGCAGACATTTTATATGGAAATTATTCAAAAATTAAAAAATTTGCAGAAAACTGTATTTCTAAAAATTAGGGTTGGGAATTTTTAAAAAAGTCCAAATATTTCTTACATTTGTTCAGACTTTATGATGTTCAATATTGACTCATTTTCAGAATTACTCTTGTCCAAAATAGAGTTGATATTGGCAAAATTAAAAATCAACAAAAGTTTTTGGCAAAAGTGAAAATGATGAACATAAAAATTCCATTCATTTCCGTTTTCTTTTAAAAATGTTAAGTTTTTATAACCAGATGGAGACCAGTGGAAATAAGGCCAAACTTATATACCATCAATTTCATGAATTGCAAACAAAATAGTGCTAGCCCTTTAAACCTTACCAGACCATTCTTTCTCTTACTTTCAGTGCAATATTTTAAACTCTACAACCGAGCCACCCATGTCTTTGCGGAGGCTAACCGTGTGTACCAGTTCAAAATGGTCTGTGATGAAAAACCCAATGGTGCTCTTGAAACCCTTGGTTCTCTAATGTCTGCAAGTCATGAGAGTTGTAGGGACCTTTATGAATGTAGCCATCCAGATTTAGATCAACTGGTTAACATTTGCATGTAAGTTAAAATAAGAGGTTGGCTGAACATATTTTGTTCAGTTAGTTGTCATCATTTTAGACTGTTGATTTACCACTCTTACCATGTAAGGTACATGTAGTTGAAATGACCACATCTCGTACATGTAGCATGTGAGTTTAGATGGTCATATCTTTGAGCATGAGTTCTTTGACCAAAGGTACTTAAACAGAACAATTTTCTTGGAAGCAATACATGTATCCATGTTTCTACAAATAAAGATTTACTTATTTTATTCCAAAAATAGATCTTTTATCATTTTGACAATATCTATCTTCTGAAAGGCAGACCAGAGTTGAAATCTAAAAAAGTTGATCACTTATCCAATGGAATTTTTGATATAATATGGAATATATTATTTATTGCTTTCACCTCAATTTTGGTCATCATAATTATATATAAGAATAATCGTATTACGTAATATATGCATTTATTACAATATATTTGCATTTCTTACAATATATTTGCATTTCTTACAATATATTTTGCATTTCTTACAATAAATTTGGATTCATTACGACATAATTGCAGGGAATCAGGTGCTCTTGGTTCTCGTCTAACTGGTGCAGGTTGGGGCGGATGTGCAGTTTCCATGGTACCAACCAATCAGGTCGAACCATTTATGGCCAAAGTACGAGAGGCCTATTATTCAAAGGACTCAGTGAGGTCAGCAAAAGTCATGACGAGTTTGTTTGCCTCTCAACCAGGAGGTGGTGCCATCTTTTATCAAGATTGAAAACTAACTTCGGTAACAAGTCTGTGGAGCCATCTTTTATCCAGATTGAAAATAAACGATAGGACATTCCAGATAAGGACATATAAAAATGCCTAGGGAACATCGAGGACATTTAGATTGAGGCACATTGACAATATTAAAATGTTTATACCAAAATACCTTCCCAATAACCATGCCACCTTTTTCGACATCACAGATGCTTTAGGATTTATTGATTACATTAATGATGTCATAGATTGTAGGTAGTTACATTTACATCAGGTTTTTCAAAATAAGCAATCAAATCTTATTTTTGCTTGGACAGATTGCAACCTACAACGTATGACATCATCGAAACACCCTATCTTTTTTTTGATTAAGCAAAATATGGCTGAGTTTCTGGGAAAGTTATGTTAAAGACTCAATTGGATCTGAAATATCCTATGGATAAATCCGACTTTGAACGTTGAATGTTTCAACAGGATAGACCAATGAAGTGTCATTATAAAATATGAACCCCAAGTCCCATGAGTAGATTATAGTGCACAATATGTAACATACCATTGGAAAGATGACATTGTGTCCCAGTGTTACATTGATAAACTTGTGGTGGTTAGATATGATGTATAGTACATGTATAAGTCATGACTATAATCCTATACAACAATGTACAGTAAGAATTGTGATAGTGGAATGCCTTGTACAGTGTAGCTCAAGATAGGTTTATTTTATTAACTTTAGGTTCCTGTGTAGATGCAGGAAGGGGAAGGCGAGTCCTTAGCGTGACATTAGAGTATGAGTTGGTATTCAACTGGTAGTGGGTTTCGTAATGTTTGAATAAACTGATTTACATTTATTATTCCATTGAATGACATTTGGTAAGGGAGCAAATTTGTCAATCCATGCATCATTGTTCATTGTTGTTATTGGTAGTAAATAGTTGGAGGGTTTCACTACTGTTTGGTTGGGGATATATATATATAGATTTGTCTGTTCATTTTTGGATATGGCATCGTAAAAGTTGGTAGGTTTTATCTGATTGATTTAACTGACTTACTGTATTCACATCAGCTATGATGTTGCAGTGATTTAATTCTGTGTTGTCATATACAACATGTAAATGAAATCAATGTTATTGATGACAAATCCGATTTATGTTAAAACATACACTCGTATATGTAAACATAACATTTATTTTTACAGAATATTTTACACATCATGTACAATTACACATAGGCTACATTTGTATGTGCCTATGTGCATTTTATAAATATGAATGCCTCCAATGAAATTAGCTTGTCAGTTTGAAGAACATTTTAGGCAAGAGAAATTTTAATTTATTAATTTCAATTATTCAATTGTATACAAAAAATGTTCACGAGACAGAATAAATTTGCATTTAAATATACAGCCATAAAAAGGCAAAATCAAAGAATTTTGTCTTATTTTATTTCATGTGCATATTTGATTGACATGACCTGATGACATTTGAGTCAACGACAAGTTTTGACACCTTAAATAAAGCACTGACACTCATTATTCAGTTCTGACATTAAAGTAAACAGTAAAACAAAGTTACTATAAAACAAAGTTGGAACCAAATGAGGGGGTTATCCTGGAATGGTTATTGCCCAATGGAGGCAAGAGTAACAAACAAAATAATCCTTGATTAATTCCAAATAAAGAACTAAATTGAAAATTCTTATACATGTACAGTACATTTACCAGGAAAAAGCCAAATTAAAGTCAATGTCAAACTGCATGGTGTATTGTGATATGAAAGCAAATGCTTGATTTGCTTGAGTTTTAAAAATTATTGTTCTTCTTCTTCATCATCATCATGTCCATTGGTGAAATCTGCAGTTTCAGACACTTTCCTGATGCCACGAGGTATGGTCGATTCTCTATCCTGAAAGCAGATGTAGAATTTGACTAGTAAACATCTTTAATCAAAACCAAGTATTATCCACAGGTATCTACCAAAAGTTTTAAAATGAAACAGATTTTATGATTCACTCTGTAACAATGTTATCGTTAATTTTTCCCTTGAAAAACCAAGAATTGTTACAAAGTTTTGATCCCCACACTTCAAATTAGGTAACATTTAGTCATTTACATAGAGGCCTGAGGCTCCCAAAACACTTACTTTTTGGTCTTGTTTCTCTTATATCTGATGGAATTCTTTTATTTTCTACAAACTTATCTTTCACACATAGTATCTTGAATTCTAGAACAACTTACTTTTTTGTCTAAAATCTTCTCGCTTAGAATCTTTAACTCTAGGTTACTTCTCACTAAGAGAACCTCTTTACGTAAGCGATCAATTTCTCTATTCGTCTCTCGTCGTTTCTTTTCCACTTTCATAATCTCCTGATGTGTAACATCACAGATCCTAAAAAATATAATTTTTTTCCATATCCTATGTATTTAATATAAACTGACAGACAGACAAGTGATGGTTAGTGATTATCAAAGGCTGATAGGCGATAGAAATAATCTTTAAATAAAGAGGGCAGGCCAATCATTCTACTACTCCTGCCATCTTTACAAGAGCCCAAAACCTATTGTGATTACAACAGCTAACAAGACTGCAAGATGCATATAGACTAATAGTGATGGACTCACTGGCAAGCCATACTTGAACTTTGACTTTGTAAGGGGCAATCACTTACTTTTTATACTCTTGACCAAGTTTTACAGATTTCTGTCTGCTGTCTTCTATAATTTCTCTATAAGTGGGTTCTTGGTACAATCTTACAGTCAGTTAAGGTAGTTCTGCATTTATAGAAAAAGTGAGAAAATATCATTTCATTGAAATTAAATAAAATATATTTTTTATTATCATTATTCCCATTAGTCATTGACTAAGCTATCCCAAGATATGGGTAAAGCATCACCTGTGGTACCACCTGTTGTCAACAACATAAATATGACTAATGACCACCTGTAAATTTACAACATCAAAATAACTAATGAATGAATGAATGAATGTATGAATAAAAAAATTAATTGAGTTGAAAATAAAATAAATGGTTGCATTTTAGAGTCACCCTATACAAAAGGATACTGTTCTTTTTCGAGCGATTTTTCCGTTCTTCTCACACGTCTACCAGGCTGAACATTGGACTTGAGTTGTTTCATGTGGAGGTAATGGGCAATCAATGGGCTGCGACCAGACAGGTTGAACATAACTCTTTCAAATCCTGGACCAGGCCCCATTTGACTAGACTGAAATAACAAGTTTTTGTAAGTTTTGTATCTAATGTGTGCATTTAAGCTACATACTGTAGCTCCTATTCTGCGTGGTAACAAGCAAGAATGTACGAATGTGGTAATATACAAATGGGAGACTGTACATATGTGGTAACATACAAATGGGAGAATGTACAAATGAGGTAACATACAAATGGGAGAATGTACATATGTGGTAACATTCAAATGGGAGAATGTACAAATGAGGTAACATACAAATGGGAGAATGTACATATGAGGTAACATACAAATGGGAGACTGTACATATGAGGTAGCATACAAATGAAAGAATGTACATATGTGGTAACATAAAATGGGAGAATGTACATATGAGGTAACATACAAATGGGAGACTGTACATATGAGGTAGCATACAAATGAAAGAATGTACATATGAGGTAACATACAAATGGGAGACTGTACATATGTGACCTAATACAAATGGGAGAATGTACATATGAGGTAACATACAAATGGGAAAATGTACAAAAATTCGAACGTCCAAAAAATATGCAACATACCTCCTTTGGGTCCCGCCTGGGGGTACCACATTGTGCTTGTCTGGACTGAGATATAGTATGGAGAGTTGCGGGAACATAAGATGTGGCATTGGTCAATTCTGTCCCACGGGTAACCTCTCTTGAACCCATTTGATTAGGCTGGCTTTCTGAACGTGCTCCTTAATATGAAAGTTAAATCCTATATACTGACTGTTTGGTAACAGCAGCATTGAATTCTACAAATTATTGTGTTTAGCTTTATTTAGTTTGTGAAAAAGAAGTGCTTTCAATTCAAATAATCTCAGAATTTGATCGTTCGAAATACATGTACATGTAGCTTCATAATACTTGAAAATTACACATCATGGGTTATTAATCCATAGTTAAAATTGAACAGAACTGAAAATAGCAGGTACTACATGTACATGTACATGTATATGGTTGACTTTACCACAAGTCAATATTTTTCAAATACAGTATAAATAAACCATGAACATAATTAAGTATTCAGAGGAGGGAGTAACTCAAACCTGGTACAACGGCTGTTCCAACAGTCTCTTCCTCCCCCAGTTTGTTAATTAACTTCTCAAATGAATCAATATCGAGACTAAGTTTCACATGTTTATTCAATGATGCAGCTTGGACTATGTGTTTGCTCTTGCTTTCCTGGACAGCTCTAGGAAGTTTTGGTTCAAGACGTTTCACATTCCATCCTTTCCAAGTTCCGGCTGGTGGTCGAACCCCTAGAATGAACGTTAGAAACGGTAGTGATGTGAACTTTTAAGGAATTCTGACAAGTCAGTCTTATATTGTAAAATACTAAATTGTGTGAGAGATAAAAACATGTATGTACATGTAGCTAAAAAATTCAAGTTTGAAATACAAAAATAATGAAGTAAGCAGGAAAGTACAATGACTACTGTAGCTTGACTAGCTCCTATTTTCTGTCAACCTGCCTTGATGAACTTGACAACAGCAATAAGCATGGCCTAAGAGAGAATGTTAAGCTTGTCTGATGTTAAATACCTGACGTCCACTCATGTGCTAGGTCTGCGATTTCTTGTTTAAATTCATCACGGAACTGCGGCCTAGAGTCGGGGAAGGCCTCCCAGTATGCGGAATATATGGCTTGGGCAAGACAGTCAGGGTAAACCTTGGATAAAAATATTAAAATTTTAATCTGGATTATTTATTCAATAAACAATTTAAGGGGTCAATTTTCACATTTCAAAAATCAAAATTAATATTGCGCTTTTTTGCTCAGTTGTTAGTGGCATTACATTATTGTATTTCAGTTTATAAAATATACTATACATGTATTATGGGTGAACTCATGTACTAAATATAATTTTATACAAAGCATTAACAAACAAAATGTCAACACCTGCAATTTGATACAGATGTTAAAAACAGAACTCCGACCACCGCTAAGAAGAAGTGGAGACTACATATTCAACAACATGTCACCACTTATAGTATAGTGTGTAGTGGAAGAATGACTTAAAAAGGTACTCACTGTGAAAAATTTATCTTTGATTTCATGGTTTATACTGTTTAGTAACGCAACAAAACTGTCAGCAATTCTATCAAAAAGCTGATCTTGGGCAGACTTCTCTGATTTCTGAAAAAAGGCCAAAAAGTAAAACCATTTAATGTCGCCACCAATTAGTTATGATGCTGCAAGATATAGTTCTCCCTTAAACATATCAGCAGTGCTGCCATCTTTATATCAGCCTAAAACCATTTTTTGTTATGAGGAATCAGTAAAGTTTATAAAACATTTACAGTTCTGTTATATTAAATCACTCAATTTTGTTTTATTGTATTATTAAGAAAATGAACATTTTTTATTGTTAACTAATTTATTAAAAGGCTTCCTAATTAGCTTTATCATTTCAATGGTATCTATGGCAACAGTGTACTGAAATGAAGATCATTTAACAATAAATATAAACAATTAACACACATAAAAACAATTAAAACCAACAACAAAGAAAAGAAAAATGGTTTTATATTACAAACCAGTGCTTTTAGCATTCCATAAGTTCCCTGTATGATATTCATGTCGGAGTACGAACACAAAGAGTCACAGGATGATGAAGGACGTTTGATCGTATTCTGCCAAAAATGTCAAAAGTTCAACATATTGTAACACTCCGAGGGCATTTTCTGGGAATGACCTAAAGCCGAGTGTAATGTAATAAGCCAGATACAGGCAAGAAAGAAAGTGTGCTAAATTCAATGCCTCATGTTGGAATCGAACCTAGGACCCCCAGATCCTATGTCTGATTCCCTACCAACTGATTGAATGGAATAAGCAAGGAATAAAATAAACAGACATGTAGCTGAGACTCTAAACTGTAGAGAAATATAAGAAAAGAAGACATTTCATTCAAATTTTAAAGAGAAATTTCAAGAGATAGGCAAGAAATTTGAAAGCCGTCTGCCAACTTACATGATATCTATAGAGGAAGTACCACCAAAACATGTCCTGCATCACAGCAACTGACGCTTCAGAGAGAAAAATCTTTTTCCAGAACTTCCGGAACCCTGGCTGCAAGTGATAAAATACAATGCAATAATGTTTTTAAATTCAAAATAGAATATTCATGTAACAAACCACAGTCTCGCTACTTAGCGATCACCCTGTATATTACAATAATTTCTAAAAATATTTCTAACAAATATACATGTGAACAAGGGTAGTTTATTATAAAACATTCAAATTAAGACTTTTATTATTTATTTATTTAAAACATGGAAATGAGATCATTAAATTCTAAGGTACTGTAACCTGCAGAATTAAAGGTACATGTAATTAAAAAATATATATAGACTATGTACTTCTTCTGTACTTTCTAAGTTAGTAAATAAGCCTATATATATCATACAAATCTATGATGATACACATTAATACATATAAGCAAGCAAATCTATATACAATATATGTGGACACATCTACAACAAATATGGAAATCGTAAAGTAGAAAAATAGCCAACTACAGGCATCGACGAAATAAAATGTCACAACATGGCTGTATTGTCAAAAGTATATTTATGAATATTGCAATAACAAAGGTAATGTATAGATCATTAGATACACGGTATGGGAACAGGTTGGATTATTGGATCAATACACTATGTAAAATCCCATGATTAATACAATATCATAAACCTATGAAACATAAATATCAGTTGTTTTAATTCGTTTTAACCTGTTATCATAGGTTTATGTATAAGACATAATTATAACAATGAATGATACGGACTTTTTGGAGTTTCTCCTCTGATACTTGTATAATTTGTTTTGATTTGTTATCAGCTGTTATCAGCTGTTTTATTCCATCTGGTTCAACTAGGAAAAACATATTATACTGGATGATACATTTCTCTGCTCTTGCGTATAATTTGTTTACATTAGGTTACATGTTGTTGACACAACGTGTTGACACTATCTTGTTGACATAGACATATTGAGTGTTTTAATAAAAGCGGGTATTGATAAATTAAGTTTTGACATTTGAAAGTTGAAATGAATTAATATAAATGATTTTTCAAAATAAGTCACCAGAAGTGATTAGTGCAGCAGTTGAAAGATATATTTTAGTTTTAGCATTTATAACGTGCTTGCAAAAACACGGGCGCCCATTTAGATTATTAGCGGTTTTATTATAATATCGGATTGCTTCAATGCGCTCCATGAAAGAAAAATGTGGGCACTTTATTAATTTAAATCAATATGTCTTAATATTAAAGCTACATTGTTAACGGAGTGCGGGGAGTGCGGGGAGTGGAAACGAGTCTCCATTCAAGCACTAAATATCAAAAGAACGATTTCAGTACCCCTTAACTTCGCTCCCAGACTTCACTATTCACCACCTCCCCTCTCCCTTCCCCAATTATATTTTATGACCCCAGATTGTTCGTTTCTGTGCCCCCCCTGTCCATGGCAAGTAAGTAATCTATGTGTATATCGGCTCCCTCTCAATGGTGGGCAAAACCAGATGCAGGCATAGACATTGACAAGGTGAGGGGATTAAAAATAAAAATAGTTTTGTTTTAGGATCTGACTGAAATATTTTGGCACTGTTCAACGAAGCGGTTTAAGGAATTAGAGGCAGAAATAATTCCTAGATGACCTGTCTTTACTGTAATCAAGATGCTACCTAACCGCAGTTTTAAAAGTTATTTATCTTTTGTGATAATCTAATACTACTTATAGATTGGTTTCCCAAATGTAAGACCCCGTATAAGACCCTTGTCTCTGATTGTGAAACATGTGTATGCATCAAATCCGAGGAATATTACATTATGTGAAACAATTCCAAAATGTTTTGTCTTGAACTCAATCAAATAGTGTAGCAATATATTTCAACATGTGGAAATTGTTTATTAACGTAATGTCGGGCACTATAGGTGAACGGGTTTTCAGTTTTGCTCTTTTTTGTCACACTTAAATTGTGTGCTTTATTTATTTGGAATTTGAATTTGAAAGGGTGAATTCACAATCACATCCAATAAAGCTTATAGTATCATTTATTAACAGATGCATCGAGGTAGAGCCACCGTTCAAAAGACATAAACATAACTCTGTCGAGTGCAATAAATCCATGCATATCCATTTGTAGCAATCACAAGTCCAGACCAGGGGAACACAGTTACCCTTCGCATTCTTACATTGTCCGCATGTCAACCATACGGCGACCGCACGGTCAGCCTGCCTTTCGCACCTCTCATACACGTGTACAAATTCTAAGATCATATTAATTACCATTGATTCCTCGTTTTCAATCTCTGGTTTTCAAAGCCCGTTAGATGTTAATGAATGGAGATTTTTAAATGTGCTTTCATTAAACAGCCAGGAAAAATAAACTATTTTTCATTTCCCAGGAATCACATAATCCGTCAAAATTCATTTAATTTAAAATGTATCTAATATATTACATGTATACAATCAGACAGACTGGCTATTCTAATCCGTTATGAAAAGCCATTTGTTTTTTCCTCTACAGGATGTTTCTGCGGAAGTTAATTTGTTTATCTTAGTGTTTAGAGGCTTAGTCCTTTGACGCTTTCGTGAAATAAATGAACTCTGTGATGGACTACAATTGTATATTTTTACAGGAACTTATACCCGTAGCCAAGGGGGGGGGATGTTCAAGGAGTCCAACTCAACAGAATTCGAATTGAATACAAAATAAATTCATAACATATAAATATATAAATACATAATGTCTATCCAAGTCTTCTTGCATTTTCTGAACTTCAAATGCGCCTTTTGATGTGTGATAACAAAATACTAAATAAATACTTAATGTTACTCCACTTGTTTTTATAGTAATTTGGCAATTAAACATGCATAAAGAGATAGCAATGTGTGTACTGTGTACAACCCGAATCCTCTCCCGATCAGGTCACGTTTTATATGCCTCTGATGTAATAACTGCCCTGTCAACCCTCACGCAGTAGGCGTGATTGTTACGCATTTGCTGAAAAAATAGAAATCGCGCATTAATTTAGCGTGAATGATCAAATATCACGCAAATCACGGATTTTGTTGAAATCTTAAAATATCGTTTTTTGTGAAATGCCGACACGGTAAAATACCGAACGGCGAAAAAAAGCGAACGCATTCTGTTCGGTCTTTGCACGCGATTGCCGTTTATGTCACAAATTTGGTACAAAATATGTGTATATATCACGCATTTGTTTCGAAAATATTCACACGTACCTATTTGATTGAAATCATTCAAATCAAATTGGCATTCGAGAACAAAAATGTGTCCACTCAAAAATAGATTTCTAATGTTTGATTTTGAGTAGTTGTATTTATTGATCCTTGTTTTTCAATCTACAGATGGTTCACTGAATTCCGAAGTAAACAGAAAATAATACACATTTCCTTGGTTCCCATGATACTGCCTATAACCCAGGCCCGTAGCCAGGATTTGCCAAGGGGGGGGGGCAGTTTTCAAAAATGTCTAGGGGGTTCACATTTGACCATTTTGGTCCAAATATGGCTAAAATCACACGAGAAATGCTCAAAATGGTGAAAAACTGCATGATTTTGAAAGGATCTTTGGCCAGGGGGGTTCGCCGAACCCTGCGAACCCCTCCCCCTGGCTTCGGGCCTGCCTATAACCTATAATACTTATTTATTAAAACAAATATTAATTTATCCGTCTGTCTGATTAGATTTTGTTCCCCTGACTCAAACCAGAGACATATAAAACATATATATTTTATATGTCTCTGCTCAAACTAAGTCAACCCCGATTTCAGTTCTTAATTCTTCACTTGAAACGATATAGCACACATGATACAACATGAATTTGGATTAATTATACATATATAAAGCCTATTGTTATCAAAACCAATAAATCCTCACCATATAAATATAGTTTTATTGATGACCAAAAACAGATATCAGGGGCGGTTTTCAGTCAGGAGGGTACGATTGTGGCCTGAGCAGCTCCTTTCTTCTTCTTTCTCAGGGTTTTATTTTTATTGTAAAGGGGGGGGGGGTGCGATCGCACCCATCACAAGCCCCCACCCCCCCTGGATACGCCCACGGATATTTTGGCAACTTCCACGTTTACCCCCCCCCTAATCATTTTTGCGCCCCCTCTAAATATCAGACAAATCAGGCGATGAGGCATGGATCAGGATACCCTGACTCCCAAGCTGTGCGACTTCTGGCAACCGCTACACCTATATTCCTGGGGGAAATGCTTTTTCCTTTGAAAAATTAACAAATATGGTCGTGTGTGGGCAAACACGGAGGAGAAGGAGAGGGGTGCGTGCATTGCGTGCGATCCCTCATCAGTTGTGTACCTTATTTTTGTATGAATTTCTCCCGAACAGTTATGCTAGAAGGGTTATAATATGTATTTCTGTTTTCAAATGAAATAATTTCACCCTTGCCCGATTGGCTTGTAGATAATGCACGAATCAAATAGCATGGAGATCAGATAATTAGATTGATTCGTTTTTTCGCAATCAGATGAATTAACTTAATGTTTTCTCTGATTAAAAGGCGGTTTGAAGCTACTTTTATAGGATTTGTAAATTCGCAATCAGACTGGCTTATTTTAATATTTAGTCAGTGCAAGAGGAGGGGACTATAATGTACATGAAGAAAATCGTTCTGATTTCGACACTAACTGAAATAATTTATCACAATAAATTGTTTAATACGGAAACAGAGACCGGTTTAAAAATGAAAAGAGAGGCAAAAAACTCTATTTATACAATGTAATTAAAACTCGGGAATTAAAAGCAATTTTAGACTGTTAGATCTTCTGTAATCAAGGTGATGTTGGTACACTTCCACCGTTAGAAAAACAAAGACTAAGACAAAGACTATATAGCAATTAATCCTTTTGTAATCATTAAATGTTAAATGTAGATTCTTATTATTTCGTTGGACAATGTTCAGACTTCTGACCAAGATTTATTCATTTATGTTTGTATTCAAGAAATAGTATTTCAATCAGACAGACGTTCTAATGAGTTAGAAAAATACATTTGTCCATCACCTCTCAAGTAGTTTTCAAAAGTAATCAAGTCGATTTGTTTATTTTAGTGTTTAGCATTGTTTTTCATAACTTGACGCTTCCATGAACAGAATGACTTTGAAATGTGTATTTATAATTTTAGCTTTTATACGACATGCTTATTTTATATTTCTATATGAACGTTGTAGTTATGTGATGTAACATCGCCCCCCCCAAATTACAGGTATACAACTTTTGGTCGGAATACTTTAACTTGCGATTAAAAGCAATTTTAGACTGCTAGATGATCTCTTATGTAATCTAGGTGATGTTGGTAGACTTCCGCAGTTAAGAAAACAAAGACTAAGACAAAGAGAACTATATAGCAATTAATCCTTTTGTTATCACTAAATGTTAGATTCTTTATTGGACAATATTTTGACTTCTGTCTCCGATTGTTATGCAGATATGTGTATATAATCATGTGAACAGCATATTACGTGGAAATTCCCATATTCATTCTCATAATGTCTTACAGCTATTTCGCAAATGACATGCATGTAAGCCTAAATAACACGTGGACGTAATATTGCAGAACTGAGCGAAAAGAAAGGTTGAACAAATCAGATTAAGATATTTTATTTTTTAAATGCACAAAGGGCAACAGTTGAAGAGCAAAAATTAAAGGCGTTGTGAAATAGATCGTGCTTTTGTATGATCCCCTTCTATAGTGCCCTACCCTTTGCATTCGTTCGACTTAATTTCTTAAAAGAGAGTTTCGTCTTCTCGTAGTATATAGCTAGACTCTGCACGTAGCGTTATAGTGCCCCTATTAGCCATGTACAGGGGCGTAGCCAACTTTCAGTCGGGGGTGGGGTTGGGTGCGATTGCCAAAAAACAATATCGGATTTCAGTCTGAGACAAATGGTCAAACATGAGTTTCAAAAAACTTCTAGAATTACCTTATGTAAATATTTACGTTAGCTTGTTTAATTAAGGTCTGACGTTATGAAAACAAAGTGCCATTAATTTCTGAACCGTATAATACAGTATCATCTGTTTGGTCTCGGTATATTCCAGTTTAATTTGTATTATACAAAAGATGATATGTATAATTTGTATTATACCACTTTGAAACCTGTTATAATAGAAAATGATATGCGTATAATACTGTTTAATCTGATCCTGACTTAAATTATATCAGGTTAAACTGGAATATATTTTGGTTTAATCGGGTATCATTCTCTAATGATATTTGAGTCCGGATCAGATGTTATAATATTGAATGATACTTTCTGTGATATTGGATTAAACAACAAATTAAACATCAATATAAGATGTTATCACAAGTATTAATCATAGGATTTTACATAGTGATAACACCTTGTGTGTCATCATAGCAATAGTACGCAGCTGCATATTCTGCATATATGTAGCTACACCCATGCTGTAGCACACTCTCTTTCATTAATTCTTCATTAGAGAAGAACTTACTCAATGTTTGATTCTTTTTCTTTCAAAGGGGAGACCATAATCTTCAAAATCATATATTAATAAATAATCATTCTTAGACTAATAATAAAAAGGAAAATTGAGTAAAATGATTTGGAATGCCTTTTTTAAAATATTCCCTCAAAGAAACAACAAAGTATACTGTTTGGTGTTTCTTTTTAAATTGTCACTGTTTTTTAACACTTTTCATTCACAGCAGTACTTCATCTAAGCAGCTACAATGTACAGGTATCGTTCAGGTATCATACATATTTTCTCAAAACTCACAGAGTTCTGTCTGTTCCATGCAAATGTCATTCAAGTTTGACTTGCAAAAACCAGAAAAATGGATGTTCCCTTTTTCAAAGCTATTGAATTTGGATATTTTGTATCTTCAATATCTCTTTTCGGGTATTGTGATCAAATACAGAATAAATTGCCTAGTTTATTGAAGATTATTGAACATTTTACATCATTAGACCTCCTAAAGATGGCCAAATTATGTTTGAGGAATTACAAAATTATTGTAGAAGTTACCATAAGTTTTGAACCAGGAATCAGATTCATTATCAAAGAGGGCCTTGTGATGAAAAAAGACGTAATCTAGAAAATGGGCAATGGACATAAGCTTGTGAAATTTTTTCACCAGAGCCTATAAATAAATATTTTTGTCATCTGATCATCTCAAAGATAAGGCTTGTTAAACCACATATCATGATTGCAAAGATACATGTATGTCATGCACCCATCCCATACGGTAGATACAATTCTACGATGCCAACCTAAATAAATCAGGACTACTATAGCAAAATGAAAATAAGCCTACAATTGTAAGAAAGTCTATTGTTGCCTAATATTCTACATGTGAATGAATGTTCAACTAAAAGCTATACAAACTGTACATTAAATCTTTATAAATTTTATATCCAAGTTTTTCAAATTGTTCATCAAAGCTTTAAATATTGTACATCAAAGCTTTTAATATTTAGTATCAAAGCTTTAAATATTGTATATCAAAGCTTTACAAATTGTACATCGAAGCTTTAAAACTCCACAACAAAGCTTTACGAATTGTACATAAAAACTTCAGGTATTGTAATATCTATCAAAATTTTATTATAGTACATCAAACTTCTACAAATTGTACATCAAAGCTTTACATGTTGAACATCAGTTACCTCTAAAGGACCTTGAAACAATGGCTGCAAAGAAATATTTTACAACAAAAGTTTAAACCTCCTATTAAGAAAACAAATATGAAAAAATACACATAATGTTTTGAAATGGTGTCCAATTGTCAACACTCGTGGTGGACCAAAGTTCTTCAGTTGTTCTTCTGGGTGAGGAAGTCATAAATGAAAAATGGTCATTGCTGATGAAAATGTTGATTTTTTCGAAGAATCCAATCTTAAACTTTGTAAAATGGGTTTATACTCTACTTTTAACTTTTGTTCTACAATGACTGTTAATACATGTATTGGTTGTGAGACACCATCCTTTCAATTTAGGTTAGTTTTTTCTGGTTTGAAAATATGCAGGAATGTATTCATTGTATATGAATTGTCTCCCCAAAATGTTTATATGTGACAAGATAGAATTAATCGCTTATTAATTATTCTATAATTGTACTTACATTAAAATCTTGGGCCTTAGTTACTCTATGAAGAATAGGTGGCGCTTCCAGTTTATTTGGGAGTTCCGACAGTTCTGTCCGTCTGAATCCTGGGAACTCGCAATATTCTACTGCTTTTTTCCGAGATTCTTTTACTGCGTCATCCACTTCCTGTTTTAAATCACAAATTTACATCATCAACAAAATCTACTATGTCATGAACATTTTCATGTTCATGTTTAGAAATGTTTTTCAACATCGATTCATTTTAATTTGATTTTCAATTTCTAAATGATTAAAAAAAAATTTAACATTAATTAAAAATGTATAAACATTTAAATAATCTGCAAGTAAAGGATGGAGTAAGGGAGAAATAAAATGCTGACTAATCTCCTATTAATGTAGGCATTAAAGTGAATATTATTCTACTCTGCTTGTGGATAAGTAAATGACTTTCAATCACTGTTAAACCCTCCCTTCCATTTTCTCATTTCCCCAAAGGGTGTTGAAGTGATTCCTTGTTGAGCAAAAATGATATTAAGGTAGGACATACCTGTCTCATTATATCATCAAGACCTCCTTTCCTGGTACTATCAGCTTCAATCACAGCACCACCTTAATTTAAGATAAGTATTAACATGAACATTCTCATACACAGAACCACCTTAATTTAAAATAAATATTAACATGATCATTCTCATCCACAGCACCACCTTAATTTAAAATAAATATTAACATGATCATTCTCATCCACAGCACCACCTTAATTTAAAATAAATATTAACATGATCATTCTCATCCACAGTACCACCTTAATTTAAAATAAATATTAACATGATCATTCTCATCCACAGTACCACCTTGATTCAAGATAAATATTAACATGAACAATCTCATCCACAGCACCACCTTAATTTAAGATAAATATTAACATGATCATTCTCATCCACAGTACCACCTTAATGTAAAATAAACATTAACATGATCATTCTCATCCACAGTACCACCTTGATTCAAGATAAATATTAACATGAACAATCTCATCCACAGCACCACCTTAATTTAAGATAAATATTAACATGATCATTCTCATCCACAGTACCACCTTGATTCAAGATAAATATTAACATGAACAATCTCATCCACAGCACCACCTTAATTTAAGATAAATATTTACATGAACGTTCTCATCCACAGTACCTCCTTGATTTAAGATAAGTATTAACTCTTTTGATCGGGACGTCGACTAATTCATCCTATCGGTAAGTGCGGGACGTCGACTATAGTCGACTTTAATACACGTCCTACCCTAATGAGTTTTTGGTTGTATTTATAGATGTCAGGCTATGTCTAACCTTGTGGATTATGTTTGCATAGGACGAAACATAAACGTAACAGGAAGTTAATAATATTTTGTGACTTTTTCATAGAATAAACCGATGTTTTCTCTAATATTATTTGAAATAAAGAAAATGGGATTTAAAATGGCTGCTGCTAGAGCTCGAACTCTCATATGTATTAGGGCTACTGAGGACAATTTTGATCAAATATTCAATGATTTGGACAGTGAAAATGATACTTGATAAAACGAGGTGAAAATTATGATTTAATTTGGATTTTTGGATGGTATTATTATTTTTTTATTATCACATAGAATATTATTTAAATTAATTCTATTTTTCTCATTGATATCATGATCAATGATGTAATTGCTAATCGATACACTAGAATTTGTATGTTATGATGGTTTGAAATGTTAGAACATTATATTGACAGCATGTACTGAAAATTTCATCAACATCTGATGGCTAGATAAAAAGTTATGACTGTTTGAATAAAATTGGTCAAAGTAGACAATTTTCAGGAAATTAATTACTGAACTTAGCAATGTAGCAAATTTGCTAATTACCGGTCAAAAGAGTTAACATGAAAATTCTCATCTGCAGCACCACCTTAATATAAAATAAATATTAACATGAACATTCTCATCCACAGCACCACCTTAATTTAAGATAAGTATTAACATGAACATTCTCATCCACAGCACCACCTTAATTTAAGATAAATATTAACATGAACATTCTCATCCACAGCAACACCTTAATTTAAGATAAATATTAACATGAACATTCTCATCCACAGCACCACCTTAATTTAAGATAAATATTAACATGAACATTCTCATACACAGAACCACCTTAATTTAAGATAAATATTAACATGAACATTCTCATCCACAGCACCGCCTTAATTTAAGATAAATATTAACATGAACATTCTCATCCACAGCACTGCCTTAATTTAAAATAAATATTAACATGATCATTCTCATCCACAGCACCACCTTAATATAAAATAAATATAACATGAACATTCTCATCCACAGCACCACCTTAATATAAAATAAATATAACATGAACATTCTCATCCACAGCACCACCTTAATATAAAATAAATATTAACATGAACATTCTCATCCACAGAACCACCTTAATTTAAAATAAATATAACATGAACATTCTCATCCACAGCACCACCTTAATTTAAGACAAGAACACAAATGTGTACAAAATGTCCCCACCAAGTGGTGATCCCGTGAAATGGTTATCCTGAAAATGAGTAGACAAGACTTTACCAACACAATTTGAGGACGGAAAAATCAAAGTGGCCACCTTTAAATTTACCCAGAATGCCAAAAATTTAGTCAGTTCTAGATTTTCATACTAAGAGCCACCCCTGAAAATTTGAAATTGATCCGTCACACAGTTAACCAGAAAACATGTAAACAAGACTTTACAGACAAGATTTCAGGATGGAAAATCCAAAATGGCTGCCTTGACATTTACCCAGAATGTCAAAAAACTAATCTGTTTGTAGATTTTCATACTAAGAATCATCCCTGAAAATATGAAATTGATCTACCAAACGGTTCACCTGAAAACGGGTAGACAAGACTTTACAGACAAGATTTTAGGACAGAAAATCCAAAATGGCTGCCTTAACATTTACGCAGAATGCAAAAAAAGTAATCAGATGTAGATTTTCATACAAAGAATCATCCCTGAAAATTTGAAATTGATCTATCAAACCGTTCTCCTAAAAACGCATAGACAAGACTTTACAGGCAAGATTTTAAGACGGAAAATCCAAAATGGCTGCCTTGACATTTACCCAGAATGCAAAAAAACTAATCAGTTCTAGATGTTCATACTAAGAATCATTCCTGAAAATTTGAAATTGATCTACGAAACGGTTCACCTGAAAACGAGTAGACAAGACTTTACAGACAAGATTTTAGGACGGAAAATCCAAAATGGCTGCCTTGACATTTACCCAGAATGCCAAGAAACTAATCTGTTTGTAGATTTTCATACTAAGAATCATCCCTGAAAATATGAAATTGATCTACCAAACGGTTCACCTGAAAACGGGTAGACAAGACTTTACAGACAAGATTTTAGGACAGAAAATCCAAAATGGCTGCCTTAACATTTACGCAGAATGCAAAAAAAGTAATCAGATGTAGATTTTCATACAAAGAATCATCCCTGAAAATTTGAAATTGATCTATCAAACCGTTCTCCTAAAAACGCGTAGACAAGACTTTACAGGCAAGATTTTAAGACGGAAAATCCAAAATGGCTGCCTTGACATTTACCCAGAATGCAAAAAAACTAATCAGTTCTAGATGTTCATACTAAGAATCATTCCTGAAAATTTGAAATTGATCTACGAAACGGTTCACCTGAAAACGAGTAGACAAGACTTTACAGACAAGATTTTAGGACGGAAAATCCAAAATGGCTGCCTTGACATTTACCCAGAATGCCAAAAAACTAATGAGATCTAGATTTTTATACTAAGAATCATCCCTGAAAATTTGAAATTGATCCACCAAACGGTTCACCTGAAAACGCGCAGACAAGACTTCACAGACAAGATTTTAGGACCGAAAAATCCAAAATGGCCGACAATAAAAAAGTCCTTATGAGTTTTTGCTGATTTCTTCTTACAAAATTATCACATATAACTACTGTTAACAATAAAGTAGGCTTTTACAGCAAAGTACATCTGAAATTATTTATAAAGCTACTAAATAGTTAAAGTATGAAAACTCAAAAACACCATTCAATATGATACAAAGTATTATCGCGCGCTAACTTTTCTTAAGACATTCAAAATGGCTGACATGACTGAGCTAGCAGGTCCAAAACCTAATCAGATCTAGAATGAAGTGAGTTGAACAAGATGTTAAAGTTTTAAAAGCAACTGTGAAGCAGTTTTTCTTAAAGTTTGCAGACAAGGATTTTAGCATTTGACTTCAAAATGGCCGACAGGAAGTAGGTATCGAGTTAATTTTTTTTCATCCACATCTGTATGCACTCATAAGTTATCCCTGAAAATTTGAAGGTGATATCTGTAGCGGTTTTGGAGAAAACTGCCGGACGTACGGACAGACAGACGGACAGACGGACAGACAGACGGACGCGCCTAGGCCGACAATATGGCCCCACACTATGTGGTGGGGACATAATAAATATTAACATGAACATTCTCATCCACAGCACTGCCTTAATTTAAAATAAATATTAACATGATCATTCTCATCCACAGCACCACCTTAATATAAAATAAATATAACATGAACATTCTCATCCACAGCACCACCTTAATTTAAAATAAATATTAACATGAACATTCTCATCCACAGCACCACCTTAATTTAAGATAAGTATTAACATGAACATTCTCATTCACCGCACCACTTAAAAAATGCTAAAATTATTAAAAAGAAGTATAAATCAACTGATAAATTCTGAAAAATGTGTTACTATAAAATAACACTGCTTATCAATAAATGGGTGACAGCCAAATTTTCATTAAAGAAATCACAATTTGATCAGCAAGAAAGATATTGATCAATCATTCAAATAATCAATCAACCAGTTGATTGATTAATAATAAATAAATGCATAATTCATGACTTACTTTTAGGGGTGTATAGTCCAAGGCTGCTGTGTGACTCGGAAGAATCCTTTTTGTTGACAAGTATCCTATCAGCGTAGAGATGGAGCTGCTCTTCTAGGCATGTAAGTCGATCCTCTATCCCATCCAGTAACTCAAAATTCAATGCTACATGAGTTAAGGACCTGATTATTTCTGTTAATTACAAAATAAGGTATTAACATGCAAAATGTTACAACCTGCCATTTGTTACACTAACAGACGCTGATTGATGGACTCTGAACACCAACTGCCAAACACCATCCACAAAAAAGTTGGACACTCTAGTAATATGTCACCACTTCTTGTGACATCATAAAATGGAAAGCAATCTCTGGTGCTAGTGGAAAACCTTTGGAGACTCTTTGGCACTTAAAAGTGTTCCACTTTCGGAGGTTATTTTAACAATGAGCTAAACGGTCATCGGACTGTTCCACTTACAGAGATGTTCCACTTGAGAGTTTTTATACTTATTTTGATATCACGCTTTGGTAAAAGATACGAGCAGCATTACGTAGTTTTTCTACCATATCTTCTGGCGTGCCCATAAGATCTTTGTGTTCATGTAATTCCATTGGACCTTCAGATGTCAATCGTACTGGCCATTCATTCTAAAAATATATGCCATAAGGGTTAACTATATGGGTTAAAATCGATGTGATGATTTTGTACTTTATAAAGTACTGTTTTGATGTTTTTTGAAACAATTAAACCTTTGTTCATCATCTGACCGTAAATTTTGAGAGATTCCCCTAAATTCTAATCATCTACAGCGTAGTTTAACAGTTAAATTGAAACTCAAATTTGCAGACGATTCATAACATTTCTTGGTCAGCCTTGCGATAAATTTTATCCGTGCTCTATTGACAAAGTATACCTTTGTTATGACAGTTACGGTCAGTGCATTTGGTTTAAACATTTGTTTATACAAGCTAGGGATGAATAACTCTCATACTTCTGCCACGTATCTATAATGTTGAACAGGCATAGTGAAATTATGAAACTTAAATTCATCTTTTAAAATTATATGGATTACTACAAAATATCTAAAATTAGGTAAGTTGGTTCATCGTATCCCTCTTAGCTTAAAGTGAACAGAGAAATACATGTACCACTACATGTATTTCTAGGATGCACTTTTAATTTGTCATGTCAATAACTTTACAATTGCTAAACTAATTATTATCAATTCTTCAAAATGATATCTAAATCATATCAGGCATGTAGCCAGAATTTGCCAAAGGTGGGGGGGGGGGGCTCCAGGCATGTCAACTTGGGATCACCTAACATGAGTGACTTCCGAAATAATGTCTGCCTTGTCAACTCTCACGCATTAGGCGTGATTGTCACGCATTTGCTGGAAAAGATGAAACCACGCATCAATCTTGATGTCACGCAAATCATGCACTATGTTGATACTTAAAATAATTTGATTTTATAAATGAAGGAATGAAAAACAGATTTTGTAATAAATCAAAGGCATATTGTTCTGCATTTTAGGTGACTTTGATAAAGATCAATGAAGCTCCTTTAGTAGAACATAGGTCCCGAATATGATGAAAATTACACTTTCTGCAATTTTCAGACTATTATTAACATGGTAGTGAATGGGCATCAGAAAATGTGGTAGGGGGAGGTCTAAACATTAATGGATTTGGCTGAATTTTTTGTGTGCTTGTTTTCCTTTACAAGGAGGCCAACTGGGCAAAACTCCATCTTGATCCGGAAAAAAAGTTGAAAAGTGAAACACCCTAGAGTGACAAAATAGCAATATTGCAGTTGACAATAAGTCAATATAGTAAGTGACAATATAACAATATTGCAGTTGACAAGACAATATAGCAAGTGACAATATAACAATATTGCAGTTGATATTATGACGCAAGTGATTATATGACAATATCGCAGTTGACAAGACAATATAGCAATTGACAATATAACAATATTTCAGTTGACATTATGACAATATAGCAAGTGATAATATGACAATATTGCAGTTGACAATATGACAATATAACAAGTGATAATATGACAATATTGCAGTTGACAAGACAATATAGCAATTGACAATATAACAATATTTCAGTTGACATTATGACAATATAGCAATTGCAAGTGATAATATGACAATATTGCAGTCGACAATATGACAATATAGCAAGTGATAATATGACAATACTGCAGTTGACAATATGACAATATAAATAGCAAGTGATAATATGACAATATCGCAGTTGACAAGACAATATAGCAAGTGACAATATAACAATATTGCAGTTGACAAGACCATAGCAAGTGACAATATAACAATATTGCAATTGACAATATGACAATAAAGCAAAAGATAATATGACAATAATGCAGTTGACAAGACCATATAGCAAGTGACAATATAAAAATATTGCAGTTGACATAATGACAATATAGCAAGTGATAATATGACGAATAATGCAGTTGACAAGACCATATAGCAAATGACAATATAACAATCTTGCAGTTGACAATATGACAATAAAGCAAGTGATAATGTGACAATATTGCAGTTGACAAGACCATAGCAAGTGACAATATAACAATATTGCAGTTGACATTATGACAATATAGCAAGTGATAATATGACAATAATGCAGTTGACAAGACCATATAGCAAGTGACAATATAACAATATTGCAGTTGAAAAGACAATATTACAAGTAACAATATGACAATATAGTGAGAGACAATATATGACAATATAGTGAGACACAATATGACAATATAACCTTGACAATTGACAAGTTGACAATATAGCAAGAGATAATATGACAATATTGCAGTTGAAAAGACAATATTACAAGTAACAATATGACAATATAGTGAGAGACAATATGACAATATAGTGAGACACAATATGACAATATAACCTGTGATATTATAACAATATTGCAGTTGACAATATGACAATATAGCAAGTGACAATATAACAATATTGCAGTTGACAATATGACAATATAGCAGTAATAATTCGACAACATTGCAGCAGACAATATTGCAAGTGACAATTCGACAATGCGGCAAATATCAGGCCTGTAGCCAGGGGGGTGGAGGGTGGAGGAAGCGATTGTTCCCCTAGCCAGAAATTCTTTAAAAATCATGTAGTTTTTCATCGTTCTGAGTATGTTCACATGATCTTTTTAGCCGAAACTGTGATAAAGCTCCCCCACCTTGGGGTTTGTGTAAAAAACCGGGTGACCGGGTACTTAACATTCCCAGCAGGGTTAGGATTTTTTTTATTTATAACGTTGGATCTGGACGATACATGTACGTTATTTTCGACGTCACATTTTGAGGTTATTTCACATCGTAAGAACGTTTTGACAACGTTAACTTTTAACGTTAAAATAACGTCGGTAATGAACCGATTTAGTGAGAACATATTGACGTCTTTGTAACGTTTCCTTAACTCACAAATATTTTAAAGCCATTTCCACAATGTTGAAATTCAACAATCCATCGACGTTTTGCTGAATATTTAAATAACGTCAGATCAATACGGTCCATGAACGTCATTATTGACGTCACGTTTTTTTCAAATCGAAGAAACGTTTCGACAACTTTAAATTTTAACGTTAACAATACGTCGGAAATGAACCGACTTAGTGAGAACACAAAGTTTTTGTCATGTTTTTTCCACCAACAAATATTTTGATATTAAAAGCCTGTTTTGACAACGTTGAATTTTAACGTTTGAGTTACGTCTCATATGGACCAATGTAGTAAAAAATCAAACGTTCCTGTTTGTTATGTTTTCCACACTAACGAACTTTACGAACACGTTACAACAACGTTCTTTTTATACCATCAATAGATGTCTCATGTTGACGTTGCCTCGATGTGTAAAGAACGAAAAGGTGCAATGTCTTCTAGGAACTTATATGCTACTTATGAGCAACGGGACATGGACGTCACTGTTTGCTGGATCGATTATTTTAAAAAGTGCTCTCAGTTGTCTCGCATAGGGTAAAAATATCGAAACAGCAGTGCACCAAGTCAATTCGCTACTTTATATCGGGGTAAATGTGGAACTTTGAAAGTTGGTAACCCTGCTAGGAACGTTAGGTACCCGGTCTACCGGGTACCCGGTTTTTTACACAAACCCCCCACCTTGGCAAAAGCTCCCCCTTGGTAAAACTGCTCCCCCTGATAAAAACGGCTATGGGGGCCTGTGGAGTACTGATTATGATTGGTAAAAGAATCGTCTCAGATTAAAGAGTCTTTACATGTAGTATATACATAGGCATGCAAAAAGCAGCGATATGCCATTTGTTACAGACACTGAATGTCAACAGCTGGAGGCCATCACAAAAAAGTTGGAGACTATGTCAATGACACCACGTTGACATAATAAAGAAATTAGGAACTTACCATTTTTTCCATGATAAGGAATTCTTCAAATGTTTTGGGTGGTTTGATTACTTCCTCTTGCTCAGGTTCAACTGGCTGAACCTCTTCTTCTCGACCTGAGTCAGTACCGCCCTCTATCCGGGCCATGATTGCAGCAATTTTTGGGTCAATCTGAGCCATCCTTAGTCCATGGATATCTGCAATTTGGAATAATTGTTTTATTTCATATTTCTGGGGGGGGGGGTGAAGTTTGCATCCATATCCCCTGAGCCTGTACATTTAAATGGATGATTGAATTGCAAATTGCAATTGCCTGAATTGGAAATGGATTTGGAAATAAAATGGCCCTTTTATCTCACCAAGACAGATCACAGAAATCAATGAAATGTATAAGATGCAATTGTAGCTTCTATATCTAGAATTGGAATTGCAAACTTACACCAAAACTCTTTATCGTAAAAATAAGAGCAGAAATGTTTTTCCGTCGCCAATGTTAAGTAGGTCAATATTATCAAGAAAGTCAACTTTGAAGGAAATTCATAAAATGAAAACACTACAATGAAATATATTTCAAAACATTTTGGACATTTTCTGTATCAATAAATTTAATAAAACTAATTTTTAAATAAAATTAGACAAAATGAAAAATCAATAGCTTAGATAATCTTATGATGTGAGGAGCTTAATATTTATATTCGATTCATTCAATCGAGTTGCTATTCTAGATACATTCTGGCAGTTTTAGCAACTGGGGTAAGTTTAAAATACGTTATTTACTCTATACATATACTTGCTGTACAAAATTGTGCTATGTAATGTACACAATTGTTGCCATTAATTCATTCTCCAATGCTACCCGAGTACATACTGCAAAATGTATGATGTAAACGACATTTTGTACATTTGACTATCTATATTATCGCCCATGCTAGATCTAAATGATTATAAATTTATTATTAACTTTGTTTTGTTTATTTAGTGAGTCAGACATGTTCTAGTACTCTCTGTTTTACTCATGTCTAAAATTAGACGGTGACACATCGGTTCTGGTGAGTTGGATCATTATTTAGAGTAATAAAGTCAACATCAATATCAAATTTATAAAGGCCTTACTCAAATGACTGTTACTGACGCAGACGCATTTATACACCTACAGTCTGAGCAATAATTTCTTGGATTTGCTGAGGTGAGTATTTCCCATGTTAAAATAAGAGCATTTTCAAGAGGCCATACATCAGTGGATGAGAGTCACAGATGGCAGAGGTTTTACCAGAGAATATCTCTTAAGGTACAGCTGGAAAGTAACATTTTGGTAAAAATTGCTATACCTGCACATGTTATTTTCTGGTACAAAATAAAGTATGAAGGCATGTGTCAATTTTCTTGCTTTTTTCAGGAAAGTATCATTAACAAGTCTTCTTTTAGAATATCTGGTAGGCGTTCAATGAGAACTCCAGGAAATTCTAATATTTCACACTTTCTATTTTTCCAAATTTTCTTTCAAAGTTTCCAGACAACACAGGAGCTACCATTGACCTGTTTCCAGATATTCTAAAAGAAGACAGTGTAATGATACTTTCCTGAAAAAAGCAAGGAAATACACACATGCCTTCATACTTAATCTTGTACCAGAAAATAACATGTGCAGGTATAGCAATTTTTTACCAAAATGTTACTTTCCAGCTGAACCTTAAAGTAAGCAGAAGCGGGGAAGGCTTCTTGAAAAAATTCTTCCGGGTTTATAATTTGCAAATTACATCATAAAACAGTTGAGACGTAACTTAATCAATACAGATTTACGATTAAAAGGGTTCAAGGCTTTAGTTAAAACAATGAAAAATACCACAAAAGGATCGCAGTATTGTCAAGTCTTCGAAAATTTTTGGAGAGTTTGAAATGTTTAACTTTGTTCTTCTCATACTGCCTCTCGTAATTTCTTGGGAGAGTGTAACCCTCAAGATCTATCTCTGCGCCTGGAGGAAATTGCATCTATTCAGCCACATTTGTTTGCACAAATTCTGACCAGTTAGTTTTTGAACATAACACATTGTTGTGATGTTTAATCAATGTAAACATATTCCTTACATTTTTCTTTATCTTGATGTGAAATAACAAGCTAAGATATTGGTTAATACGCCAGAAATTGAAATAATATCATTTGAAGTGATATTAGAAAATTCGAAAATTTTGAGTCATATTTGTTTTATCGATTTGGACCAATCAGGACGGTGTGTCATCTCAATACTAGTGGAACGAGTAAGTTTTTCAAACATTTTGCTGTTTCACTGGTGATCCACTCGATTATGCTGGTTACCAAAACGGTTCGTTTTGGTAACAAAATGTTGGAACATCCGGAAGGTACGATTTTTCTCGTTTCCTTATTTTACACGTTGTAGGCAGAATTCCCACGACATTTTTTAACACAAATGTGTATCAGTATCATATGTTTAAGAAAGTGTACATATTTGCGAACAAATAGTTCAGAAGACAACAGAATCATCGATTTACTTCCTCATTTAAGTTACATAAACAGTTTGGGTTAAACGTGCAGATCTTAACTGTTTTTCGAAAAAACCGTTTATGTAACTTAAGTGAGGAAGTGAATCGACGATTTTGTTGTCCTCTGAGCTATTTTTTCACAAACATGTACATTTTCTAAAACATATGATACTGATGCACGTTGTGAAAAAAAACGTCGTGGGGATTCTGCCTACAACGCGTGAAATAAGGAAAAAAGAAAAATCGTGCCTTCGACGTTCCGACATTTTGTTACCAAAACGGTTCGTTTTGGTAACCAGCGTAATCGAGTGGATCGCCAGTGTGTTTATTAGGTATCTTGAGGGTCAATCATGAGACTAAGAATGTGGTTAACTTTGTTGAAAAAATACCGTAGAAAACAATGGTGCAGGTTTTATAAGCAATATTATTATGGTAGTAGAGATATCAGACTTTCAAAAACTGAAAGTGAAATTAGTTCAACAAGCCTATCCTACTTTTGCTTACTTTAGTGGTCTTTCCCAATGACAATTCTACTATCTGTGATGAGAGCACTGTACAAATCATGGGCTTTCAGCCATGACAAAATGTAAAATATACAAATTTTAGGGAATATGCAGCTAGACAATATTGGAAACTATGGGCTTTCAAACAACCATGGAAGTGGTGATAGAAAGTTGACTACTTATTTATTTATTGCTCAAACTGTAGTTACAATATACTTCCATTGGATAAACATATCAAGCCATTCATTTAATTGACAAGCAATTTAGAGATCGTCCTCAAATTACTCTCATAATGTGACATATGTAAATTGTAAAATTGTATTAAAACTGGAATTGGATCCATTTAACTATATATACTGTAGCTGTGTAGATCGAGGGTATAGATAATGAAGAATTAAAATGAGTTGCTGGTTTTTTAGCATTCCATTTTGTGTTTTTTTTAACTGCCTGAATTTGCATGTAAAAGTTATGTTTTTTGGGGGTACACAAAATGCAGACTTCTCTTTATATCAAATATGTTTGAACATGTAGGCTCACATCTATGGTTCATCAAATCTTTCAAAAATAATCTTCAAAAAGCTTGTCATACCCCTTGTATAGAGGTTTTTATGTCACCACCAAAAGTGGTGACATATTGTTATGGTCTCCGTTTTTTTGCGACGGCGGTTGGTGGTTGGAGGTTGGCGTCCGGCGTCCGGCGTCTGTAACAATTTCTTACAACTTCCTATAACTTAACAAATACTGTTTAGACTGACTTCAATTTTTTTCTAAATCATCTACATGTTCTCAGAAGTTCAAATCTGACTTTAGATTTGACATTTGACCTTCAATGACCTTCTCAAGGTCAAAAAGGTCTTTTTTCAACTTGCTTCACATTGACTAAATTTTTTTTCAAAATCATCTACATGTTCTCAGAAATTCAAATCTGACTTTAGATTTGACTTTAGATTTGACATTTGACCTTCAAATCTGACTTTAGATTTGACATTTGACCTTCAATGACCTTCTCAAGGTCAAAAAAGGTCAAAAAGGTCTGTTTTCAACTTGCTTCAAATTGACTAAATTCTTTTTTCAAAATCATCTACGTGTTCTCAGAAATTCAAATCTGACTTAAGATTTGACTTAAGATTTGACATTTGACCTTCAATGACCTTCTCAAGGTCAAAAAATGTCAAAAAGGTCTGTTTTCAACCCTTCTTCAAATTGACTAAAAAAAATTTTCAAAATAATCTACGTGTTCTCAGAAATTCAAATCTGACTTAAGATTTGACATTTGACCTTCAATGACCTTCTCAAAGTCAAAAAAGGTCAAAAAGGTCTTTTTTCAACTTGCTTCAATTTGACTAAAAATTTTTTTCAAAATCATCTACATGTTCTCAGAAATTCAAATCTGACTTTAGATTTGACAACATTTGACCTTCAATTACCTTCTCAAAGTCAAAAAAGGTCAAAAAGGTCTTTTTTCAACTTGCTTCAAATTGACTAAATTTTTTTTTCAAAATCATCTACATGTTCTCAGAAATTCAAATCTGACTTTAGATTTGACATTTGACCTTCAATGACCTTCTCAAAGTAAAAAAAGGTCAAAAAGGTCTGTTTTCAACTTGCTTCAAATTGACTAAATTTTTTTTCAAAATCATCTACATGTTCTCAGAAATTCAAATCTGACTTTAGATTTGACATTGATTTGACCTTCAATGACCTTCTCAAAGTCAAAAAAGGTCAAAAAGGTCTTTTTCAACTTGCTTCAAATTGACTAAATTTTTTTTTCAAAATCATCTACATGTTCTCAGAAATTCAAATCTGACTTTAGATTTGACATTTGACCTTCAATGACCTTCTCAATGTCAAAAAAGGTCAAAAAGGTATTTTTTCATCTTGCTTCAAATTGACTAAATTTTTTTTTCAAAATCATCTTCATGTTCTCAGAAATTCAAATATGACTTTAGATTTGACATTTGACCTTCAATGACCTTCTCAAGGTCAAAAAAGGTCAAAAAGGTCTTTTTTCAACTTGCTTCAAATTGACTAATTTTTTTTTTCAAAATCATCTACATGTTCTCAGAAATTCAAATCTGACTTTAGATTTGACATTTGACCTTTAATGACCTTCTCAAGTTCAAAAAAGGTCAAAAAGGTCTGTTTTCAACTTGCTTCAAATTAGCCAAAATTTTTTTTTCAAAATCATCTACATCTTTTCAGAAGTTCAAATTTGACTTTACAAGTTCTCAGAAGTTCAAATCTGACTTTAGATTTGACCTTTGACCTTCAATGACCTTCTCAAGGTCAAAAGGTATTTTCCAACTTGCTTTAAATTGACCAAATTGTTTTAGGTGGTGACATTTTGTCATGTTAATGCCTTGTTCTATTTTACAATAGATACACAGCTGCAGATAGCAGTGGTTTCAAATAAATACAGAAATGGCGAAGTGCATATCTCAAGAAACATTTGATGGGGTTGTCAAGGAAAACATAGAGGAGTTTGATCTCTCACCAAAAGAAGCTGTCAGAGATGCTGTGAAACAATTTGAATCACAGGTAAAAATTTGAAAATATTTAGGAAATTAGTTTTTTAAATATGATGCAATTTAAGTTCAGATGTAGGATAACAAACCATACCAGAGTTTCTCGCAAATGGGCGTTTATTTTGCACAGGGCATTAATTTGAAAGAATTTTTAATAAACGCCCATGGGCCTTTATTTAGAGGGGAAAAACATTTTTCGAAGGGGGTGGGCATTTATTATGAGGGCTTTCCTAAGCCAGTGGCATTAATTTCGAGGGATATGATCGATCGAAAAGTTGACACATGGCCTTCATACTCATTCAATAATATCATAAATGCGGGCAAGAATGTTGACCACTATATGACCTTTTGTCATATTTTGCTACATCATGTCAAGCTGACCCCAATTCTCTGTACTGTTTGCCACTTCTGTTTTTAAGCAATTTCAATCCTTTTCTGGAATGTTTTCACCCACTGAGCATTTATTAAGAAGTCTTTTAAATGAACACCCATGGGCCTTAATGAAGAGGGAAAAATACACCATCTTTCAAATAAATGCCCATGGGTCTATTCACGGGAAACTCCAGTACATGTAGTCAATTATAATAAAATAAACTCCAGAAAATAAATCGACAATTATTAAGTTACTTTTCGCTCCATTTCCAAGTCATTACAATCATTTTTAGGTACATAGTGTTTATATATCCATGTCAGTGCTTGATTTTTTGCAGGGTGTCAACTTGTCAAATATAGTTAAAGATTATGCCACCAGGAGTGCTGGAGATGGCTCGGGGATGCATAAAGTCGTGGAAGCCCTTGAGAAACTCGCAACACTTATGCAAGAAGATGACCCTGATAAGGAACAACTTCTTCAACAATTGGCAATAGTTCAAGCAGAATGCGAAGTTGATATTGCACACCGAGTACTTGCATCATCAAACAAAGCCTACAGTATATTATTCCAAGCTACGGAAAAGTATCTCAAAAATGATGATATGCTCGAGAATATTTTGAAGACTTTCGCAGCTCTCATTAACGGACAGCCAGATTTGCTAGATTACCCAGGGATCAAATTATTCATGGATCTCCTGAAGGAAGCAAGATCGTCAAGAATCTTATTTTTAAGCATCAAAATCATCGCTCTTTGTTGTGTTATGCATGAAGATAATCGCCAATGGTTCGTTAATTCTGGTCTTATTCCGCTGATGGTCAACACATTAGATAAAAATAGATCCGACCCAGAGATTGTAAAAGAGGCGTGTTTTTCTCTCAGAGCACTTACATTTGATGATGACATCAGAGCACAGTTTGGAAAGTCACATGACCATGCCAAGATGATTGTCACGGAAACTGATGCTTTGAAGATACTAATGAATATATGTCAAGGTAAATAATTAGAAATCTTTAAATTGTAAAGGACTCGATAAAGATCCCAAATTAATCAAAATGTGCAACCTCAAAAATTAAAAAAATATTGCAAAGATTATATGCAGAATTTACAAACTTTCATTAATTAATGGAAATAGAAATAAACATATTAACGTAAGTAAAGAGGACAACAGTTTTGAAAATCAATAAAATAGAAAATACGGGCTTTACTTTTAAACATGAAATAAATATGAATTTTTTTTCAGACTACAGTAGTAACAAGGGGGTCCTGACTGAAATATTTTCTACGTTAGCAAAACTGTAAGTCCCTCTGTCTTGATATGTCATTACTGATATCTTCATTATCTATCGTTAGATTATTAATTTTCTATACATGATTCATGAAAATTGAGGTAATATTTAAGTTTGGTCAAATCTGACTTATATACTGAAAAATACTGTTCATTTTAAGTTGTCATCTTTAAAGGTATCTGACAGAAAGTGATATCAAAGACAGTTTAACTTGTTTAGATTATTCTTTGGTTATGCATAAAGTATTCCATGCTTTTTCTTAAGCTCCAATTTAAAATTGTGTATGACTTTCTTTTGGTTTGGACGGGAGGATGTCTTGGACACTTGAAAAACCGTCAAATTAAATAAATGCCAATAGGCCAAAAAACAGAAAATTGCCAAATTAAGCAGCGCCAAATTAAAGACAAATACAGTATTGTATTTGAAGTGTATACATGGTAGAGCTTTGCATACAGGAGCATGCCAATGGATTTTATCTTTTATTATTACATGTATGGCCTTAAGGGTAGATCTACTTTGAGATATTTGTTTTCAGTGCTGTGCGAAATGAATTCTGTCAAGAAATAATGGACCTAGGAGGAATGTCCTTAATCGTTAATGCTCTCCATAGCTGTATGGAGCACCAAGTAAGAATGCATATAAGATTATTAAATGAGATTTCAGATTATAAAACTGTCAAGGTGTACATGTGGCTAGCATTGCTAAGCCAATGAATGTTTTTTCATATGATTAATGCCTTGGTCACATATGCTCCGATCCATCGGCTGGCGCCCGGCTGATTGAGTGTTTTGTTCAATATTGTATTCAATTTTGAACAAAATACTCAATCGGTTGGGCGCGCGCCGTGGTAAAATTCGGAGCAAATGTGACCAAGGCATTAGTATTAGCATATTAGAGCTAACAGGGTTCTGAAAAAACAAAATTTCATGTGATTCTTTTGAATATCTGTCTGAACCAAGTGTTACATGTTAAAAAGAATTAATCCATCTGTGCATACACTTTCAATATACATTTGTTATGTGCAATCATATTTAACAAATCAAAAATGATGGAATTTAGGCCAATAGCCAGCCTTTGCCAAGGGGGTTTCACTTTTCAAAATGAAATTCCAGGGGGTTCACTTTTTACATCTTTGGCCCAAAATCACTTGAAAAGTGCCCAGAATGGTGAAAACTGCTGTTCCAAGCTTTCCGAAAGGGTACTTCTGCATATGAACACCACCAATAATATACAGTGTACATAATACTAATGGAAACATATACTCAAGTCATATTCACCAGTACATGCAAGTTATAATTATATTCAACAGGGTGTCAAAAAGCTACCGTAATTTTTTACAGGGTGTTACAAAGCTATAATTATCATTATATTTTACAGGGTGTCACAAAGCTATAATTATCATTATATTTTACAGGGTGTCACAAAGCTATAATTATCATTATATTTTACAGGGTGTCACAAAGCTATAATTATCATTATATTTTACAGGGTGTCACAAAGCAGGGAATTGGTGTGTTAAAGACAATAGGAGGCAATGACAATGTTAGAGACGCAATCGTTGACAATGGAGGTGTGGAGCTGATTTTGACTGCAATGTCTAAACATGCCAACAACCCAGGGGTTTGTGAAATAGGTAAATAATTTGCGAATGTCATAAATAACAGTTACGATTGTGCGTTAAGCACTGCCTAGTACTCGGGTCATCTCAGAACTTCCTTATCAAATATCCTTCTTGCATTTTATAAAATGTCAATATTTAAAATAATGCGTCTTTTTCAAGTTTTATACAGCAAAATAAAATAACTTTTTGAGCAATCATGTCACATCATCTATTAAGTAGAAAACAGCATGTAGCCAGTGTAGTGTTATCCTTTGCATTCGTTTGACTTCACTTCTTAAAAGAGAGCTTCATGGTTTATAACTTGACTCTAAACGCAGGGTAGTGCAGTTTATACAGTGTACATAAACAACCAAAATATGTAAAATATAAATAATTCGAACATGACTGTATTTACGCCTTCTGTGAACGGATACACCCCTTAGGGCTAGGCACAAAAGCTTTCGAACCCCTGACTCCCTTCAGCCGTTCGGGGTCTATATTTGTTAAATAACCTGACTTAGCAAGCAATCTGATTGGTCTGCAGCATCACATTATTTGCATATTTTCAGGATGCTCTGCCCTTGCAACACTTGCTTTGAGAAGTAACAAAAATTGTGCGAAGATTGTCGAGAATATGGGGATACAAGTGATCATTCAGACAATGAAGATACAGAAGGATTCACCAAAAGTACAGGTACAGTATTTTGGCGTGCACTTTTAACATTGAGATGATCTGTAGTTCAAGTTATCGTGTCATCACCAAAGATGGTGACATATTGTTATGGTCTCTTTTTTTGTGACGTCGATTGGTGGTTGGCGTTCGGTGTCTGTAACATAAAACTTCCAATAACTTAACAAATACTGTTTGGACTGACTTCAATTTTTTTCATTATCATCTACAAGTTCCAAGAAGTTCACATCTGACTAAAATTGAACTCGTAATATTGTGAGCAACTACATGTAGGTGTTGACATTTTGTCATGTCAATGCCTTGTTGTTGATAAGTATAGGATGGTGCACTGCAAACATTGGGCTAGAGGCTCCATCAAACGAAGTTTTTACTCGTGTTATTTTACTTATTTTACAATTACTCTAAAAGTAATACAGCAATTTTGTTCAAATTTGATATATGAATACTCATTAGCATGGCACACTATCTTATAAAGGATAATGCGATTTTGTTGAAATTTTAAATGTACCACTTTGTATTACACATTCTTATGACAATTATGGAAAATAACATGATAGCTGATTTGTAACTTTTTGTATTAATCTTTGTCAATAATATCATATTGTCCCTCAGAATAAAACCCATATACACTCCCCCCAGTTAATAATCATCCACCAAACAAACGGCTCTAGAATTCTCATCCACTTACTTTCCTTCAGAGTAAGGTTAATAACCTAATGTATGATCAATATCTCGTTTCAGGCCAAAGCCTGTATGGCTCTTCGCAACCTAGTCTCCAGAACAAAAGACTACATTCCACTAATACTAGAACAAGGGGCTGAAGATTTGATAAATCAGGCAAAGAATAGTGACGAGAAATGTCACGATGAAGCTAAAGCAGCATTAAGAGATCTTGGTTGTAAGGTTGATTTGAAGACACCGTGGATGGGAACGGGCATAGCATTAAAAGTTGACTGAAGCTTAAAGGGCCTGCGTGAACAATCAAATTACTTTGAATATAACATGGATCCTTAAATCTTATAATTAGCCAGCAAGGAGGGTGTATGATATGTACCTATAATTAATCCCGATACTTAAATATCTTGATAAAAAAGTAGCGACAATATTCCTTTGTATCAGATATTTCACTATTGGAGGTTAATTTGAGGAAATACAACATATCCAGTGATATTATCCACCCAAGGCACCGTAGGAACCGAGCGTTGATATATTGTATTTACCGAGGGATGAACCCTATATCAAAAATTAGCATTTAATTATCCTATACTTAGTAGATTGTAGTGTGCGTTGAATGTTAGGGAACCCTAATGTAGTAATTACTAACGATAATTGCAATCAAAGCATGAATATTTTATCTGAATTCATTTTTTAAAACTCAAAAGCTTTTAACATTTAACTGTAGAAAAAGCACTGAACGAAATTCCTGGGAAATGCTGAAGATCGCGTAATATATATATCTCCCACTCACCTCCGATGTTTTGTACATTGAAACGTGTTGTACATGTATTGTGCATTGAAATGTCATGGACATGTGTTGTGCATTGGAATGTCATCTATATGTATTGTACTTTGAAATGTCTTGTACATGTGTGCTTTGATTTTCCATGTACATGTATTGTGCATTGAAATGTCATGTAAATGTATTGTGTATTGAAATGTCTTGTACATGTTTTGTGCATTGAACATGTAATGTGCATTGAAATGTTATGTACATGTACATGTATATTTTGGATATCTCTAAATGTTCAAGTTGTTGATGTTATGTTACATATTACCAGTCTCTCTTTCATTGGACACTCTATCAACACATAAAAAATCATGAAGATTCCTTAATATTATTGAGAAAGTTATTCCAAAATACTTGGTAGCATTTATTGTGTAACCTGTATATTGTTAACAGTTTTAATCTCTTTTTGTGGATTGTACATTGTAATTTTAAGTGTCCCATAAGCCTTTGAAGGCTCGGTCTTATATATATGTAAAATAGTATATGTATGTTATAACACTAAACATTAGACACTGTAATAAACAAACTCACTAACTTACTTACTTATCATAACAAAGTCGAATGTTGTTTTTTCCTGTCTGAAATGCCTCAATCATATATATATTTTTTTTAAATTTTTATATTTCCTTTATTTCATAATACATCATACAAACAGATACAAGGCCTACGCCGAAGCATTATTGGCCCTCGATCATATTTGATCTACGACATCCGTTCGGTGTCACCAGCTTCCCAAAATCAATATAAAATAGTGCAGCATAAAAATAGAAGGATAAGCAGTTTGGTGTAGAATTTCTATATCGATTTTGTGAAGCTTCGTCTGCCGTACGGCAAATCATGGACTTTCAACAGTCTCTTGAAATCCCATTGGCAAACGTCACTAAAGCTTAAGTTACACGTACATGTACCAGTGCATGGACCACATGCGTAAAAACGTCTATAATGTGTGAGCTGACAACTCATTATAGTCCAAACAACGAGGCGTTATTAGTACACATTTTTTTGATATGAACTCTCGCCTCTCTCCAACTGTCAAATTAATTAGAATTCACGTTTTAAGGAACTTAAAAGAGAGCTTCATCTACCCTTTGAGTATATGAAATAATCCTTTCATCTAGACTCATCAAATTAGGATACTGAGAGTGCGGTTAGTTTTAGTCCAGCTATCCAAACAAAATATAACATTGTGCAGCCTTTTATCCGTATGGTGTTGTGCTGTGTGTTTAATTGTACAATGTGATCAACGTTTTAGATGGTAGATCATTGCTATTGATAATTGGTGTGGAGTGCACTTGAGAAGGAACTTAGATTATGAAAAAATAAGCATAAACATAAAAAGGTGTAGTTCTTGAATACGATGATATGACTCACCCATACGATGATGCTGGTTTCGCTTTTGATATTTGCGAGAAGCGTAATGCGAGTTCGCATATGGTGATGCGAGTTTTGCGCCATTCGGTTTGAGTATCGGATCATATTGTTCGTTTTGTCGGATGAAGTATGAAAGGATTTTGATCCAGATTCAGAAAATGTTCCATAGAAACATATCATGAAAGCACCTCGTGTAGATGTAGTATCGATATATCATGATAACAGTGATGTGTAAAATTAGATGATTGTTTATAAAATTGATTTAATCATAACTATTTTTTTTGTTATTGCAATACTTGTAATGTAAATTTAAGCCCGTTGAAAAATAAGGCCCAAAATGCCCAAGTTATGTTCAAAATAGGCCCACTAATTAAGGCCCTACATCTGGCCTCAAAACCTTTTTTCTTGGCCCATCCTTGGGGTGGGGACGGTGTTCCACCAGTGCGTCGTACAACCGGGAGTGAGTTGAAGCTAGTTTGAATTATTTCGACTATGAATATGAGTCTTACTTCAAAGAAACACCGACTGCTATGCTACACAGATGTACCAATACTATCACGACGTCGCAACATTTCATTTGAATACGATCAAGAACTTCTTAAATTTTCAATTCGTTGCAGCACGATAATTTGTCGAAAAATATAATTTTCATGAAGTTTCCGGTAGCTTGAGAATTAACTATCTATAAAAAGCAACTAAAGCAGCTTATGTCTTTTGAATCCTCCGATTAAAATCTATAAGTGGTATTGTTTAAACAGTTTAAAAAAACATAAGTAGCGATTTTCTACAATATGATTCAATACTGAACGAAAAATAACGGGACATATCTTTTTTATTTATTTGGAAACTACGCTTTTACAACAGCGGCACACAAAATTGGTGCGTCCATGCGTTATTATGATGGTAAAAATTATAGTTGGAACTTGAAACGTTCGTTTCTTTTGCCATCACAAAATATTTCCTTTTTTGACCCCACATCTTCGAAAAACTTGGAAAAAACTTGGGATGGCTGTCAAATTATAACAATGGATGTTTTTCCGAGAAACTGGGGACATGATGAGCGCATAGGCAGACGAGTTGACAGAACAACGTTCATAGACTACTAAACTAAACTCATACTCAGAACGCAGGATTTCGGACGTCATCCACTTAGTTCCTATTTTTAGGAAGAAGGATGTACGATTTCTGGAGGCCTGTGTTCGGAAGATGAAGTAAACTACATAAACTTGTGATCTCATGAAAATAGTCTACGCGTTTCCCGACCCCCTGACATAGGGACAGCGATTCAAAATACTGCCCACATACTGTACGTAGATTGGTAAATTTAGGTTGGCGTCCAGCAGAATATGCAATATATGTACTAATGACCATCAAAAAATACAAAACATTCGTTAAATTATATCAGCACCAGTGGTATCACATTATGGCACATTTTTTTTCACAAAATGAATCAATAATGAACAATGTTATTTAAAAAATTCTAGTGACAAACTGTTTTGTAAGCTGTATCGATGTCTGTATTGATTACAATGCGAATTCTAGTTTCAAATGAAGCAAGTTCATTCACTCGGGAGTATCACCATGTACCTATACAGTATAATCACGAGGCTGTCACATGTAGCAATGATTTGGTTTGAGCTGTGGCAAATAACCCATTATACTTCTTAGATCTGCTAGTTGTGAATTAGGCATTAAACTATTGTTTCGTATTGTATGTGACGAAAATCATTTTTATTAATATTTTTTTAATTCAGAAGCTGGGTGTATAAAGCCATTCTAGGTGATACGGCCGTCAGCTGCTACGGTCGCATCCAGTAAAAACCAAGGCAAAACGGGTACGGACACTGTTTATAATGTTTTACAAAATACGCAATGTCAATGGAGTGAAAGTATCTCGAGCATCTCACACTTTTCATGTAGACACGCCACATACATTTAAGCACCATTAATAATAAATAGAGCTCTGTGACATATGTACGATATGTATATAGGTTATTTACTGGGAGGGATTGAATATGGGTTTTATTCCGAGGGACAATATGATATTGACCGAGGGACAATATGGTATGGTATTGTTACATTTGGACTAAAATTAGTCAAGACCAAAATTAACCAATCAATTAGTCAAGGTTAAAAATAACCAGGAATACAAAAATAGGTTAATACGCTCCAATACGATTTTTCCCGGGGACAATACGATTTTATCATGTAATATATCATTCAATACGATTTTTATTCCTTCATATTTCCCTGTGAAAACAGTAGTATTATGGAATAATAGTATGTATAACTACGATTCGATTAATTAGAATATTAGCTTGAGGATCTCATGGAAATGCTCTTATTTTGATATTTTGTATTGACTAAGTAAGTATGGCATTTTTAGCGTCTTTATCCGATATTTTCGATTTCATATCTGAAATTTCAATTTTCTTGTTTGCATTTTCACTTCTCAATTCAAACTTTCATTTTTTGTCCAATTTTTTCAATTACATGTTTGCTAATCCATATTTCCTGTTTGATATTACCATGGGCTCTACCACCACATTTTTTAATTCAAACTTTCAAAGTTTTTATTCAATTTTAGTAATGTTGTTTAAAATAAATCTTCAGTGTTTGATATTTTTAATGAGCAATTACACATCTGTCAAACTGCGAAAAAAGCTACGAAAAGGGAAAATTAATCATCAAACACCAAAAATGAATTTCAAACACTGAGAAAATCTCTCATTGCAAGATCAATAATAGCTTCGATGTTAATTTTTTAGGATTCAAAAGGATTGAACAATTTCTTATATACTTCCTTAAAATTTCGATCCAAAAGTTCAAACCAAAATGATAAAATGCTCGAACCAAAATTGTACATAAATTTGAATTAAGAAATCGAGACTTGCATTTTTCTATTCAAACAGTTCGGCATTCTGGAGTTCGGCATTCCCGATATAATGCCATTACAGCCGAGACCATCAAAAAAGAAAAAATAGTTCTCAAATTTTTCCCACTCTATGAGTACATGTAAAATATTGATATAATGCGCATGCACAAAATGCTGTTTGAACAGTTTAAACAGAAGAATAAGAAACGCCGAACTGTTTGAATGGAAAAATGAAAAGTTAGATTAAGAAAAATGTATACATCAAACACCAAAATGAAAAGCTCAAGCATGATATGTTTAAAAGTTTGGAGATAAAAATTGGTTTGAGATCGTGTAATTATTCCTTTGGACTATATATTTTTCTTATTCGACATACGTTTTTCTAATTTGAAGTTCTTAACATTCACTTAGAATTTTTTCCTTATTTGATGTTTTAGAAAAAATGCTTTGATTTTAGATCTCTTTAGATCATATTTTCCTATTTGATGTTTAAATATATTTCGACTCTTTAAAATATATCAAATGTGAAACTAACATTGAATTTGAGCCATTTCTGACAACATAACTAACTAAGTGCATTTGTTGACTTAGCTTATAAAATGAAGAGTATTAACGGACAAGAGAACGAAACAGTCCATGAACTTGAAGCTGATAAAAATACTCCCTTTTTATTATTATAATTTATTTTTTTGTTTATAGAGATAAAAAGGGGATTAAGAGACTGCGACCGTCATGTGTGTTGTACATTTTGTGATGTTAGTTACAAAATCTAGTATCACTCCGCATGCCAACAACTGGAGGTGTGATTTGGCTTTAAGCTGATGAAAATACTCCATTTGATTAATATCTACATGTAAATGCTCTACCTTGTACGTACGACAATAACCCCACATCCTATCTTTTAATCCCATGTTACTACGCTAATTGCAGCGTCGATTTGTATTTGATTAATCTTATTTTTATCTAGATTTACTTCACAAGCTGGGTATATAAAGATGATATATATATATAGATGATACGGTCGCATCGCCCAGCGCCCATCCACTAAGTCGGGGAAACCGGGGCAAAACAGGACTCTGTTTCCAATGTTTTACACAAAACGCTTTAAGTGGCAGGCCCGTAGCCAGAATTTTCCAAGGGGGGGGGGTTCACTTTTCCTAAAAATTCTAGGGGGGGTTCACTTTGGCATATTTGGCCAAAAAGCACACAAAAAATGGTCAGAATGGTGAAAAACTGCATGATTTTGAAAGAAATTTTGGCCAGGGGGGGTTCGTCTGAACCCCCCGAACCCCCCCTGGCTACGGGCCTGAGTGGAGTAAAAGCATATTGAGAATCCACACTTTTTATACACTAGAAACATAAGCACCCTAAATATAGATGGGAAACTCTATATAACATTTGTCTGTAACTGTATGATGCATCGAGAATAAGTATCAACTTGGGGATCTGATGGAAATAATTGTCATTACGGGAGAAGTGTATTTGCTGATTTAAATAAAATGACAAGATTGTGAACGAATGTGACAAGAGAACTTGAACTTGAAGCAGACGATAAAAATACTTCGTTTTTGTAATTGTTGTCATACTTTTTTTCTGTTGAGAAAGAAAAATAAGAGATTGTGAGACTGACTTTGGACGTCGTGTATATATTGTACATACGAGGCCCGATCAGAAAGTAGGTAACCAACTGCTCTCATTTTTTCATATTTCATTCAATCACATTTAAATTTTCACAGATGATGTAGGAAATATTAACCTATTAAACAAAACCAAGTACGATGGGTAAGCGTCAATGCCATTATTATGGCTGTTGCTATGGTAATGATTGTTTTGGGTAGGCGGGTCACCCTTTTGTAAGAGGATTTAATATAGAAGATGATTTGTAGAGTTTTTACAGGGTTTGTGTAAAATCCGGGTGACCGGATAACTTGGTAGCCGGGTGACCGGGTACTCTACCTTCCCACCAAGGTTAGGAATTTGATTTTTTTCATATGCCCCAAAACGCCCACCTGACATCCCAATAAACGTACTCAGTGACACAACCAATGAAGCAAACAACCAAACAAGCAACAAAATTTATTAACCAATAAATCAACCGGCAAAACGACAAACAAAATTAATATAATGTCAATCAGTGAGGCAATAAATCAAGAGTGAAACATTGGCTCAACTGCATTGACTTTGGTGGTAATTAGTTCGAAGCACTATGAGTTAATATGTACGTCTTACATGTAAATTTGATATATTTGAGGTATTACAACATGAAGAAAAAACTCTATAAATTATCTTCAAACGCAAATCAAAACAGGGTGCCCCTCCTATCCAAAACAATTGTCACCATAGCAACAGTAATAACAACGGAATTGATGCTAACCCATTGTCCTTGGTCCTGTTTAATAGGTTAATATTTTCTACATCATCTGTGAAAATGTCAATGTAATTGAATAAAGTATGAAGAAATAAGAGCAGTTGGTTACTTACATTCTGATCTGGCCTCGTATATGGAATTGTAACCCTGTGTAACAAAATCCTGTATTACTCCGTATGGCAACGAGACTGCGAATGAATCATTGAACTGGATAAAAAAACTTAGATTTTGTTATTTTAATCTATTTTCAGTTTATAGAGATAAAAATGAGGGATTAAGAGAGAATGAACGTCATGTTTTGTACACATATGGAATTGTGACGATGCATTACTAAATTTTGTATTACTCCGCATGGCATCAGCTTGAGGTGTGAATTGGTTTTAAGCTGATGAAAATACTCCATTTTATTGATATCTACATTGTCAATGATTTTACATCCTGTCTCTTTTACAACGCAGATTGGCAGCGGAGTAATAGAACAAATAGGATATAGGAAGTAAAGTGGTTACCGCTGATGAAAATAGTCCACGTGTGTGATGCATGATAAAATGAGCCGTAACTTGGTTCCATTGTCTTTAACGGCAATTGGGCTTCGACGGAGAACATTCAAGGTGAAACGAGATTAAGGTAAGGAGAAAGACTAATATAATACAAACTTTATAATATGTTAAAACTTTATTTTCAATACTACAATTAATCTTAGGAAGAATACATATCAACTATAATAAAGATGGCGCATGATGATACTGTTTATGATGTCCTAAATATGTCAGTCAATTATGTGAATTAAATGGTCTTATTTTTTATCTATTTATTTGGAAATTTTGATTTTTGTGTAATAAGCCTAGTGGGTTTTTATAAACAACAGCATTTCAGTTTATTTTAGGGTCATTTACACAATCCTTTTCAAAACCCTCTAAATTAGTTTTATCAAATGATCTCTTAGGAGTTCTAAAATGTTTGTCAAGAACCCTGGCAGCATTCTTAAGATCACTTCTGAGTCTTGATTTAGCCTGGTTACTACCCTTACAAATAATTTTTCGTTAGAGTGCATATCATTCCAGAATAGAGTTAATTGCTCTGTCCAATAAGGTTTACACTTACGCAATTCTTTTTAACACGTTTGCTAGAGACAGGCAGATTTAAGGGCGAAATGTCGAAGAAAGATTATGAACATTATGTAACAATAACTCAGTTGAAACAGAAATATATTTTCTTTTCCATTGCAATAGATATGATGATTTGAGAGAAACATACGTGTACTTTGATGAGGTAAATTTTAAAGATTTGGATAATGAAGGTAGCAAAATTGAATTTCTTTTTAGGGAACATACCTGTAAAATTGTAAAATTTATTAAGATTGCTTTTATGCGGAGAAGGCAATTCATTCGAAACATGTGATATTGATTTTCGTGTATTAATTCTGTATCGATTCCGTTGTTAACAGTGGTTAATAAGCCCAAGGTGGGCTGGGTGAATTTGTAATTAATTGTTTTATATTTAATAGATTTGTAAGACTGACCACCAAAAATAAATAAATTAACTAAATTAAACTAAAGTAGACTAGACTAGACTAGGTTTTTTTACTGAATAATTTGCTCTTATTTACAAATTAGACACATTGTAGATATAAAACTCATATACGATAGCGTTTTTGTTGGGGTGGGGTATTTCCTGAGGCGTGAACATGGTATGCAAAAGTGAATGTGCATGACCGATATACAATACCTAGTATGGTTTCAAAAATTAGCAACTTTAAAATAATCATCAATAATTCAAGATATGGTTAGACGTTGCTCATTTAGTTATTGTGTTTTACTCTCATAACTGATAATCTTTGCCTAATGCACTCCCTAAAAGATTTGGATTATCTGTGTTTGTTCTTTTGTGTCCAATGTGAATGTCGCCAGTGTCAGGATTTCATCGTTACTGCGCAATTTACTCATAATATTCGTCCACTATCCATAACACAATTAAGCAAGAAGTGGTATTTCCAACTGAAATTGAAAATATATATTGTTTAGAGGTACATGGAAGGAAACAGCTCGTTTTACTCTATCTAATATTTCTTCTAATTTATAATGTTATATATATATATTTGTATGTATGCATGATATTAGCATTTTGCAATTGTAGGGTGTTGTAGGGTGCGATAGAATGACCATGATCATTTGTGGGTTGGGGGCTTAATATATTTGTTGAGACGTGATTAAGGATGTCACTGTCCGACACATATCATGTGGAGTTAAACGATGTTCATATATTGGTGCATTACTTTTCATTTGTAGGGTTTCTCTTACCTTTACCGACTTATACAATGAAGGGGTATATTTTAGCGATAGTGTTTTCGCTTTTGATCATAGCGGCTCTCGCTGGCCGTGGCAGAAAATTCCGTGGCAGAAAATCTCGCCCGAAATTCCGTAAGTCGACTTTTTTCTTTTCACTCTATACATTATTTACATGAATATGTGTCAAAGCAACAATTATACAATCTTCATATAGTGAATAACATGTTCCATACAAAATTAGAGATATTTCGAAATTCCGAAATTCTGTTTAAGACTAATGTCGAAAATTCTCCAATGAGATATAAAATAGTGATTATTCAATGTCGGTTTAAACAACTATATAATCTTTTTAACAAGTATCAATTTTCCAAATGTATTCATCGGTTAGGTAAAGCTAATTAATTTGTATTACTTTCCTCAAATCACTAACCAAAATAATTTACTTTTTCGAGCTTTCGGTAGCAGCTACTACCTTTGTCAAGATGATATATTGGCGGGAAATGGGCTGACCCTTGACCTGGTTTTGGTTTTGTTGGAACTACACAGGAGTAAAACCCAAACCAGGTCAAGGGTCAGCCCATTTCCCGCCAATATATCATCTTGACAAAGGTAGTAGCTGCTACCGAAAGCTCGAAAAAGTAAGTTATTTTGGTTAGTGATTTGAGGAAAGTAATACAAATTAATTATCAATTGAAGTTACAGACAGCTCTCAATCAGCTGTTTCAACATACAAAATGCTAAAAAATAATTGTAATGTTTATAAAAGGGACAACAAGGACTGTTCGAAAATTCGAATTTTTTTCTGAGCTATCAGGTCAATATTGGCTTAACATCTTCTTTGACATACCTATTTTCTTAAAATGTATGGACAATTAAACTATCAATTTAAGCATTAAGAAGTGTGACTTCAGTTCAAAGCTTCTATAAAGGGAGTCATTTAAGACGTGTGATTAGTTTTAGTGTGCTACAATATGGACGTCCCTTTACAGGAAAAGCGTGTAACCGAGCAAGCAAGGTTGACAAGGAGTATATCATAAGAATTGATCCATCAGCTACCATGGATGAAGGTTAGTCAGTTACTTACAAATTCTCTTACAGTACAGCATAGTTTTTTGGAATTAAATTAATAGATATTTTTAACGAAACACGATGTTTCGTGTCCATGTAATGTAAAATTAATCATATGCGACATAAAACACCAAAAACCTTTAGATATCGACATTTAAAGGGTTACGATAAGCTTCCCGTATAAAAACATGATGGCGGCTCCAGGCGAGTCTACTGGATCAGTCTAGTTTTAAGAAAAAGGGGGAGACTTGTAAATTCCAGTTTAACGTAATCGTCTTGAAGATAAAAATAATCGGTTTACAATTGACTCAATAAACATCGGGAGAATGAATTATCCAAAGGATGCATGTGCATCTGGCAATATAAATCAGTCCGTGTACTTATCCAAACTACCTTGTTCCATTTACAGGATCATTTCATAAGACCAAGCTATCTGCTAATATATGTGACACGTGATGGGTAAATCTAGATGTCATGAATAGAATATCTTGAAACGTCACCCATAACTTGAATGTGAAAATGATTTTTCAAAATAAAAAGCTCCCTTTTATAAATGTATGGCGATCTTTCCCTTGAGTATTATTTCAGGATCGCATCTTTTTAACTGCTGTACTAAACGGTGAGCAACACCAAAAACGAGCGTTCGATTTGATAAACGATATGGCATTACCCTTTAAATAACGTTATGAGTTATTTTACGATCATACTATGAGTACTAACCGTTATTCTTTCATGGTATTCAGGAATTCCCCAGTATATGATGTCCAATCAAATTGCAGGATGTGATCACGTGAACAATCATGAGTACGTGCTCTTTCAGTGCAGCTCATGCGCAAAGTAAAGTTTGAAATCGTGGAAATGGCTTTATTTCAATTTAACATCATCATTTCAAAACTAAGGTAATACTACTGAATTTACTGGATCCAAACTTGTAGACAATACTCATAAAACAACAGCGAACATTGTGAGATCCATTTCAATGGCAAATGAGTCCTGTTTATAAAATTGGTTCTCGAACGTGCCAATTTCAAATTTTATGTTTGGGAAATATCCCCCCCCCCTGACTTAAACCAGCAATTCAAAATAAAAACCATGACATAGCTTTAAGAGCGAATCAGATAGAGCGAGAGGCTAACAAAAAATTGTTTCAATTTTAGAATATTTTTGGCTCATGTCATTCCTTGTCATGTCTATTTTCTAAAATTCACAAAAGTGCATACTTTATTCCAGGAAAACTAAAGATTTTTACAATAATGTATTATTTTTCTATAAGAATGGTTACCATTCTTATCATTTGGGAGAATTAAACATTTTTCACTCATTTTTGATTAATAACTTCACCAATTTATAACATATTGTGAATCTTTTGGGAGATATTGTATTTGATATTGTAAAGAATAGATTGGTACACGTGGTAGGTCAATTATACATGTTGCTTGTAATTTTGTTACCCCTATAGATCAGATTCTGCCTTTAATATGCAAATGGACATTAAATAAAACGGCCAACTCTAGTATAATTTAACAAATAACATAAATTTTTCGCAATCTAGGCCCAAAATAATCATTCATCTGGTTTAAAGTATAGAATGTCTATACCGTGTTCTTATTGGAAATAAATTACTTTTATATGATAGCACATGACACGTACACTCTTATTGGCTCATGCTGAGTCAAGAGCCATATCTCACTTGGGTTTAGTAGTAAGTGATAACGACAATGGACTGAGGATTAAACGTTAGTTTACTAGTATAGTAGAAAACCTATAAATAAACATCATATAATAAACTTTAAAAAATTATCAACTCACGAACAAACTAACTTTATCAACTGATATCTACTTGTTATCTTTACAGTGAAGGAACATTATGATGCAACACGTTCGCTCTTTATGAGAGATAATGACAACATGGTGGAACCCGATTCTTTCACGGCGGCTGGTCGCGGTCGATGTAGGATTTCACGGAGGAGCAAATTCATTGAGATAAACGAATTCAAAGCTTATACCATATCGTGTGCTTCACAAAGGTAAGTGGAAATGGCTCAAGGTTTGTGTAAAATAACATGGCGTTGAAACGTAACGTAACATGACGTAACGTATCTTATCCCATGGTTGCAAGGATATAGATCGAATATCACATGAAGATATATTTGATATGTGGATGAAGATATCATATTTTAGCAAAAAATTCACAAACCATCGAATATCACTTTTAAACTATCGAATATCACGTCTTAGAAAGTGATATTCGATGGTTTGAAAAGTGATATTCGATGGTTTGAAAAGTGATATTCGATGGTTTCGAATTTTTTCAAAGAAAATTTCTTTTTACTTTTTTTAATTATTTTTAAAAATATTTCAAAAAAATTCAAAATTTCAAAAAAAAATTCAACATTTTTACAAATTTTTTTTCAAATTTTTTTCATTTTTTCAAAATTTTTCTCAAATTATATTTTTCAACTTTTTTCGCTGATAATGATTTTCCATGGGATAAACGGACAATCCTATGGTTTTTCAAAAATATCAATTATATCCACTCATGGATACAAATATCTTCACTCATTCGCTGCGCTCACTCATGAAGATATCAATATCCACTCATGGATATAAATGATATTTTTTCAAAACCATAGGATATTCCTATAATAACATGTAAAAATACTAAGATATCATGTATAACGTGTTCTTTTCTAAATAGAACTGTAGATGCAATCATGAAATACTCAATCGTCGAGGAAGTAGAAGAGAGTGTAACGGTTACTTTGGACTCTGATGCTTTGAGTCCTATCGGAGGCCGTGTGAAGAGACAAAGGAATCGAGAACGTTGTCTTCGCCGACCGAAATGTGCATGCAGAAGGTATAATATTGGTTGTCCAACCGAAGCGCCCACTACTACCACAACAACACAAGCACCTACCACAACAACACAAGGACCAACAACAACAACGCAAGCACCTCCTGCAACAACCTACACACCTGCATGTGGTGCTGATATCATCAGTTGTGTAACGAGAAATGTAAATAGTTGGGTAAGAAAAAATATACATGTACAACCGAATGCCTATAACATATTTCTGTATCACAATGCTCATTTATTTTGAAACCTTTCCACCCATTAAACTTCATACTAGGATAATTATAAGTTTGAAACAGTTCCCATATTTAAAAAATTAAAAGGAATGGAGTTTTTACTCAGGATGTGTACATATCATCCTATACATTTGATCACTAACATTTGAGATTAACTGTTTTTTACATTTCTGATGCAAAGGGACTTGACAGACTTGATGATATCGATGACAACCAACTACTAGCAGAGGGTACAGGAAAAGACGTAGATGTCTACATCGTTGACACGTAAGTACAGAAAAAATGTATAAGGCGACTATTAAGACTTAAAGACAGACTTTCTGAACCACCTGGTTGCTCATTAGACCTTATAAGGCAAGTCACATCCATTAGGCTTGTCAATCAAATTCTTATCCAATCAGCTAATAGTGATGCTTTATGGGATAATATTTATGTTTATAAACATAACAAAAGCACATGTTATAATTTCATACTTTACAGTCAGTGAACATGAACTGAATGATAGCAATTGACCAACATTTTTTTAACCAAGAGTCTTCATACATTTTGTTATGCTTGCTACATAGATTTTCCAGTTAATATATGTAAAGTAAATGTAGGCCTCCTTTAGGTAAATTGATTCATGTTCTAATAATCCCTAACATCTAAATTTGATATCATAAAGCAATTCCTTTTGGGGTCATTTCAAGAATTAAATGTAGATGCCAGCACAAAAGCTTGAAATGTATGGGAAATTCTGTACAAATTGAAAACTTGTATTGGTTCTTTCATCTGGTCCCTACCTACAACAAAGGTTTGCACTTAGTCATGCCCTTCATTTATGCAATAATTCTGCACTTTTAATTTCAACCTCTATTACCATGTTGTACCAGGGTGTTTCCAAATTTGAAATTGATGATCTTTTATATTTATGTAACCATATGCAAATGGTAAGAGATAATGAATTGTCCCATTTCCTAGGGTTGTTCCATATGAGACCCGTTCTTATAAATTTTCTCTAAGGTAAAAAACCTTTGTAATCAGATTTTTGGACAAATGGAACATCAAAAATAGTGAATTTGTCCTTGTGTTGTTCAGGAGACCTCATTCTTACACAGTCATTATACAGTGAACATGTCTCAACCATCAGAAAAATAAAGTGCTAATGTTCAAGATTGAACTAACAGGATATGAAACAATAAATTAAAGACAGAGCTATCTTCACACTGACTTGCCGGAAGTACTCATTAAAGCAAACTCATCATCAAACTCTAGAAAAGGCAATAGATGAGTTTCTTATATCAATGTTAGCCAAGTGAACCATGGCCAAGTACATTGTAGTAATCTCAAGTCTTTGGAACAGTATACAGTTATCTTGAAGTCTTTAATATCAAGCAAATACATTGGATTTTGTAATTATATAATGTCTTTGGAGTCATATCTTTAATATACTATATGTAGGTAAGTAAATGACACATTTCTTATGATTAACACTAGTATGAATTATGTTTTATTGAAATGGTACTTATAACATGTGCTTTTGAAAGATTTACAAACAAACTTTACATCATGTGACCCTGAATACCTCACCTCATTGGTTGAAATTTGAATTAGGCCACTCCTCTTAATTAAAAAAATTACCAATTTTCAAATAAGGATTTCTAAAAAAGTAATGCATAATTGCAATAATTGATAAACGGATTTCAAGGAGAATGTATTCATAAACATCTGTGACAATTTTTATGGTGATCTGTTGGCTACAACTAACAGAAAATCAAAATTATTCCTCTTGATTAGAATTTTTCATATTCCTAATATTTTCAAATTTAGAATGACTCCATTTTTACTGGTCAAGCTGCTTTTATAGTGGAGGCTCTGTCTTTAATTTTACGGTCGTAATACTCGCCTTATACTACTGAAAAGTAGTCATCGTTAGCAGTTTATCGAGTTTTATCACAAGTGTCAGAAACTTATACCAATGGTCAGTTTAAGAAGTAGGAAATGACCGTAACCTTCTTTCAAAAATTTTAGAAAGTAGGTGTTAGTTGAATTTTAGTGCGTATGGCATATACAGGGTGGGCCAAAAAATTTTGCAACTTTTTTAGAAGGCAAAAAAGTATCATAACATTATGGTATTGACATGATTTTTTTTACAGAAACTTAAGGATAGACATATTTTACCATTCAAATACTGAAGCTAATACTGACTTCACATTTTTTTGTCAGATGTTTGAATATTAATGGTAAATTGTTCATGTGTCCGAGATTTACCATTTTTCCTAGAAAATGTGACTTCCTATGATTTTATGTGATCAACAAAAACACAATCATTATGTTTACTAAATCTGCTACAATCTTTGATAACAGTTTAACCAATGTCTAGTACAGGTTTATATCAGTATCTAGTCACTATGTTAATGTTGTTACACCGTATTAATTATTTATTTAACAAATGTTCTATACATCCGCCTTTCATCTTCACAATCACATGGAGACGAGAACCGAACTGCTCAATGGCGAGATCCAGCAGTTGTTGTGGTAGTTCTCTCCACTTATCCCGCAGAACTTCTTATTGTTGATAAATAATTTGTGGGGTATAACCATTAACTACAATACTTTGCCCCAGGTGCTCCCATGTGTGATAGACCCAGGGGTTGGCATCTGGTGTATTGGGTGGCCATTCGACTCAGGACTAATATCCTTCAAAAGGGACATCTTTCAAGAATGAGGGCTCTTTCAGCCCCAGCTCACTTATTCCAGCAGGATCGCGCTCCTGACCATAGGGCAAAAGTCACTATGAAATATCTGGAGCAAAATACCCCCTTGATTCATTAGTCCTGATGAATAGCCACTCAATATACCACTTAACAAAGATTGCAGTATATTTAGCAAACATAATAAATGTTCTATCGATGATCACATGAAATTATAGAAAATCACATTTTCTAGGAAAATCGGTAAATCTCGGACACATGAACAATTTACCATTAATATTCAAACAGCTGACAAAAAAATGTGAAGTCAGTATTAGCTTAAGTATTTGAATGGTAAGATATGCCTATCCCTAAGTTTCTGTAAAAAAAATTTCATGTCAATACCATAATGTTATGATACTTTTTTTGCCTTCTAAAAAAGTTGCAAAATTTTTTGGCCCACCCTGTAAACACTGCAATAAGAATAGTTCCTATATCACGATTTATGAACCCAGTGATATATTTAACCACTTTGGATACGATAGCGTGAGATTTATGATACGATAACGCGTGCACTAGTCCGTATTATTATCTACATTACAATATGCAACACTCCATAATGAACTTTCATATGTTACCGTATTCTCGTGTTGTTTGAATGCAAAATGCAAATGTAAAGACGGAATACCAATGCCGATTGTCCCGTAATCGACACTAACACCCCAGTCACATTTCCTGCGGCCGCCGTGCGGTCTATCATTTCTGCGGCCAGTTGCTTTTCTACGCTCGCCGCAGAATTTCTGCGGTCTCATACTTTTGCAGTCACATTTCCCACGGCAGCCGCACGGTGAATTTTAAATTTCTGTTGATAAATAATACTTTTTTCATTTTATTTACATCAGGACAATTTATAAATGTTATTCATAGTGCTAGGATGTAATATCAAATGAAAAGTGATCGTGAAACATTGACAAATAATGATTCAATCTTGTTGAGCCAGTTGATTTCTATGGGGAACTCAGAAATGAACAAATATTATAACTCCGAGTTATAATTTCTACGCCTTCCCTGCGGCCTGTAAAAATCTGCATACGCCGTACGGAGGCCGCAAGGCGAGCGTAGTTTTTCTACGCTCGCCGCAGAAATTCACCGATTTAATTGATCTGCGGTCAACCTGCGGCCGCAAGGAAGGCGTAGAAATTATAACTCGGAGTTATAATATTTGTTCATTTCTGAGGTCCCCATAGAAATCAACTGGCTCAACAAGATTGAATCATTATTTGTCAATGTTTCACGATCACTTTTCATTTGATATTACATCCTAGCACTATGAATAACATTTATAAATTGTCTTGATGTAAATAAAATGAGAAAAAAGTATTATTAACACCCCAGTCACATTTGTCGCACGGCGGCCGCAAGTCGACCGCAGAACAATTAAATCGGTGAATTTCTGCGGCGAGCGTAGAAAAACTACGCTCGCCTTGCGTCCTCCGTACGGCGTATGCAGATTTTTACAGGCCGCAGGGAAGGCGTAGAAATTATAACTCGGAGTTATAATATTTGTTCATTTCTGAGGTCCCCGTACAAATCAACTGGCTCAAGAAGATTGAATCATTATTTGTCAATGTTTCACGATTACTTTTCATTTGATATTACATCCTAGCACTTTGAATAACATTTATAAATTGTCCCGATGTAAATAAAATGAAAAAACTATTATTTATCAACATAAATTTAAAATTCACCGTGCGGCTGCCGTGGGAAATGTGACTGCAAAAGTATGAGATCGCAGAAATTCTGCGGCGAGCGTAGAAAAGCTACTGGCCGCAGAAATGATAGACCGCAAGGTCGCCGTAGGAAATGTGACTGGGGTGTTATCAACTAAAAATTAAAATTCACCGTGCGGCTGCCGTGGGAAATGTGACTGCAAAAGTATGAGAGCGCAGAAATTCCAAGGGAGCGTAGAAATGTTACTGGCCGCAGAAATGATATACCGCAAAGTCGCCGTAGGGAATGTGACTGGGGTGTTACCATCCACCGTTTTGGAGGAAAAGACGACGGTCATTACTTTCTCCCGATACTGGCATGTGACGTAGCTTAAAGTATACTTCAGGGAGTCCAAACGGACCCCAAAAAACTTTAGAAGGTGTAAAAAACAACAAAACATTCAAGGGTTAAAGTATACTTCAGGGGGTCCAAACGGACCCCAAAAACCTTTAGAGGGTGTAAAAGACAAAAAAACATTTAAGGGTTAAAGCATACTTCAGGGGGTCCAAACGGACCCCAAAAACCTTTAGAGGGTGTAAAAAACAAAAAACCATTTAGGGGTTAAAGTATACTTCAGGTGGTATGAGACAATACGCATAGGGGCCGTTAAAGCATTTATAGCATATCTTGGAACTCTGAAGATATCATATTTGAGATCATAAGGACAAAAATAGCATGTTGCTTGCTTCCTATATTAATCAATGACCATGAATCCAACCGAAGAAAAAACAATTTTATCTAACTTGTATTTACACTTTTTCTTTCAGTGGAGTTAGATACACTCATGATGAATTCTGTGGTCGTGTTGAGCCTGTAAGTTTATATGGTGTAAATTCTAAGTTTATGTTTATTCATATTTCCCTCTGAGCTTTACCTTATTATGTTCAATGGCAAACGAATGACTCTAAAGTAACTAAAACGACGTAATGATAGTATGTTTTGGATAAGCTTATGGGTCATGTTTCTCGCAATTTTGTACATTTTATATCTCTTTTCTGACTTCTCCTACTTAAAATAATCTACCCCAATACCATTACATGTACAGTACGTGTCCGATCTTGGCATAAGATCCAAAGATTCATATTATATACTGGTTTAATTAGTTTTTGAGGTTTAGAAGGGGGGACCGAATTGCTCATTTTCTTTCTGCAGAGAACTTCCCTCGCCAAAATGTTGGAACTTGCGAACTGCCCTATTATGTTATTCTCGATTCCAAAATCCATCTTTTCAATTCTTGTAAGGGTTTTCCATTGACAATCTTGATAAAATTCGTATTCGTGATTCGTATTTCAAACTGAAATATTTTTAGGGAATTAGCTTCATATCGGGTACTAGCTCTGCCGATGATGACAATGGACACGGAACCCACGTTGCTGGTAAGTATAGTCATCATATCTAGTTCATTATTCGTTAGTAGATATATGTTAGGCTATGTAATATTCAGTCAAATAAAAATGCCTAAATAACAAATGTGATGTAGCAAATAAAATCTGATCTTACAATCGGGTCCATTTTATATTTGTAATAACTAAAAATATTTTGAAAGTTATTATCCGCTAACTACCAGTTATAATTAATTTGTAACTGCCTGTTGATGTATCCATGAAATATATTATATATATATATTATTACGAATAATAACCTTACGTAACCTTGCATGTTTTCGAACTACGGGCTGACATTTACGAATTAATGTAAAACGATATCCAATTTGATCAACATTATCTTAGCTTATCGTCCAAGAGTAGCACGACAACTATAAATGTAATTAAATGAGTAAATACAGTGATGATTAATTGCTACATTTTTACTATATATTCATTTAGAATATTTTGAATAAAAATTTGTACAGGGTGTCCCAAAAAAAAGGAAACCAGCAATAGATTGCTTATTTCTCAAATATGAATAATGATAGGAAAATTTCACAGCTACCATCTGATAGATTATGATATTTTCCTTCACGGATGACTGAGTTATAAGGGATTTAAGTGACCATGTCAGAAATGAGTTTGTACCACTTTCAGCCAAGTCAATTTCACCATCATAACAAAGTGATAAGTAACAACAAACATCAGGATATCACTCTTTTACTCATTTATTCCAATTAAAATTACACATATCATATTTAACACCCCTTTTAAATCCCAATGTCCATTCAAAGTTGTTGGACACCCCAGTGTCCGCAACATGACCCCCATTCCTTTCAATGCAAATGTCTGCCCTTGATCTCATCGTACGTACTGCATCCCTGATGATGTCTCTCTGTCCCCTTAGATCCTCCACTGCTGCGACAATCCTGGCCCTTAGATCATCAACGTCTCTTGGTGGTGTTGTGAAGACTTTACCCTTGAGATAACCCCAAAGGAAGAATAGGACATGGTCTTGCAGAGCCATTTTAATCCCTCATTGTTCAGCCATTCATGACAGAAAAAGTGGCACAAACCAATTTCTGACATGGTAACTTAAATCTCTTAGAACTCAGTCATCCGTGAAGAAAAATAAACACCTTTGGTATCATAAGAAAAAGGACATCATAACCTATCAGATGGTAGCTGTGAAATTTTCCTATTATTATTCATATTTGAGAAATAAGCAATCTATTTCTGGTTTCCTTTTTTGGGACACACTGTATTAACACTTTACTTTTATGATTAATAAATGCAAAAAAACACCATGCATGAGAAAATCAAACGAGTCGGACTTTTTGATTTCAGTGTCGGCAAACAGACCGAGCCAATAACCCCCCCCCCCCTCCCCTGCAACCTTTTGGTGGATCAAAGAAGTTAGGGTATATTGGCTAGATTGAGAATGCCATGTTGTAGGTAGCAATCTGTCCATCGCAAAAATAGGATTATTTTTATCTTACTAATTTTGAAAAAGTACAACCAATGACATTATATCATCAATCTAGCCAATATATCATAGTTTCTATGATATATCAACGGCGGCGGGGCTTATTGGAAAGGTTTAGTGATATATGAAGTTGTGAAACATCCGGTTTCTATTTAGGTACTGTCGCAGGGAAGACCCTAGGGGTTGCCCAAGATGCGACGATTATTCCTGTGAAAGTACTTGCTGCATCAGGTTCTGGATCCACAGCGTAAGTGAATATATACATGTATACACGCAAAACTTCATCAAAAACTGGTTCACAACTTTTTTCTGTATACAATAGGGACAACTATACTCTCATTTCATATTATGACAGTATCATGATACTGAAGGATTTAAGCGCGGGACTCAATGAATTGTTTGATGATTTAACAATAATAATCTTGATAACCTACTGGTTTTGTGAGTGAGGCCTAAAAGAATGCATTTTTGCAAGGAAACTAAAACTAAGCATTTGTTATTTGGCATGCATACACACCTGCCTTGTTATTCTCTATGAAAATGAATATAATGTTCACATGGAGAGGGTACACAATCCGGAACAGATTGAAATTGAGATGCCGACAACATGGCGCCTAAAAAAGTGTTATTTTAGTGATTTTGTATCATTTATCATTTTGCAATGTGTGAAAAGAAATTAAGCCCCAGACAGGACATCTCGTACCCAAAACAACTGGTCTCCAAGACAACTTGTCTCCAAGACAACTTGTAGCCAAGTTAACTCGTCCCCAATTTTATGTTTTGATTTAAATTAAGTGTTGGACTGGGAACGGTGTGACTTTTCCTTTAAATTGCGTCATAAATTACAATTTGCGATTATACACTGTAATACATTTTACTCTATGGCAATGGTATCATTTTCTGTATGTTAAATTGTTCATGATCATACCATTGTTGAGCCCATCTTAAACTGTTTCTGACTGATAGATTTGAAATAAACATTAAAGGGTTCCGATTAGCATCCCGTATAAAAACAATATGGCGGCTCCAGGCGAATCAACTGGATCAGTCCATTTTTAAGAAATAAGGGGAGTTCTGTAAAATCCAGTTTATTGAAATTGTCTTTGAGATAAAGTAATCCGTTTATAATGATTTTCAAAACGTTATCCAAAGAGCGATTGCGTTCAAAGAATACATGTACAACAGCCAATATAAATCCTTGTATTAGAAACCGGTTTGTCTTGCTTTGTTTCATTTGTAGGATATTTCATATGCCAAGCTGTGTGCTATTACGTTATGGGGAAATTTAGATGCCAATTTTTCCTTATTATACACAAATAGAAGATCCTGAAACTTCACCCATAAATGTGGAATTGATTTGTCAAAATAAAAATCACCATTTTATAAATGTGTGACGATCTATAATATACTTATGCTATATAACAGTTAGAGGTGTTGACACAACGACCTCGAACCTGTAAACCCTTGAGTATTATTCCGGGATCGGGCCTTTTATACTAAACGGTGAGCAACACCAGAAACGAGCGTTCGATTTGCTAAACGATATGCGTCACCCTTTAAGACATTGCCAGAAAGTTATAAAGGGTCGGATGCGACCATTTTGCTCAATAAACACATCTATATTCTCATCTGACATCAATTTTCATATGCAAACGCTAAGTATGCATATGAAAATGATGTATAACATATTTATTGGTGATTGAGAAATACTATGGGTTAAAATTATCTTCAAATTTTAAGTTTATTGTTATCCCTACCCCTAATTGAACTGAAGAGAGACCCCTGAATCTGAAGGACATTACCTCCAATTCTATCACAAGGTGGTTCTATCAATTAGACTTTCATTTTATATACTGATATTTTTCACGAAGTTTTATAAGATTGAAAACTGTCTAAGATGGTGCATTCTTCTAAACTTCACTAACAATTCAATTTCACAAGATCCCCTCATTGGCCATATTGCTGGATATTGGATTTCTCATAATAATGACGTCTATTTATACTTTTAGTAATAAAAAGTCACACTCACGATTACGCGAGTCGTTTTAGTCAATCCTTTCTAACTTTGATCAAACCATTCCGGCATTTTGGCCATTTTTTGGAGTGATTAAACTTCTCTTATAACTACGTTAATTATGTGATAAAGACTTAACATTTTTTCTAAATACACTTCACCTAAAGAAATTGTTTGATTCATTTGTAGAAAATTCACAGCTGTAATTAAATGTATGATATATGTTTGACAACAATGTCGAGAACTAGACCTTCAAAGCGCTTCTTTTATTTAAAAAAAGTTGATCCAAAAACAGTTGATCACTTAATGAAGATACTTAAACATAAAGTATGGGTTTTTGTTTTATAGCCTATTTACTTGTAACAGAGAAGAATTTAATCATGGAATAAAAAGCTAATTTCAGTGTTTATTCTAATATGAATTATTCCATGAGAAATATGATTTGAACCTGCGCTCGTTCGGTCAATATCATATTTCTCTCGGTCAATATCATTTGAATACCAACCATGATATTATATAAATATAGGGTGGGCCAAAAAACAACAATTTTAAACGTGAATATCATATTATATATGTTAAATAATGTCAAATATTATATGTCATTTGTAAAGATAAATCATTTGTTAACAATGTGACACCATTCGATTGATAAACCATTGCTTTCTTTCGGAGTTGGAGGCTTAAGTTGACACAAGAGGTGTCATGATCGACGATAAAATTATTTAACCACCAATTTTCAAATCATGGAAAATTGAGGAAATTTGAACTTTGAAACCTTCAAAAATGTACACGTTAAGTGCAAAATTCACCAATAATACTTGTACCTTTTTAATGAACTATCAATCGGCATTACTCTTAATATTTATGATGATTCAGTCAATGCAGCTGTGACTGCAATTTGAAATTGTGAATTTTCATTGTTTGATTTATGTTCACTCATGACACCCCTGGTGTCAATTTTAGCTTTTATGTTTATGTGTATGTATCTTTTATTCCACCATAAATGATGAGTACAATATAACATAAAGTTATTTAAGATATAATATTACATAAAGTTATTTCGGATATAATATATAAAAATAGAGATATAGAAAGTGAAGTACCACTATCTACAGCAAGCTACATCTTTTATTATACAAGTTTTATGTATGCTGAGCAGCAGTAATATCTCCTTGTTTCAGGATATTTACAATGATTGCATTAAAACCTTGACCGTGATAATTCATAACTCTAATATACTCTAAAAAGGGGCCCTTTCCTGTGCTAGGCTTTCACAAGAGAACATAATCTAGATTTAGCAACATGGTCATACGCATTAAGGGGGCATGTCCCAGTCAGGATTCTTATCATAAAAGTACAGGGTTTAATACATTTTGGGTAAGCCCTAGCCTGTACCCACCATATTGATGGTTTCACTATATTAATTACTTGTCTAAAACTAACAAGAGATCCAAAAACATGCAGTTAAATCTCCACTGAAGAAGTTCATGGTTGTGAACTATTGACTTAACTAGCCTCATCCAGTAACCCTTAGAACATATCTCACCATTTGAGATCATTATCAAGATATCATCGTGCAAATTAAGTTTACATGCAATGTTCATCATATCCCATATGGGGGAATAGATATTTTTCAAACGTGTATCCTTATCAGCAACCTCCCACCTATAAATACTATTATATGCTATTCTCTTATATAGGGATGCTGCAGATAGGGATATCACTTGCCACAATAATAACAATTTCCTAACATACACTTTAGAGGTCGGGCTCTGCCATCCTTACTGTGGAAGGCAGGCAACATTGGCAGTTTTACATGGTAGACCCTGCAGTTTTCTTGCTATTCCCCGTTGTGGGGTATTTAAGGTCTCATAGTCAGAGTCTTTCAATACAAGGCACTCTGAGCCATACAATACACTTGGTACAACAACACTCCAGTATAAAATGCTTGCTGTGAGAGGATTATACCTAGTACTAGATGTTGAAATAGATCCCACCGCAGCATTAATCATTCGTTTACCTTTGTCACAGACTGACATTACATGGTCTTTGTAATTAGCCCCTACAGTCAAGGGTATCCCCACATGACAGGCTGATTATACACATTCAATTTTCTGACCACCTAGTGTCAGGGTAAAATCCTGCTGTTTCCCAGTTTTAAAACATAGTACCTTGGTCTTTTGGGGGTGGAAAGAATATCGCCATTGGCAACTATGCTCAAAAATTAGATTCAGAAGGGTTTGTGCCCCCTTTTCGCTATATATATATACTAGTGCAAGGTCATCTGCGTATGCTGGACAAGTTGTAACTATATCTCTGACCTTAGACCCAGTATTCATGTTAGCTATTTTTTCAATCAGTGAATTACAAAATCTCATGTAGATTTCCATGCTCCAGACACCCCCCTGGTGAACACCCTGCTGCATATTAATTTTTGATGACATATTTGACCCTACTCTTATTACACATTGATAATTAGTGTACCACTGGGAAAGAAGCCTCTACATTTTCCCATTTATTCCCTGCATATAAAGTGCATATAACATACCATCTAACCATACAGAATCAAAGGCCTTTTTTACATCACATAAAATTACATAACATATCCCGTTCCTTTCAACATTATATGCTATGGCCTCTCTAATAAACAAAGAAGTATGCAGGCTGGAGCATTTATCTTGGTTAGCACCTTGTAACTCATGTATTGGATAAATGGTACAGTCTGCATTGCTTCTGATAAGCATTAATCTTTCAAATAACTTGCTGAATTGACACATGAGTGTTATCCCCCTGTGGTCATCTTTACATAGAGGATCCTTATTCCCTCCCTTAAAAAGGGGGATCAGGATACCAAGCTTAAAATAATTTGGAACATATTCATATTTTACGATACAATTCATTATAATCATCAAGAGATTATAGACTGCATCACCTCCATAACAAATATGTTCTGCTGTGACATCATCAAATCCTGGGGCACGACCTAGCTTCATTTTCTTGCATGCATTTATAACCTCAGATATCTCAAAGGGGTGTAGGTTATTATCACCATTTTCATTCCACAGGAAAACAATCTTTTTTCAATAGGATGGTGTCGTATTGTCGGGAAATGATTTATCTTTAATATGCTATAATAATATAATACTTGATGTGTCATATGAATCATTCATCTTTAAACTTGGGTATTGATTTTTGGCCCACCCTGTATATCTATCCTTGGTTTTTAAGAGTCACTACCTCTCGTTTATATTTCATTGTCCCACCGAACAAAATTCTACGGGATATAGGGAAATCGTTAAGAGGAGGGAACGCTGCAGAGCTTTAATGATAACATAATTAAGTCTCTTGCATACCACTTTCGTTTGTATATTTCGACGGCCAATTTCCAAAATACTACACTTAAATGTGATGTTTTAATTGATGTAGGCATATGCATATTCCGTACACGCTTCTTTATCTCGATGTGCAATTAGATGCTATGACATTGTTTAACACGCAAGAAATTAGCATAATATTATTACCACCTTGCCTGGCCTCCCGGCCTGGCCTGTTCTAGGGGTATTAGGACTAGTTTAGAAGGGATTTGTTATACTTTATTATTACCTCCTTGCCGGACCAGTTCTAGGGGTTTTAGTGCAAGTTTAGGAGGCGTTTATTTTACTATATCGACCTGAGCAATATGTGACGTCATAGTGGTGGTCAAGAATGCATTTAACGACCGGTCGAGAATGCATTTAACGACCGGCAATTTTCCCCGGGAAATTAGAAATCGTTCAGTGCGTAAGATTTTCTTGCACAATACACGTTGAAGAAAAAATTAGAAATTGATAGCCAATACTCATAACCTGAAAAATAGGTGTAGATATAAGTACTCATACACGATAGAGCATTCAGTCTCAAATGATGTGGGATAGATAAAATCCAGTCTTTCAGTCCATAGTCATTTCAAAGGGTCAACATTCATTCACAAAAATGAAATAGATGAACTAATTTCCTGCAAAGTTCTAAATCCCTTCTATCAGGGAAGATAAAATGTACCGATCACCAGTTAGGTCATGTGACCAATCATTAGTATGTTTTATCTTCCCTGATAGCTGAGATTGTAGGAGTTGGAATAGAGACTGCCACATATTTGGGAAATTGTGCAAAAAAATTCCCTCGTGAATAATATTTTACACTATTTCCCTCAATGACAGTCACTATTTGTATAATATTGACCCGAACAATATGTGGCGTCATAGTGGCGGGCCATAGTGGCGGGCCAATAATCGATTAACAACCCGGCAATGTTCCTCGAGAAAAGAGATAGCGTTCAATGCGTATAATTTCGTTCAGTGGTACTCAGTTTTTGCATATACAATTCATATTCGTTTACAGCGGAATTGCATCAGCACTGGGTTGGATTAGGGAACAGTACAGTAGCAGGGGAAGAAAGACGGTGATCAAGTAATGCAACTTTACTATTTTATTTGGCTCTCATGATTATTTTAATAATGATTGATATTGTGAAAGATGTTATTTGTATCAAGGACTTGAGAATCTAAAAGGAGGATGCGTTTGGTTTATTCAGTATTTTTATATGTAAGAAATAAAGTAGTGTTAAAGTGATATAGAGATATAAAAAATATTATACAACTCGGTTATTGAAACATTTTCTTAACACGTGCATTCACTGAAAGAGTTTTTTATTTAATTTATTTTTCTTTTTTTATTTATTTATTATCATATTCATTTAGTAACTCAATGCTCATTTACAGTATGTCTCTTGGGTGTACCTGCACCACGAATAGCATTGATGATGCTCTGGCAGCCGCGATAAACGATGGAATCATTGCTACAGTTTCTGCTGGGAACTCAAATGCAGACGCTTGTGGACACACACCTGCTAGAACATCTACAGCGTTAGTCTAGAAAATCTTTTTATCAACCAGTTGTAACCACTTTGCGCGCGCCGCTTACAATGCACACTTGAAACACCCATATAAAGTACAAACCACTTTGTCTTATATTGTAGTCCTACCCAATGTTATCAACTTGTCATATGTGAAACTTTTTCTTTTAATTTAAAGTGGTTTTTGAAGGACTTTTTGGTCGAAAAATCATGACTTTATTTGAAACGAACTTTTAGAGGTCACACATATCTTTTAACAAGCGAAGATTCATACCAATGTATTGCATTTATCCTCATATGATTTTACCGAAAAAATTCAGTTCTCATAGAAACCAACATCTGTTTCTTCCTATTTACCTCATTTTACCTCAATCAACATTGGTTTATTTTTGAACTGAAGCATATTTAGAAAATATTGACCGGAACAAAATTATAATATTCCCAAAAAGTTTCTGCCACCTCAGTGAGTCAATATTTTTGATATGCTGTAACATTGAAGTGGAACATTATTGGAATAGTGTGTCCTTTGAACTTGTTCAATCTTTGCATTGGTGTTAGAAATATAGTCCTTTTGAAATGTATGGTGGAATATTTAATGATTAAAAACTTCTCTTTGAAAAATGGCGGGAAGTTTGAATACTTATAAATCAAAAGCTGACAACTTTTTTTCAATTTTTTCCCCCCAAAAATCTCTAAAATAACTTTTAAAGGTCATGAAAAATAGTTAATGAATGATAAAAACATGTTTTCAAGTTAACATGAGGACTTTAACGTCGTTTTAACTGGCATATTATGTTTACAATGATTTTACACAAAATGATCCAGGGTATATATCTTAGATTCAAAATGCCATTCTAGGTATCAAGGAATCCAAATGAACAAATTTCATTGACCTATCTACTTATATCTATCTTTTATATATAATTGCTAACTTATTTTTTAGAATTCAATCGGGCCAAACTATTCTGGTCTCTTTAGTGAAACTGACTGGGAAGGTTCTCGAAAATCTATTTCCAAAGTAATGGGAATAATGTTTTCCTAAGAATCCTTAAGCACGTATCGGTGCTAGACTGCTGGTGTAAATATCGTTGATATACAATGTGTGCTATATTAGTTTAATAACGAACTCACTCTACTATACCTAAACCCTAGAAATGCATAAGATAATTTGTTAGTCTAATTGTATTGCTTAGTGTATTTTTGAAAGAACCTTACAGTATTAACATCTAATAAACATCTGATAAACCATTCATAAGGAACAGACACATAAAAACAAATAACATAATCAATAATAATAAGCCAAATGGGTTGCTTATGAACACCAAATGCAAGGTATAGTAGAGTGACTATGACAGGGTTTATTGTAATGATTTCTCGATTGTGCATTTAAGTTTAACAGTTGCTGCATCCACCACATCGGACAGAAGGGCGAGTTATTCCAATTATGGACCCTGCGTTGACATTTATGCACCCGTGAGTATCAATTTCAAGGATTTCTACTATGAGTGTTCATTTGTAGCTGTTGATTTTCTTTATGTACTACGATGCCTGTATGTATGATCGTCTCAGTTGTTAAAAAGGAATTTAAGACTTAAAATGCACGTACCATTTTGTTTCTTCAAGTGCTTTAAGATATAAGTGTAGCAATTATGTCTGTTCCCCAGGGCTCTGGTATCTTAAGTGCATGGTATACCAGTGACAGCGCCACCGCCACTCTAAGCGGCACCTCAATGGCCGCCCCACATGTCGTAAGTATTTTTCTTTCAGCTCAAGATTGCCCATTGATTTTTTTGTATTGTATTGTTTATCTATTTTCCTCCAATCACTAGAGGGTTACAATTATGAAGTTACACGTTGAAATTATGAATATGAGTACACATATTTTACAATAGAAGTGAACAGTGTTAATGAATGTTAAAATAATACCTCTAGAGACCCATGTCATCTTCCTCAAGGCCGATAGCACAGAACAAAATAGAGTTCTCATACCACCAACGAATTTCTTTTTTTCATAACCATAATTTGTTAATATCCTGATCGTTATCAAATGTTCCATGATATAATTTGTTCATTTGCGACGCTAAAATTCATTTGTACAATTATACATCAAAATTGAATTATTCTTCAGTCAAAAAGGTAGCAATTACCCGAATGCGAGTAGGTAGTTACCAGTTTCACCACCAGGTGGCTGATTCGGGTCAATTAACATGGCAGGTATATAAGAACGTTCCCTTAAACTTGAATATTATCAATTTAAGTGGCTCAATTTTAATATAACCCTTATGTGTCTGATACTTATACTAATGAAAATATGTCCAGTAAAGCAAAATATTATCTGTCCACTAAAAGAAAAGATATTTCATTTTTTGTGATTTTATAGCATGGGGTCTATGGGGAATCTCCCCGAGCTAGAAGTCACATTTTCAAAGAAAACTAATTTTTCAAAGTTGATAAACACTTTTTAAAACCACATTTCTAGAAGTAATTTTACATGTAGATTTCAAATATGATATTTCTTTGACTGAATTTTGAATTTTCAATGACGTAAATCAAGATTATTTCTACTCGCATCTGGGTTATTGGCCTTTGTACACGTTGTCTCTCATTCGATTCAATATATGTATTCAATAATATGTGCTGTGATTGTACTATGTATGTAAGTGTGAGCACATTATGAATTGATCCAAGTGTAATGATTGTTTTTCTGAAAGTCACTTATTGAAAAACGTAAAAAGTATAATTCAACAAAACATTTCAAATGCATAACATAATATTTATATAAATTATATATTTCAAACATTCAATACCAATATGGATCAGATTAGGAATTACATATCTTTTCTTATATAACGTTGTCAGAATGAAATACAATAATGCATATATTTTATTATTATCAAAACATATTCTCATTTTGTAAACACATAACAATACAAACATGGCATTTGATACGTAATACAGGTTTCTCACAGAAATATATGTTTATATTATAGGCTGGAGTTGCAGCAGCATATCTTGGCACAGTGACAAATAACCCAACCCCTGCTGAAGTTAGGACCTGGCTTATAAACAAGTAAGACCCTTTAAAAAATCAAAACATTCAGCATTAGTAAATAGAATACTTCATAAATACCAATTATGAGCTATGTCTTGAACTTGTGTTAATATAATGTATAAACTGCCATTGGTAGGGGTGTAATTTGATACAATTGACTATTGGCACTACAGGTTTTTATCGGTATATGCATTGACGATGCTATACTTGAAGTCTAAATACAAGCTTCAATATATGGAATTGTGGATTACGACGTCCATGGTGAAATCATGATTTAAAAAGAATCATAAACTATTTATTGTATAGGGTGTTCAAAAAAACGCAACCCCAAAAAATCAATATACCTTGGAAAATTCAATTATGTTCATTAATCAGAAAGAAAGGAGAGACTGTGTATGTATATCACCTTTATATGTATGTAAATCTGTAGAGTGAAGTCAAATTCACTCTAGGGACTTTAAAGTCATGGTCGAAATGCTTTAAAATCGCAGTCAAACGCCCTGGTTCAGGCAGACTCAACAAGCCATTTTGGCCATGACTCTAGAGTCTTCAAAGCGATTTTGATTAGACTCCATAAACTTAATACACATTGAATGAAGATAATTTGTGCCAAATCTGAAGTGCTCAATTACTACAGTTAGAAAGTTATTTGGTTTTATTGCTGTGGCAGTCACCTCTGACTGCATTTTTCATATTTTCCTAGAACAACCGTCTTTTGAGCAGGTGTCCAAGGCATCATGTTTTACAACTAACCATCTACAGGAGCTATACATACACAGTCTTCTCTCTTTCGTGAAAAATGGACATAATTGAATGAATATTTTCAAAGATATCACATCGGAATTGCCTGACAACGGTTAAGTCAGATACCGTTGTCACAAATGGCGGACATAACCGTCGCTTCAACTCTTTAATCATTTGGTCCACATTTTCTATACGCATTTTTCGTATTTTTCTGATACAAATGACTTTTGAGCAGGTGTCCAAGACGTCATTTTTTACAACTAACTAACAACATGAGCAATTTCTCGTCTTTCTTTCCTGAAAAAATCAATATGAGCTTCCATGCATTTTGTAGTTCCCTCCAAAATCAGATCACCAACAATCCCTCTGGACCTAACGATCTCCTCCAAGCGGCCGGGTGTGGCAGAAAGTAGCCATGGAGCAGCAACTAGAATGTGTGACGCGATGACAAAACCTACAAAACCTAAAATCTAAACTCGATTGCACTGTATACTTGATATACTGAGAATAAACATCATCTAGTTATTAAAGTAGTTTTAAATACATGCAACGTTAATTATCGTGATGATAACGCAGTGTGTATAAAACTACATTAAAGCGCAGATGTATTTGCATTATAAACTATTGTTTGGAGAGCTATATATTGTGATTTTATTTAATATACAGGGTGGTCAAAAAAGTGAACCCTTGCAACGGGCTATATTTCCCTATTTCCCTATATTTCACGGGCTATATATTTATTACATGCAGAAATCCTTTCATATTTTACATTTTGTAGAGGAAGGTCTATACTTTTAGTTGGTACCATACATTTTTCGTAGTCTTGATATTTGCAGAAATTATAAGGCCTAACCAAAGATCACTGAACATCAATTAAATGTGAACTTCAACATTTGCGATTCTTCAACCCTTCAACAATCTACCCGTGGAAATTATTTTAGCCGTAGAAAGGGTAGGTTTGAAATTCAAATTAACGGTTTTGCGGGGCGTTTTGGTTTCGATACGCCCCGGTGAGTTAGTACCGCGTGAATATGATAAAGAGAAAAGAACAACTGTATGCATTTATTAATTTTATCGGTCATATATACTCCAATATAGACCAGAAAATCAATTGTTCTAGCGATTGTGACGTCATATTTCATATTAGAATTAAGAAATATAGACCGAAGAGCAGGGGTAATATTGTCGAATACAACTTGCAGGGCTAGGCACAAACGTTTTCTGTACCCCGAGCCACCGAAAGGAGCGAGGGATTCGAAAGCTTTTGTGCCTAGCCCTAAGGAGTGTATTCGACTCTGGGGTCTATATCACGATTCGAACATGAAATCCACCAAAATGATTTGAATATTCATTATGGTCCGACGTCACACATTACACGAATTACTGAGGGGTATTCTTCGCGAATATACCCCGGGTGAAATGTTGACTTTGTTTACAGTGAAGAAGGCGTTAATACAGACATGTTCTATTGTCCTTATTTTTGCAAAAATTGCATCTTTATCACAGCATTGTTTACCCTAACCTCTTGAGATGATACATGTGAAATATCACAAAAGACACTTGCAACTTGATAGTATACAAATAGCATGACTGCCACAAGGAAAATAGTGCAAAATGTATTTCCCTGGGAATATTCACGAAAATGTGGCAGTCACAAATTGTTTTTATTTCATACTCAATAAGTAAGTATAAAATATGAAGTCTTTTTATTCCAACATTTTTAATTATTATGGGTATTTAAATGCATTTAAAGGCATTTTGCAATTCAGCTCCTATTAGTTTGCAGGGAAGATAAAAAGTATAGTATATAACTAGTGTTACTAGGGAATTAGGACTTTCCAGAATTAGTTCATCCATTTTATATCATGTGACCATGGATAGGCCAATGAGCATCTAGATGCATGGTACATAATTATGAAAACTATTGCCTGACCTTTGCCGAATCAGAATCGAATATTTCAGTTGAGATAAAGAAGTAATTCACCTAGAAGGATTTGATTATGGGGAACACCATCCGAGGGATATTCCGACAGGTGAATAACGACCTTATACAATGGTAAATAGCAATATTGACTTAAAATCCTCTATCAAATGTGAAAAAATTATCACCCCTCTAATTCCAATATCATCCCTGATATCATCCTAAATATGGAAATTTATCACTTGCTTTTTATGTCCCCACCACATAGTGTGGTGCCATATTGTCAGCCTAGGCGCGTCCGTCCGTCTGTCTGTCCGTCTGTCCGTACGTCCAGCAGTTTTCTCCAAAACCGCTACAGATATCACCTTCAAAATCTCGGGGATAACTTATGAGTGCATACAGATGTGGATGAAAAAAATTTAATTCGATACCTACTTCCTATCGGCCATTTTGAAGTAAAATGCTAAAATCCTTGTCTGCAAACTTTAAGAAACGGCTTCACAGTTGCTTTTAAAACGTTAATATCTTGTTCAGCTCACTTCATTCTAAATCTGATTAGGTGTTGGACCTGTTAGCTCAGTAATGTCAGCCATTTTTAATGTTTTAAGAAAAGTTAGCGAGCGATAATACTTTGTATCATATTGAATGGTGTTTTTCAGTTTTCATACTTTAACTATTTAGTAGCTTTATAAATAATTTCAGGTGTACTTTGTTGTAAAAGCCTATGTTATTGTTAACAGTAGTTATTTGTGATAATTTTGTAAAAAGAAATCAGCAAAAACTCATAATCACTTTTTTATTGTCGGCCATTTTGGATTTTTCCGTCCTAAAATATTGTCTGTAAAGTCTTGTCTACGCGTTTTCAGGTGAACCGTTTTGTAGATCAATTTCAAATTTTCAGGGATGATTCTTAGTATGAAAATCTAGATCTGATTAGTTTTTGGGCATTCTTGGTAAATGTCAAGGCAGCCATTTTGGATTTTCCATCATAAGATCTTGTTTGTAAACTCTTGTCTACGCATTTCCAGGTGAATCGTTTGGTAGATCAATTTCAAATTTTCAGGGATGATTAGTTTTTGGGCATTCTGGGTACATGTAAATGTCAAGGCTTAACTGTGTGACGGATCAATTTCAAATTTTCAGGGGTGATTTTTAGTATGAAAATCTAGAACTGACTAATTTTTTGGCATTCTGGGTAAATTTTAAGGTGGCCATTTTGGATTTTCCGTCCTCAAATTGTGTCAGTAAAGTCTTGTCTACTCATTTTTAGGATAACCATTTGACGGGATCATCCATAGGTGGGGTCATTTGTACACATTTGTGTTCTTGCATATACCTACTATTGCTCTGACCATGGTATAAACTGAAATATGTACCCGTTTTTGAAAAAAATTCGGACGGGGCATTTCTTGTCTTTCAAGATAGCTTACCGTAACTTCTGTTTCCTCTGCAATCTTTTTCAAATTTTTGATTTTGTATTTCATATGTACACCACTTACACGTTTAATTAAATCAAATCCCTTGAAAGATTAATATTGCTAATATAAATGTACATATTAATGATCTCAATACCCTCCGAATGATACATTTTGTCAGAAATATATAGAGTTTGAAAGAGTTAAAGCACTGTACATGACGTTTCTAATGACGTTTATTTAAGACAGTCATTTGTTTGTTATAAGCAGAGGCAACTGCTGTTAAAAATGTCTAGCCTAATTAATATTCAAAAGTTCATATTTATTAATATTTTTGTGATGTTGTTACTTTAAAATGATGTGACATTCTTTTTATCAAGGTGGTGGTTGCTACCTAGGCCTGAACATTAGTGGGTGTCACTGAATTTGTTTTTACTTAAACCTAGAAAACATTTTCATCTCCATGTTAGGGTATAGGCGAGTAGGGGATTTAGACTATGGAATATCTCAAAAACTGAACAAAAAGTTTTTTCTATTTGGCACTCATGCTAGTTTAAATTATTTTGAAAAATAAAGAATAGTGGTCTCCGACCTTCGTTTTGCCCAAATATAGAACTCAGGCATATTTCACATCAAAGTGACATAACCTCTAAATATATATGTGGTATGACTCCACCATTGTTTTGCCGTTTTACTACTTTCCACAATCAACCTCACTGCCAGCATATCAAACCAGGCCCATTTTCCATCAAACTTGACCCAACTACTATCAGGTGGATGTCCTTCAAAAATCAAGTTGGCATGGTTACCAAAGCCTAATAGTTGCCATGGCAATCGTAAAAATGGAGTAAAAAATGAGAGCAAAAAAGCACCCAAACCCACCATAATGGCACTAATTTATAAAATATTTCTAGACATACAAATTTTCTTAAAATTTTCAAACTTTGATATCATCTAGAACACTTCTAGACAACAAAAATGTCAAAAATGGGGGGTAGGTGTACCACTTCAATTTTTTTCTAGGCTTGGTCAAAGTAAAACTACGAAAAAAGCACTCATTTTCACTTTTGAAACACCTATTATCGCCCAAATGGCTATATTTTTTCAAGGTCAAGGTCGCCATGTTAAAAGTAGAATTACGGAGATAAATCTGCTCTTCAGACAATGTTTGATAGCTTTTTTAACCACGGAACAAAGATCTTTGCGCTGGTATGCCCATTTCCATGATAATATACGTGAAAGAGGAACTTTTCATCAAAACTTTTCACACTACTTTTGGTGTAATAATTCCATGTAAGGGGCATAGCTGAATTCACTGTAACGTGTGAGTTAATTATTAAATTTAGGTTGTTAAATTGGCGTTTTTGATTTATCTAAACGAAAAGGATGTACTTGTTAAACGTCAATGTTTAAATTGACACGTTTAATTGTTTACACACCTTGAAGTGCGCACTTGCTTTCACGAGATCACACATTCGAAAAAACAACGAAGTTGCATTGCACGTGCAGGCGGTTACACACAATTGTAGGTATGCGTTTTGCTTTTATATCATTATTACGTATAATTTGACTTTATAAAAACCATAATGACTGGCATTTTACTTGACATATATGTTAAAAAAACAAAAAAAACACTCGAAGCAAGTGTAGCAGTGGAAATAGTATATGTTTCTAGGTCACATGAAAATACAATTTCATATTGCAGGAAATGTATTCACGGGCACTTATATTAGTAGCCAGAGTATACACATTTTCAGTTTTTATTCATATTACGTACTTTAAACTATGCATTTTTGATTTCCTTTATGTTCAAAAAATAATCAAGAAGTTGTACCTCGTGGTCATGAATAACAATGTTTAAAGGCCACACGTAAGGTTTGAACACTTTTCACTATTTACTCCCTATATTTCATTACTTTAAAAGTTATTTGAGAAATTTCTAAAAAATGGGTAAAAATGTGTCAGTCTTTCATTTCTCAAATATTCAAATTTCCCCCCATGATTTTTTCAACACCGTTGCGAAGCTCGAAAAAAATACATAGTGTATTTCAATAGAAAATGTTATATCTTGTATGTCATTTAAATGTTTTAGCATATTAAAAAATGCTGTACCCTAAGCGAGATAATGGTGATGTCATTTAGGGTGCGAACATTTTTGAAAAAAGGAATTTTTTCTCAGTCAATCGTTTCTAAATATGTAAATTCGATTGTCCAGAAATGTTGAAACGAAGAATATTCATAAATATCAATTTATCTCTTGACCACGTTTAGTTCATTGCATGAGTGAATTCAGCATACTTATCAACCAATTTTCTTGATTTTTTCTACAAAAGTAATATAACGACGATG